CATCCTGGGAGTCTTCAACACCAGGTCCGAGACGATCTCCGTCAGCTCAGGCAGGGAGTCTGTTGGGCAGAAGGGTGCACGGTACACCAACAGAATCCCCAATCCGTCTTGGTCGCCCAACACCAAGTGGAGGCACTCCAGCCCTGGCCTCGAGGGGACAGGGAGCCCCACAAGGGTTTGTGGTAAATGTGGCTTCATCCAGTAATCTCCTGTGCAATCTTTGGTTGGGGCATTCTGCTTTAAACCTTAAAGCTAGAGATTCTCCAAAAGGTGTCACAATTTGATGCTCTGCACAGCCAGGGTAGAAACTGACATGAAATGTGTGCCTTGCACTTACATCTCTCTGGTTTTTTTTTTCCTTGGTTTTACTCTAGACTAGATGCAGATCCAGCTTGGGACGCGAGCATGGTAGGAACTTTTAAAGTCCTGTGCCTGCTCTAGAGTAAAATGGCAAGAAGTTCTAGCAGCTGGACACACACTTTTGCCCTTATATTCCTTTATCCAGTTCAGCCTACAGGAATAGATAAGCAGATCCCTTCCTTAAAATTAAAGACCCTGGTGTGGGAGTTTGGGCCCAGAATTCAGTCACATCCAAGTACTTCAGGAAACCGCAGTTTGCTAGGATTTTGGCTTTTTAAAAATGCCAGTATGACAGGTTTGAGGAGCAATTTTGGACAGGAGGAAGTTTCAGATTCAAACACTTCTGTACAAACTTCAATAACTTTTCAGCAATTGGCTTTCTTATCTTCCTTCTGTATTTCTAATCTCCTGTTTCTTGATCTACTGCTGTTTCTCCAGTGTTGATCACTTTGCAGTGACAATTTTCCCTTTCATATCCAATTGAAGATTGGTTGGTAACTTTAAAATATATCCATTCCATATGCCCATTGCTGATCTCTCAGGTTTGATTTCTTTGCACTAAGAGACGGTTTCCCACTGGCCCTTTCTTGCTTATTAAACCTCATAATTTGTCTTCTACTTCATCTTTTTGTGGTCTTCCCATTATTTATAGCATGTTACCAACTGAAACTTCATTTCTCCTTTGATACTTTTAAGAGTGTTTTGAAAAACTCTTGCTCATTTAAGCACTCAATAAAAAGTAGTTTATTGTCATGTGAGTGTATTTTTAAGTTGTGAAGGGCCTACCCAACAACCACAAAAAGCGAATGGTTGTGTTATTCACACTGACATAGTTCACATGAATAAGCAATCCTTAAGTTTTTAACCATTGATAGCTGTGAGGCCCATCAGAGTGAGCAAGCGTGTTGGCTCCAGCTGTCAGCTATTTCCATTTCATTGTGACATCTAAACCTGGAACTGTAGCTTGTTGGCTGAGAAACAGCCATGCTTATGCTTAGATTGGCACTCTGGGTTATTTCTCCCTCAACTAACAAGAGTTCAGGACTTGGATGCTTGAAAGTACAGGATTGTCCCATTCCTGTACTGTTTAGCAAAATGAGCAACTTGTGTGGTTCATGTATTCCTGAGTATCAGGCTCTCAAACATGATGTTTAATCATCCAGTCACAGAATCATTCAACAGGCAGTATATCCCATTTCACAAAAAAGTTAACTGTTTTTCTTAATTGTTCATACTGTGGAGAAATGGTGGGAGTAACACATATTTCATGCAAGGTGAGGCAAAAGCTTCTAAGAGGCATAAATAGTGTATTGGAATCATTGAATATTATTTTAGTTTCCCACAATACCATGAAATTTCTACAAAAGCACATTTTAAGAGAATTATATGGAGAAGAGTGATAACAATGCCAGCGATTATAATGTCTCCATGAGCACAGGTGCTTTTATTCCAAGGGAGAGATGGTCCTTCCAGTGCCCATGTCTCAAGCTGTTAAGGGCCCTAAGGGTCATTCCCAGTGCTTTGAACTGGGCCTGGAAACAAACCTGGAGCCAGTGCAAATGCTTCAGCAAGTGGGGACACCGTCCCTATCGCACCTTGCACTGACAACCGCTTCTCCTTCCTAGAAATCAACCAGGGCTTCAACGGACAGGCCAGGCTAGGTACTTGGCATCTACGTTCCACTTTTGTAGGTACAGAGCCTCTGCAAAGCAGCCGACAATATAACTGAGCAAATATAAAAGCACTTGTATGAACAATCATAAAAGCAATTTAAAATCTAAAATGCAGTGGCAGAGTAGGTCACGCTTTCCCAGGAACCACCTGGGACGCCAGTATGCCTAAGCCTGGCTGGGTAATCGTCTGTCCATCACAACATAATCCTCCCACATGTGTCTCCCGAGGCTCAGGCCATCTTCGGATGTCCTTTTTAAGCAGCCCCCTTCGAAGGAGATAAGGGACAGAGTAACCACCCCAACTTTTGAATCCGCTCCCCACGGAGGTTCGCCTGGCACCATCTCTTTACTCTTTTCAGTGCCAGGCAAATACCTTGTTATTTACTTGATATTTTAATTGTTAAGATAATGTCAAAGATTTCATTATATTTTATAGTAATTATTTTTATTTTAGTGCTATTGCACCTTTCATTGTGTTTTTAGTGATTAAGAACTGAGGTTATAGGGAAATTATTTTGAGGTTTTATTGAAGGTGTTTTTCTGATGTTTGTTGTGATTTTATTACTGTTATATTTGCTAAATTAATATTACTTATTATCAGTGCTTTTTTTGTAAGAAAAAAGGTGCCGGAACTCATGAAATTATTTCCTTTTCGCACTTAGTCAATCACTGTACACACGAACACGCATCAGTTGTGTAACGAAACATAATGGTCTCCGCCCGCAGTAAGCACTCGGCACGTGACCACACAACCAATCACAAGCCGAGCAGTGCCACAAGCCAAGCAGCACTATCACAACCAGTGCAGACAAAGTACGCATGTATGAGATTCGACGCACAAGCAGCCCACATGCCCCGTTTTAATGATTTTGCTGCCGACCTGCTACACTCAACAGGGTGATTCAAATTTACGTGGACCAAACATCAAATTTTCAAAAGTTACTTTTAAAACTTAGAAAATCTGTTGAAAAAAGGTGCCAGAACTCCGTTCTGGTGTGTTCTCTGACAAAAAAAGCACTGCTTATTATGTATTTGCTGTTCTATAGTATACTTTGTAACTTGTCCTGAAAGCCACTCTGGTTAAGGGCATGGTATAGAAATTCAATAAATTAATAAACATAAATAATAAATAGAATGATAACACGGTCCAACATTTATTTATATCTGTGTTTAACAGCTATGAACTTTGCTCATTTTTACTCTAGAGTAGTGCAGGGCCCTTAATTCAGATTTCAAATGTCCCCATCCAATACTGGTCCTGATGCGAATCAGTCTTTCTTTACCTACTCTGCGGGGTGGGGGAGCAGGGAGATGCAGCTGCTGGGCACAAATTTAAACCAATGGTCCTAAATTCTTTCAGCTCGGGGTCATGCTTTTCCCATCTAGCCCAGAAGACAAGGGCAAAATCTGCCAATGTGTGAAGTTAGAAATTGGTGGACGGGCTGCTCTGGATCCAATAGTGAGACAACAGTACACAACTTACGCAATATTTATGCGCACCCACCCATACACCTGGGCAATGAGTTGTGTGTGCACAGGGATATGCTACCTCAACATACCTGGGGACCTCACACTTCATTTCTTTGAATCATGTTTCAAGTCTACACAGAGTGGGGAAAATCTATAGATATGGAAAACTAGCAGCAATAATGATGAATGCACTGTAAACGTGGTTTTTTGGTTGTTGTTTTTTTGCTCCCACTGATCTAGTCTCTTCCCACTTCTTGTAGGTGTGTCTTTCTTCATTTCCTGTCCACAGCTACAGTCAATGTTATCCTACAATCTGTAGTCTTCCTTAGCCTATCATGATGCATAGCCAAAACTAGCCTGTGATATTGTCACATTTCCACACGCACTTCAACATTGCATATTCAAGGCATTCGCATTTCCCCCTGCAAACTGCAAAAGCTTGCATCATAGCCAAACCAAACCTTTCATGAAGAAGCAAGCTAAGAAATGAAAGCATTTGACTCTGGTTAAACTATTGCAACCTGCCAAATGATTCAGATATTCACAATCATACCTACTTCATGGAAATACACTAATTGTAAAGACTGATGTTAAGTCCTGCCTGTGTGTGGTAGCAGCCCAGTGCCTGGGTCATTAGCTTAACAAGCGTCTGTGTTGGAACTTAAGTAATGTAACACAAAATGATAACGGCTAAGGGAATCTCTAGGCCAAGGCTTGTGACAAACAGGCAGGCCTCAGACAAAGGTAATATTGCCAGTTGAGTCTTTAGGGAAATCTTCGCACAGTGGTCTATAAAAGTTTGCTTACTTAGTTGAGTGGAGTGGGGAGCTTAAAGGAAAACCTGCAAATTTTTCCTCTGAAGCAGGAGGAAAGGCTGGGACTTCAATACTAGTATTGCCTTCTTAATCAAGAATGTGATGCCATTTCTAATTTCTCATTCAGTGCAAGTGACTGCCAACTTAAAAAAAAATCAGGTTATCAATTTTCAGGATCAAGAATAACACGGCGCCTTCATGCCACTGGAGGAAAAATTTTGGCACAAGCAAAGTCCATTTATCACTCTGTAGTTGTATTTGAGAAATACTGTAAACAAAAGGGAAATTGTGAATTTTTGCCTAGCTTCCCCTTCCACAATTCTCATCATTCAGCTTCAGACATGTAGTAAATACAGAACACAGTATGTGGTAATCCTAAGTAATGGAATAGTTTTTCTTTTAAAATATCACAAAAATCTGTGTCAATGTAAGGGTTATCATTTTTGCAAGCCACTTGTATCCACAGAAATGCCTCTTATGATGTACATTATCCCTGCTGAAAGATTAGTGCATAACTAACTTTGACACACTGTTGCTGAATGTGTTAATCTTCAAGGTCACTGATATGAGGAAGTATCAAAATAGTAAGTGGAACTTCTTTGCTATGCAACCATAGTAACTTTTCATCTTTCCCTTAATAAATGCACAACCCTCAATCAATCGAAGGTAAATCTCATCTTACCTTCAGGTTCTCCTTCCATAAACTGTCTTTTGCTGAAGTTTCTCTCTTGCATTTTTCTAAATCCATTTCCCAGAAATTGAAAGACTTAGATCATATAGAGAAGTGACTTAACTGGCTATATGTTAGACACCTCGGCTGAACATCCTCGGGTTGTGAGACAGAGCTGTGTCAGGCTGTCCGGGTGATAATTTCTTGTTAGCTGGGGTTTCCATTTATAGACTTAGAAAATTCACAAATAGAACCCTAGCGGGAAGGCAAGCAACTGGCTTCAGATAACAATAAATGCCATGTTGGCATCAAATAGGTTGATTAATATAAGCTCTACTATAACAACATAACTTTGGTTACCTGTGGCTCATGAAATAAGCCCTGCTTAAGGTGCTCCTGAAGAAATAGGAAGACAGTGGGTGATATAAGTCTCAGATAAAAGTTGACGGTCGACGAGATGCCACTTCACAATCCCTACAACCTTTGTTGCTGCTGCCATGCGCGGCTGCGATCCAGAGGAACATCATCAGATATCTATTTCTCTCCCTTTTGTTCACCGAAGGTGTCCCCTAAGAACCTTGCCAACTATTCCTTAAAGCTCGGAAATTAGTTTGGAACCTTTTGAAGGAGGAAAGAAGGGAAAATATCATTCATGAACTAGCAGCTTTATGCCAATCCCCAAACTTTTTTTTAATGAATGCAAGTTTAAACAAGAACTTTGAACTTTCTCCAAGGGCACCTTCCAAAGAGGAAACAAATCAAGGTATATGCATGGATCACAGGCACTTACGCTAGTACACCAAAAGGTATGCCATCTGAATCTATAGGACTATGCAGGTCTGACTCTTTTCCTAACAGCAGCTCGTCCCACATCACTAGACACAAGGTATGGGGTGGAAGTATTAAAAAATAAATTTACATTACTATGGAGGGAACCCTTGTGGGTGAGCGCAGGAGGGGTTCTAGCCAAATTAGTCATGGGTGGACAAGATAATGGTCACTCCACATCTTACAGCACCTTGCAAGACTGATGCTATTTCATATTTTATTCAAGCGTGATAATGAAGTAGGGAAATTTTCTGCTCACTTTTTTCTGCAAGTTCTGTGAAATGAAATCAAATGTGCTGATTACAACTTCAAGGCAGGGAGCTAATGTATCTGTCTTTTGATGTGGCTGTGAAAACCATGAGGAATCTCAGCAAAGTAATTAAAATTTCCTACAGTGATGAACATAGAATCAGGTTCCATTCTCAAATCTGCTTTGAACTGCAAGTCCACCTTATTTCCTGCAAGGTTCCCCCCCCCCCACATTGTGGTGCGTGGGGTACATATATCCCTGCCCTTCAGACCTGGCTGGCTCTCTGGCTGACTATGTAGGGATGCATTGCATATACACACTGAAATATATGCATACACACAGACACTTTTGTACATAGCACACACAGATACACTTTGCACAGGCTGGTGTGCTACTCCAATGTCTAGTTAGATGTGGAAGAATAACCTGGCAGCCGCTCTGGGCTGATAAAGTCAGGAGTCCAATATTAGCAACTCTGCTGGGAGGGGGGGTCCATTCCCTGGCGCTGAGATGGATTCCTAGGTTTACAACAACAACACGCCCACTGGTTGCTACACCAACTAGAGCAACGTTGGCTCAGAAGCACTTCGCAGCCAGTTGGGCAGCAGCTCCTGGCAAGCAGCAGGCACATGCCCAGTAGCAAGAACAATTTGTCTTCGGGTGTTTTTGCACATTGCACAGAAAAGCCCTTTGAGGTGCCCTCCCGTCTATTATTTTGGTGCCTTTAGAAATGTCATGAGCATGGCAATGAAACTGAACAGAGCCACAGTAGAACAAATTTGCCTTTGAGTCTGCTAGATGTACATGGAAAAATAACATTCCATGCTTTATGTGCAAATTTAGGAGGAGAGGCCAGACTGTTGCTAGTCCTTTTTGCAACCCTAGGTAAAGGTAAAGGTTTCCCCTTGACATTAAGTCCAGTCATGCCTGACTCCAGGGGGCGGTGCTCATCTCCGTTTCCTAGCCGAGGGAGCCAGCGTTTGTCCACAGACAGTCTCCGTGGTCATGTGGCCGGCGTGACTAAATACCAAAGTGCACGGAACGCTGTTACCTGCCCACCGAAGTGGTACCTTTTCATCTACTTGCATTTGCATGCTTTCGAACTGCAAGGTTGGCAGGAGCTGGGACGGAGCAACGGGAACTCACCCTGTTGTGCAGATTCAAACCGGCGACCTTTCGATTAACCAGCCCAGCAGCACAGCGGTTTAAACCACTGCGCCACCTGCAGTCCTGCAAAGTTGTGAACTTGAGTAGGACATTTCTGAAATCTATTACTGAGACCGTCCCATTAAGCCCTCTCATTGATGGATTTTAAAAAATAGCTAAAAAGAGAATCCCCCCTTATTTTCTCAGATATTTTCAAAATGACATGGGGGTTCACAGCTACATTGGGTGCTTATGCTGTTGTCTTTCACTGTTCTCAGTTTTCTATCATAAATATTATAAAAGTAGTTATAGATATCATTAATGTTTATAAACGGGGGAATCCGCTTGATGCTTTATGCTTTACAGACTTTGTTAGTTTGTTTGTTATTTTTTCATGCCAAGATCTCACAGATGGGAAAAAAGAGTTGCATCACTTTTATCAGTATGACTCTGTCAGAAGTCCCCATAGGACTTCACTATGCTTGTAAGTACTTGTGAGATTATGTTGTAGCTAATGAACCTCATTAATTTTGTAACTGAAGAACAAGAAGCCTAGATCCCACATAATTAGTCTCTAGTGTCTCACACATCAGAGAGTACTGTTGCATCCAAAGTGTCCATGTGCCCTGTAGTGGCTGTATTGGCTGGGAATGATAGTCTAGTCCAGTGATGGCGAACCTTTTAGAGACCGAGTGCCCAAACTGCAACCCAAAACCCACTTATTTATCACTAAGCGCCAACACTACAATAAAACCTGAAAACTGAGGTTTTAGTTTAGAAAAAACAACTCTCATCCAGTCCAAGCAAATATCCTTGGCAGCGCACTGAATGGCCATGCGAAAGCTTGGACGAGTCATGGCTAATGAGTCACAGCACGTGATGTCATCACCTGGCGCCACTACTCATTTCTGAGCATGCACATGGACCCTATGTCTGCTGTTATCCGATGCTCTGCTGCTGGGGCGCCTTGGCTCACATGCCAACAGAGAGGGCTCTGCATGCCCGCCTTGGCATGTGTGCCACAGGTTCACCACCACTGGCCAACCCTACCATGGTGCACACTCCTAACCCTAATATAGGGCTAAAGTTCTAATGAAAAGAAGGTGATTTGAAAAAGCCTTCCTTGAGTAGCTTTTTCTGCACAGCTTAGTATTTCTGCCCATTCCAAGCACATTCCAACCATCAAAATCATACCAGGACACCTCATTTTTCTAAACCGAACCCAGTGATGGTGAACCTTTTAGAGACCAAGTAACCAAACTGTAACCCAAAACCTACTTATTTATTGCAAAGTGCCAACACTGCAATAAAACCTGAAAACAGCCAGTCCAAGCAAATACAAACATATCCTTGGCAGCATATTGACCAGCCATGAGAAAGCTCGGACGAGTCGCGGCTAATGAGTCGTGGCATGTGACCTCATCGCCTGGCACCACTACTCCTTTCCGAGCGTGCGCATGGCCTCTGTGTGCGCTGTTATCCGATGTTCGGCTGCTGGGGCGATGCTGGGGCTCCTTAGCTCACATGCCAACAGATTGGGCTCTGTGTGCCCATTGTGGCATGCGTGCCATTGGTTCGCCACCACTGGTCTAGTCCAACATCTGGTGAGGACCAAAGCCCGGGCATGGCAGTGCAGGGCTTTCTCTTGGAGGAAGGATGTGTTAGGAAGACAGGTGGTGTCCAGAAATAATAGAGACCTTTTCCTGTATGTGGTGTTTTTGGGTGCTGCTTCCATAATGTTTAGTTGGTATCTTGATCTTCCAATTTTGCCTGTTTTTTCACAACTCTTCCCAGTTTGTTTGCTTGCTTGTTTTTAGAACAGGGAAATTGGAGTTTCATTTACGGTGGGGGAATCGGCTCTGTTTCCCCTTATATATGTGAGCTATTCTACTATTGCATAGCTCTACTTCGAGGATATCTAGCAGAAAAACAGGAAAGGAAAAGTTTTGCAGAACTCAGACAAAACTGAAATTCAACAGAGAGATTAGCAGCCTCTAGAAAACACTGTTAATCAATTTACTCGATTCTGAATGAATATTCTCCTCACCTCTGTGAGGATGAACAAAGCACAAACCAGACGGAACTGCAATTTGTCCTCACCTTGCTCCAGCTGGTCGATCAAAAATAAAACCAGCCAATACCTAGATGTATCCCTCAGGGGCACCTCAGGTTGTGTGTGTGTACAAGCAATATTCTCCTTCTAAAACCTAATATTGCCTGAGTGTGTCAAGAGTGTCATACTTCAGACTATGTCTGGATGGGAATTTACTAGGATGATTGCTCTTCCGTGCCCCAATGTCCTACCCAGAGAAGCAAGAAGAAGCTTCCTAGATTTCTCCCTGACTTATAGGAGTTAGATGCATTTATTTCTGTACAGAGGAGACTTCAGTTATGTGCGCTCCCAACTGACATGGTTCAGTGCAGACATTTCATGAAAAACTAGATGTGTGTGAAACTAATAAGCCACATAAGCCCTATTTTGATGAGCGGTGGCTCTTCAGGTGTTTCTTAGCCCTGTTACTTTCACTGCATGAACAGGTAATTTCCAAGGACTGAACTTTAAACAGACATATAAAGATTGTATAGCTATACAAAGACTGATCCATGATCTGTCAGAAGAACTGATTTTTTTATTTCACATTTTATTTGATTTGCTTTTTAAAATGCTAATTTTTCAAATATAAAGGCAAGACTTATCAAAAAAGGAATATTTGTGAGATTTAACTTTGATATACAGTGTTTAACATGTCATTCTGGTGTTCTGCCTTCTTAACTATAAAGGCAAAAATATGAGCGGGACCCGTTTGTTGCTTGGAGAGCTTCGTTATAATTTTTCATAGTAGCAAAATATATTTTCTCTCTATTCCACAGACTGAGGAATAGAGGTTGCTGAGTATATCCCTGATTTGTATGCAGAAATCATCTGTCTTGAAAATATTTGGTGTAATAAGTGGGCAATTTCTCAGAAGAAAATTGTCAAGGTTCAGCATGGATGGAAATATCCAGCCACCCAGAAAGCAAATTTTCATAATCCTGGGAGTACTGGAGATGACTGTGCTGGACTACCCGAGCAGTAGCTGCATGTTAAACCTGCTCAGGGGCCCTTTCCCTCCGTCGTTATACTGCACAGTTTGGGCATAAAAACCAGGCTGGGACTCGCTGGGCTCGCATGCAGTTGTATTTCAATACACAGAGTTTGCCTGCCGATATCACTGGAGATCTTACGTTTCAGCTGACACGGACTCCAAGGATGAGGGGGAAGTTAATCTTGTGTGGGCTCTCTTCCCACATTCCAGCAGCAGCAGCTGCTGCAGTCGCTCTTTGGACAATACTGCTGGCTCCGTAAATGCCAGAGAGGAGGGTGAGATAACAAGGCACTGGGAATGAGAAGAGGTTTCTCAGGCAGCACGACTTGCCTGCTACTTCAGCGGCCTCTGAAGGAGCAGCAACACAAGCCCCTTTAGTACTACTTATGCACAGCTGAGAATCCCCTCAGCTCCCGGAAAGGAGCTGCTTGACTGTGGCTTTAAGGCTAAGCCTTGTTCTGACTTGAGCTTAGTGGAGGAAAGTTTCCAAGTATGAGATATGCATGAATTTGCTATACCACCTTGTGGCTGAAAGGCGGAATCATGCATAAATGAAATAAGAATTGGCCTGAGTGTGCTTTACTGAAGGAGGGTATTCCAGGAGAGAGAGGCAAGGCTGAGGCCTTTAAAAATCAACGCTTTGCATACCTGGGCGGTTTCCCAATGCCTGCTTCGAGGCGCTGGATCTGTCCTCCGCATTTTTACTGGTGTTGTAATGCCTGACTCACTGGCGTGTCGCATAACATTCACGGAAACCACGGGGATGGGCTCGGGGACATGTGCCCTCCGAGACCGGTGGAGGTATTTTCTGACAGCAAGCAAGGAGTCCATGCACACCAGCCTTGCCTGTAGCCACTGGGGAAGGAGCTGGTGGGGCAGCCGCTTAGGAATTGCCAAAAAGAGTTAATGCATGAAAAAGAGGGCAAAGGGGCATGCCAGCCTGCATAAAAAGGCATGGGGTCTAGTTTTATATATCAGTGTAATTTTACAGTGTACAGTGACTGTAATTTTGTAAGCCTTTTTAGTACTGGGATGCCATATAAAAACTTTAAATAAATAAAAATAACTGTAACTACAATTTTGTTCAAAATACAGTACATTTCACAATATAATAAACGATGGAGGACAGGACAGGACAAACATTCAAACTGAGGACTGTCCTCTTTAAAAAGGGACCCATGGCCACCCATGATCCAGAGCACCGGGATTTTTCTGAAAAGTGACAAAGACCAAGTCCCAAGCAGGCTGCTGCTTTCCCTGCCTGCCACAATCAGTATCCAGTTCCAGTTGGTGACCCTCACGCAGTTTTGAAGTGTGCAAAAAACCTCTTTGGCAGCCTTTTGTTAGCACAGCTCTGCTTCTTAGTTACACATCTACAAATGAATCCTGATTAAATGCTTGTGAAGTCACTTGCAATATCTTGGTGTTTCAAAATGCTATGATAGCATGCCATCGTATAGATGTTACCGGCTGATGTTCTATATTCTGGAGCGATTGGAAGTGATGGTGCTAGCAGCATGTCTAGCAATTTTAGCGTCCTTGAGTTATTCACTTCATGTCGGTAGTAGTTGAAAAATAATGAGAAAATCGAAGGATAAACAAGTCTTGTGAGTATGTGTAGAGGGGAGAGTATCTTTATAATTATAAATATTTGCCTACAGAAATGCAGTTTTGTCCCAAGAACAGTCTAGCGGTGGAGTACTAGGGGATGCTCCCCAGTTTTGGTTTTCTTAATTCAGAGCATCATTTTTCAGTAGAAGAGTCTCACCACTTGAGATGAAGGAATAGTTGGAGAACAGCTGTCACTGTCACTACTAGAGTCCTTCGGAAAGAGTCAACAGACACCCTTGAGATGTTCCGTTCTAGCAGTGCAGAAGGCAGTGGGATGCGTAACACAGTCCCTCCCCCCACCTCCCCATGTACACATATATAACAGTGCAATACAGGATGTGCAACATGATTATGTTCCAAATAAAACTTACATTCCACCTACAATGGTGTGTGTCACCACAACCCTTTTGATGAATTAGAAGCAATATTCAGGAGAGAAGGTATTTTATTTCAGTGGAAAGTATTCCCATGTAATTATGCATGGAACTGCAATTATGACACATAACCATTAACTTAGTTGTGAGATTTTTTAATAGCTTGTTCATTTTGGATGCTGTATTAAATGCATGGCATGTAGCCAATCCTTTTTTTTTTCTTAATGTGAATGGGGAAGGGCCACCAGGCACAGGAAGATATACTGCCCATATCTTTTCCCTTCAGCATGTAGCCTCCAGCTCCAGTTACCCCCAGAGATCTGAAAGATCCTGCAGACATCCAGTATAGATTTTCAGCAGGGAGACTGGGAACTGCCAGATGAATTAATAAATGAGCACTGCTTTGTCCCATAGTCCACCAGTGGAAACGATCTGCTAGATCAGAAGTTTTCCACAGACAGAAACCGCCCTTCAACCCACGATAGGAAGATGCTTGATCTTATAGTAAACCTTAATATTTTAGTTTTCGTATCTTTCTCAGAAGTTTCTCAGAAGTATTGCAGCTTTATAAATCTCAGCTTAAATAAAGGTCATGGCACACAGACTCGGGCACACCAGTAGCTTTTTGACAGGTGAAATGTGATTCTGTTGCATTGATTTAAACCAAGGATGGGCAACTTGTGACTGTCTACGTAGCTATCCTGGCCTCCAACTCTCATCATCCCTCACCAGCAGCTGTCCTGCTTAGGGCTGATGGGAGCTATAGGCTAAAATATCTGGGAGGCCACAGTTCATGAGTACATCCAGTGTAAAAGGTGCATAGCAGAAAAACCATGAGATCGGGGTGTTTTTTTTTCCTAAAAAGAATATTTTATTAAGGAGGGTAAAAAGCATTGTTTAAACAGTCTGAATAGAGATGAGTTTCAGTATTTTCTGACTCTTCGGGCTCAAAATCATCCGGGTCTTGTGTGAGCTGGTCAGCATCTTCATCTGAAGTGGAAGGGCGTGTCAGGATGATCCGTGGTATCTTGGGGACAAGGAGGCAGAGCAGAGGAGAGAAGGAGGAGTAAATGGTGCGGAGACTCTATAAAGTAAAGCTAAAATGTACCCTTCACAAACTGACTAATTATGCATTAACATAGAAGTCACTAATCAAAGAGTTCATTGCCCTTTTGTTCCAGCCAGGCTTCATGCGTCTCCCAAACACAGGCACCATTTCATCCCGAACAACAGTCCTGTGAGGTAGGCAAGTAGACTGAGCAGCACTGACTGGCCCCATGCAGGGAGATTCTGTCCTGGGAAGGCTTCAGATACTCCAGGCCTTGCATGGCATTCTGAGCCCTGCACTGGCTCCTATTAAATATCATAGCAGTTTTTGATTATGATTTAATATTTCCAATGTCATCTGAAAGGTTATATATAATATCATAGCCTTTGGGTTACAGAGTTGTAAGCCTGCCCTCTGTCTCTACAGACTCAGTTCCACTTACAGTGTCTGAGGAATTGGGCTGAAGCATTCTAATTTGTTAAAATATCTGAACGACAAGAAGCAGTCTGTCTAAATGTGTGCTACACTTAATCCTTGAATATGCAAAAGGTGTTTAGAGCAAAAATTCTGTAAGAGCACATGTGGTTTTCTTCGGACACAAGACATGTGGCTTACCATCAACAGAAGTCAAGGGAACAAGTACAATTTGACCTGCTTTCCTTGTAGGCAGAAGGCGAGCTTGTACTTGAAAGGAAACAAGAAACGGGAGCAGTCAACTAGACTGCTTCAGGCATTCGAGCTTCATGCAGCAAGACAAGCCTGTGTGCCTGTCTGCTCCATCGCTGGCTCCCTCACCCTCCTCGCTGCAGAAGCTCAGCTCCCAGCAGGCAGAGGGCCATGAAGCCAGCGGAGAAGGTGCCACGGAGGGGCAGGATCAGGCAACAGCCTCTGGTTCTTGCCTCACGCAGGTGGAATTGCACGAGAGAGGAATGCAGAGGGCAGCTGTTTACGTAAGTGACAAGACAATTGTAAAACAGAATTTCTTCCAGATCATTTATTCCTCCTCATGCTTTGCTCTAAGAAGACAGAGTCCTACAGGGGATGGAACTCAAAATAGCGTTATGCACACATGCACACTATACCAACATAAGAGTGAGGTCATCCCTCCACCCGTACGTAATATATACCTGGGGAGATGTTAGGAGCTTAAAAGGATGGAAGAAGAACAGGCATCCTCCTTAAGGTAGGCCTGGTATATTCAGCATCATCGTGCATTTATACACCACATTAAGATATTGATGTCAAGACCATGGACTTCCTTTTTTTTTTTTAGATTTTGGATTGCAGGGTTTCATTTCAAATTGGAATAATGATATTCACACTAACAATTACAGGCTCCTTCAATATTAATGGCATTGAGCTGCTGTATTACTGTACTTTCGAAGCACTTAAAGCTTGTCCTTCTCATATTCACATGGATATTAAAAATGTCTCCATGGTTTTAAACATCATGACAGCTTGATCGTACACCTACAGCACTGCTGGGGTTCCAGAATCTGCCTGGGTTCTCCTTTCTACCGTATGTATAATTGCTAGAAAGTTGTCCCTCCCCGCATAAGCATTTCATAGGCACCGAAGAGGGGAGGAGGTTGGGAGCAGGCATGCTGGCCCTGCCTCCCAGGTCTCTGCCCCCATGGCACCCCTTCCCCAGTTGAGACTTTGCAGTGTTGCACCAGCAAGGCCTGAGGGAGAGGCCCTCCTGCATGCACTTGGATGCGAGTAGAACTGCTTGGGCCACTGGCAGCATGTTGCTCAGGCCCATGTTCAGGTGAAAGCCGAAAAGAAGCTCTCGTCAAAAAGCCATTTGACAAGCCCCTTCCTTTGACCGGAACCAGCAGCAGGCTCTGCAACAGTTCTGGGTGGCCGAGAGTCCCCATTTTAATTTCCCACAATGCCCTGGTGGGAAACACTACCAAGACCCTGGTGGGAAATTCCAGTGGTGGCTTCTGTGCCCGTAAACCTCTTCATGTAAGAGCAGAGCAAGCATCCACGGTGGGTCTCTCTGGGCCCCAGCAGCTACCCAAGGAAGCCACGTGCTGACAGGTGAGACTGTGTAAACGTTATCACAGGCTGAACTTCAGCATTCCCTCTCGTATTTGTTGACTGTCTCCAGATGCAAAGCTCTGCAGTGGAACCATACCCACGAAGTCACCATGAGTTGTTCTCCTTCCCTACTTGTACTAAAATGTTGGAATCTCTTCCCTTAATATTTAAGCGCCAGTCTGATTCTCTGGCTTTCCTTGCCTACACCAGCCTTTCCCAGCCTGGTATCTTCCAGACGCTGTGGAGTTCAACTCCCATCAGTCCTGACTGGTATCACTGTGGTCAAGAAACCTGGACGTTGTAGTTCAAAGGCTGAGATACCTTGTGTGTGAGCCAGCACAACTATGGCAAAATCATTTTGAATATGGGCTGGTGCACTGTGCTCCAAGGAAGGTTCTGTAATTGTCTGTTCTGTGTAGAACCCCCAATTCGGAGGTGAAGAAGCTGTGATCACCCCCAGCCCAATGTTATAGGACTACAGCCCCATCAGCCCCAGCCAGCATGCCTACAAGGCAAGGTTGATATGAATTGCATCTGAAGGGCCTCATCTCCAGACTGATTACTTGTTCACATCTTCAGTTTCAAAATACAATATTTATGTGTATGATTAAAACAGAAAAGGATCAGCTCAAGGGGAACTTCAGGCTGCAATTTATCAGCCTCAGTTTAAATTTGCTCGTTCAGTTTATATATGAGTCAGATGCCAGGGAAAAAACATAGATAATCAGCAGGGGAGAGGAATTTATATGTTTAAAAAATTCAGATGGTAGCAACACATCTTTAGTGTAATGCAGTGTAAATTCAGTACTTACTGTTATAACATGATTTATTGTCTGGAATGGGCCACTTTTAGATGGTGTTTCAGTGGGACCAGAATCAGGTGTGCTGGGTTCCGATATAAGGGCATCCTAGAGAGAGCGAGTGAGAGGGAGGCAAAGTAATTAATGTTGAGCATTATTAAATGAGAAAGAATATTTGTAACTGTAACTTTTCCACAGCAACTGGGGATATTTAATGGAGAAAACGATCAAATTAAAGATAGTGGGGAGGGTGGTCTTTTGTGCACCTCCCTAACAGAGGCCCTGCATCACCCCGCAAGAGGGCAAATAGGACATCAATTTGCATAGCAGTCCCCAGTCATACATTCTCTAACCATCATACCATGCTGGCTTTCTGGTGTGGGTCTGAAAAGCAAAGAGTCGGGACTATAATTCCGAATCCTTCAATCCTGCGCCCAGCAGAAGTGCTGGTTTACAGCTCTCTCCCTCTCCAGCCATGACCACCATAAAATTTCTCGCAACATGCCCTCTAGACACTGGTGGGCCACGTGTGCAGCAGTGGAAGCTTTTTTAAGACGACAAAAAAGAGATCCTTTTTATATTGTCCACTGTGATTCTTGTGACTGACCATAATCGGGGGGTGAGCAACCCAGTTGTCAGGCATAGACCACTGCTTAAAAACCCGTGGATTATAGGAGATGCCTTCCAGTACATCAAACCAACCATGTATCCGACCGTAAAGTCTTTTCCAACCCTTCTACTAAGAATCATTAACTGGACATGCCAGGAATGGAATGTGGGGCTTTACGGACACGCGGGCGAGAGCGCTGCAGCTAAGCCGCGGCTCCCTCCCCGGGCTGCTTGGAAACAAATGCTTTTGCCCTGTGTTCATTTTGATTGTATTTGTCCTGCATGTTTATCATGCTTATGTGTTGTATTTGATTTTTTTTCTATTACTGCTAACAGTAGTAACGGTGTCACTGGCTGCAGTATGCTGAGATTTGTAGGACCTTTTGGCCTGAATGTGTATAAGATTTCACTCTAAAGGTTGGTATAAAAACCAACAATCTGCTATTAAACATACAGTTGGATTCCCCCCCCCCCCCGCCACCTCCAAATTACCAGACATGGACAGTCCAGTCTAATGAACATTTACTAGTCCATGGGTCTGAAGAAGGAGTGTCCTTTACCATCTTGAATGAGTAAACAGGGATGCTGCTTCTGAGAGCCTACGGTGCTAGCAAAAATATTAGCCATGAAGAACACTGGTAATGCATAACTTTCTCCAAGAAAAAAGGGGGAAAGCAAAAGCAAAAACACCTTAATTCTATAAACAACAAAAGCATCTAATCTTGCTTGTGCCTTGCTAGCCTGCAGACGATATTCAGAAGCATCTCTACTGCATTCAGTGGGATGTACTCCCAGGTTTGCAGCTGCAGCTACTGATATTTCCCTATTAAATGAGTTAGCTTCCTCTTACTGCGTAACATTCCCCAGGCTATGCAGGTTAGAAACTAAAGGCTCTGCTCTCTATCATTTTCAGAATTTGATTTGTTCTGTTCCAAGTTACTATCTAGTTCGCGTTTTTTAGAAAAAAATCAAAAATCCAAATGGTGAGGTAGCAACCTATAATTACACAAATCAATATGGAGAACTAAACGTGATGACAGTTTAGTAAGAGGAACAGTCCTTTCTTTCACCGAGCTTTCTGGGAGAAATTCCACTGAAGATATCCTCACAAAACTGGGCGGGCAATTTCGGTCAGACTAGAATGCTGGAAGGAAGTGGGCCATGGCTGCAGGCAAGACGAGCCTGACTCTTCCGAGGATCATCTTATTGCCTCTCCCGCTGGTCTTTCAGACCCAGGTTTAATACTGAGCAGAAACAGTGTTAGGCTGGAGCTGGCTAGGACTGGAGTCCTGAATCTAGGAGGTCTGCCCTCCCACCAGCCCGCAGTCCATGTGCAGTTGTTGAACTAAAGGCACAGGTGGGCTGATGATGTCTGCATCACACACACACACACACACACACACACACACACAGAATTAGAGATTTGGTGGCTTCTTGCCTGCAAGCGCTTCAGCTCCTGCAGCTTGCTCACCTCCAAATCTTTCTGTCTGAAATTTTCTTTCTGAATACAGCTCCCTCTGAAATGCCTTTTTCTCCCCTATCCACAGAGCCTTTTTCACAAATAGGTGTGTCCTTAGGAGGCAGAGTCCTTCAAAGACACGCACTCATACACAGAGAAAGACTTTAGAACATTGAAAATCAGTACATGCAAACTGGCGTTTGGGTTTCTGTTGTGTTGTTGCAGGGTTTGGTCCCGTGGATCTTTCTGTTATAGTTCCAATCATAAGTGGCCTTCATGATATCCCCTCTGCTATTTAACATCTATATGAAACTGCTGGGAGAGGTCATCAGGAGGTGTGGGCTGCGGAATCATCAGTACGCTGATGATACCCAGCTCTACCTCTCTTTTTCAACCAACCCAGGTGAGGCAGTGGTTGTACTGAACCGGTGCCTGGCCGAGGTAATGGGCTGGATGAGGGCCAATAAACTGAAGCTCAATCCAGACAAGACGGAGGTCCTGTTGGTAGGCGGTTCCGGCTTCGGAGAAGGTGAATTGAACCTTGTCCTGAACGGGGTTGCACTCCCTCCTAGGGATAAGGTCCGCAGCTTAGGAGTACTCCTCGACCCGGAGCTTTCTTTGGAAGCTCAGGTGACAGCGGTGGCGAGGAGCGCCTTCCTTCAGCTTCAGCTGATTAATCAGCTGCGCCCCTACCTGGAGTACGACTGCTTGGCGACGGTGACACACGCGCTGGTGACTTCCCGCCTAGACTTCTGTAACGCGCTTTACGTGGGGCTTCCCCTGAAGACAGTCCGAACACTTCAATTGGTGCAAAATAGAGCTGCCAGGTTGCTGACGGGGATGGGGCGTTATGCTCACATGACTCCAGTCCTCCGTCAGCTTCACTGGCTTCCCATTGAAGCCCGGGCCCAATTCAAGGTGTTGATTATGGCCTATAAAGCCCTAAACGGCTTGGGTCCTGGCTACCTGAATAAGCGCTTACGTCCGTATATGCCCGACTGCCCTTTGAGATCTGCGGGAGAGTCCCTTCTCCGGGAACCCTCCATGAAAGAAATTAGGAGAGTAAGTACTCGGAGGAGGGCTTTCTCTGCGGTGGCGCCCAACCTATGGAATTCACTCCCCAAAGAGGTCCGCCCGGCACCGTCGTTACTGGTTTTTCGGCGCCAGGTAAAGACCTTTTTATTTAAACATCATTTTAATTGTTAAAACATATGATCTGGCCAGGGCAACTTCTTCTTCCTTCTCTTTTCTCCTCCTACATTATTTATTTACTTATTTTATACTGATAATTTTAATTTTATATTATTATGTTTGTAACTCAGTATATTTTTTGTATTTTTGTATTTAATGGTAATTTATTATGTTCTATTGTATTTCAATGTATTTTATTGTGTAGTAAGCCGCCCCGAGGCTTCGGCAAGGGGCGGCATAGAAATGTTATAATAATAATAATAATAATAATAATAATAATAATAATAATAATGAGGAGGAGGAGGAGGAGGAGGAGGAGGAGGAGGAGGAGGAAAGAACAGCAAATATTAAACCAAAGACTCTTATACCTCCAGTAGTTTGTCTTCAGATTGCACAGCAGCCAAGTCAATTGGACCATCTTTGGACACATGTGCTATTAAGATTCCCTGGGGAGAAAGAGGACAACATTTCAGACCTCAGAGGTCCCCCGCTTAGCTAGAAGTAACAAAGTGCACAGGAGGAATGGCCTCAAATGGTAAGGCAACCAGCTATATTGGTTGGCACATAAACGAAAACAAAAAACAAACCTAACCTCCATGGGTAAATCAGATCAAGCAACGAATGCAGGGATTACCCTGCACGTGGGAAGGAGGGACATGACTTGAAAATATGAACAGAAATGTTCTGTGGTATTATCTTTCTCCCGGTTGCCCCTCACCCCCCATCCCCCCCCCCCCACACACACAGAGTGCCAAAAAGAGGACAAAAGAACTGCAACATGAACAGATGGGATAGAAAGCAGGTGCATCGGTGTGTTAGCCTCACATAGAATCACCTCTAATTTGAGCAGGAAATTACACTGGCATTTACTATGAACATGCTACCTTCCACTACCATTCATCATCATCATCATCATCATCTTAATCTAACAAAAAAGTGTAACTAATTTTGCCCTGGGGTTCACCATAAGCCAAACTTGTTAAAGCTACTGTAATATCCCACTAACGACTTTCAAAGAGACTATGGCAGAGCAGTACTAACTTCCACAAATGACTATTTTGGTCTCTCAACAAAGGGATTAGTTGGGAAATGTGTGAGTAATGAAATGCACCTCATCATTTTCTTTACATGAAGATGAGCCCTTTCCACCAGCAATGCTAATACCAAGACTCCCCATTTGACTGCACACAGTAATCGTTATCTGGAAGAGAATTATAGTTAATATTGAATGGCAGTGTTGAATACGGAATGGCAAACACAGCAGTTTATTCATTCCTATTAGACAAGTAACATCCAATGAAGCCCATGCAGGAAAGACAGAAAAGCTAAGAGTGAAGTAACCACCGTGTCTGAGCGGCACACACATCCGTGTGTGTGTCTGACATCATGGTCACATAGAACTGGAAGGATAACTTGTCCCATGTCGGTGGTAGCCAATTAAATGAATCCTTAATATACATCTAGTTATGATTCCTATGGCACTCAAGTCATGGAAGCAAGGTCAAGGAGCCAGAGAAAGCCCATTAGCTGGCCTGGTCACCCCATTCAGTTCCCCAAAGTTGGCCCTCCACTTTCCTGCTTCTTGTGAATTTTGATGCAGGACGATGGAACGTGAATGAACTGCTCCTCTTGAGTGGAACACCCACTATCTTGCCTACACAAAGATATGGATCACAGCTGGACAGCTTTGGCTGTGGACAGCATGCAGACAAGGACTCCACATATCGCAGGTGGGGAAGCAGAGGCCCGGTCACCCAGGAGGCCCACAGCAAGTATGGCAAGGGGTTTTTACCGCTCTTGCCAAGTATCTCTGTGCTCATGCCCCCTCTCTTGATGAGGTTGGTAGTCCAGGTCTGAACAAGATGGCAGTCCACTGTGGGTACACAAACACCTAGTGCAGCCCATGGCTTGTTGGGATGGCTTGTTGTCCAAGAACAACCCCCTTAGGGAATTGGCTCAGAGTTTGCAACATGGCTCCCTGCATTGTGTGAACCCAGTCCTAGTGTCTAGATGGCGTTGGACTACAATATCATCATCCCAGGCAATTGGCCATGCTGGCTGGAGCTGATAGGAGTTGGAGTCCAACAGCACGCTAGCGGCCGCACATTCCTCACACTGGCTGTACTGATGTATTATGTAATAAACTGCCATGCAAGGACAGCTTGGAACAAGTTAAATTCTTCCTAAATTGTTCTAATTCCAGTATACTGAAAACAAGTAGGCAGTAAATTGCACTTGATTTTTATAATCAAGCAGCAGAATTCAGAGTGAATAGTGACATTCTAAATTTAAACATACTCTTCATCAGTGTAACACAAATGTCTTTTACAGCTATTGAACCGTCATTTGAATTTGCATGCCTTGGAGCACAGGTCCTGTGAAGATAATGGGGCCTGAAATGAAAGATCGAATGGGAAATTTTGAGGCTTGGGATTTGTTATCCTTCGGTTCCACTGACATTCAAAAGAAGCAGTTGCGGCACCATTTTGTTTTTTTTTGGGGTCAAAAAGCAGCATGTGACCGAAAACACAATGGGTGGATTCATATGTAATGCAAACCAACCCTGTGAACAAGCTACCCGGCTTCCTCCCTCTCCCTTCGTTTCTCCTTTTCTTTCCCTCAATTTTCATTTTTCAGAGCCTCAAATATGAGCAGTTGGAATTGTAACTTTTTTTGGAGGGGAGGTCAGTGGGTGGGGGAGGTCAGTCTTGCAAACGCAACCCTAACCCTAACCCTAACCCTAACCCTAACCCGAACCCCGATCCAGCACATGGGGATCAACACATGGCCTAGCCCCTTCATTGCCTGTTTCAGCGGTCACAGGCAGTAGGCAACATGCAAGGAAGGTGGCAAGACTCGGCTGCTTGGCATCTAATTTGGACACAGCTGCCGAGCAAGCGGGGAGAAATGATTGTAAAGGAAAGGAGGGACCCATCAGCACCAGCCAGAAGCTCCTCTGCAGGATGCAAAGAGCAACTGCCACAAGACGCGAGGCACTGCCTCCTCCCTGGTAATAGACATCTCTGGCTATCCGGGGTCAAAGCACCATTCTCACTGCCCTCCACATCCTGAACCCTTCTTCCCTGAGTCTCCAGATGTTCTGAGAAGGGGAGAGGTCAATTCTCCACACACTTTGCATGGCTCCTCTTTGCAACATTTAGTGCTGTGGTTCCTGTGGTTCTCTGGCTGATTCTATTCTATTCTATTCTATTCTATTCTATTCTATTCTATTCTATTCTTAACTGTTGAGATGGCGGAATGTGAAAAGCAGTCCAGGTTTACATGCCAGGACTGTCTATCAGGGCTAGCTGCCCAACAATGGGATGCCATCTCATGCAAACCAGGTCCTTAATAATTTAAGGAGGACAATGAAGGGAAAGGCTCCTTTTTAGACCCCCTGTGACAATTCCTTGAGAACATGTCTCTGCCAAGTTGCTAATTCGGCATCTAGAGCAACTTAAAGGTCATGTGCAGTAGCTCATGGAAGCCAAAGGCAAAAAACGTCTTTGCTAAAATAAAGGCATGGCTGTTTGTCATGGGCTGATAGTATTTCAGGATGAATTATATCCTGTTTGAAGCAAATACCGCAATGTTTTCAATTTCAACAGTACACTGTTATTGTTTTTGTTTTTCTAGTTTAACCTTTAATATTACAAGAATAAGTCTTTTTAAAACCTTGCTGAGTTTTTGGACTCAATACTTCAATCAGCACACACATATCCCCCACCCCAAAAACTAAAATGACATTTCAGCAGAAACACAACACGAATATCATGTACCCAGAGCTTGTGTAAAAGGAGTTCCTTTCAGAATGAAAGCTGTGTAAATGCCCCAAAAGATGCATGATTTGACCAAGACATGAAAGGCTCAGATTTTTGGCACTCTTTTCTATAAGGGTAATAATAGTACTTACATTATATCTGCCTTCTATACCTTGTCTTCTAGACAATGTTTAATGCAAGTTACAATTTATGGTAAAATAATCAATGAATATTTTTTCTGAATATTTCTAAAAATAAACTAGGAAGTTGTGTAAGCCCAAGGTTAGATCTTTTTACCCATCCTCAGATGGTCTACATCCAGGCCCAATTATGTTGGGACACTCTCCCAAGCTGAAATATCTGATTTTTCCCTGGAGATACCAGCCATTAGAAGAAGCAATACACACACAGCCAACCTTCATCCTGTGCTTGCTCTACTGTAGACTTGCATAACAAAAATTACGTTAATCAATTGGTTGTTGTGTGAAGCAGGCTGGATTTCCTTGTGTTACCTCAGAGAAGGAACACTGGAGGAAACATCTCCAAATCTTGGGGGTGTGACCCACACTTTCCCAGCCTGGTGCCCTCCAGATGGGTGGGTCTAGAAGCTGAGAGGTGTAGCCCAGCACATGTGGAAGAAAACACATTTGGGGTGCTTGGTCCAGGCCAATACAGAGGACAAGGCATTCAGTGTAGGGTTCCGGTAATGGAGTGATCTGGACTTCATAATCTACAGTTTCTATTTCAGATTCATAATGCAATGTGCTGGCTTGAACCACTCTAAGAAATGAAAGTAGCAATGAATAAGGGTATCTGCTACTCAGAAAAGGGGATGGGAAGAGAGGCTTGCTTTGATCCTGTGCATTTTTCAGACATCAACAGGGTAAATATGATATCTACTTCAACTTTTAGTTCATGCAGCTCAAATTGCTGATAAAAAGGTGGGAAATGCATTGGCTAGTTCAAACGCTGGAAACATCCCTTGAAGTGTTGAACTAGACTTTCCACCATGGACCCTACTGGTTGGGGGATGATGTGAGTTGTAGTTCCACACATCTGGGAGCCCATGGTTTAGAAGGCCTTGGTGTAGTGTCATGCAAACGTCTCCATTTTCCCCACCTTCCCAGGAAAGCCCAGCTTCTCATCCAGAACGATTCCCCAGCCTTGGGCATTGAATCCATTACGAAAGATTGTGCCACCGCCAGCGAGAAAAGGTCTCTGGCTTCCTCAGATTGCCTGCAAGGCCAGGGAGGCCTGGCTGAACCTACTGCACAGGCCTGGGGCAGAGGGGTAGACTGCGGATGCATGGCTTCCCCACCCGGCCGCATGCCCTTCCAGAGGGCAGAGGTGCTGCCCCTTCTCCGTTCCAGGGAGTTACCTTCAAGGGAGGCTGGGATGCATCTGCAGCGCCGGAGGGCGGGTCGTTGCTTTCGTGCAACGGCTTGCTGCCCTCTGTTGGGAAGTTGTTCATGGGCGCCGCTGAAACCTGGCCCTTGTTGTTGGCCGCTGGAAAGAGCCTTGCTTTGGTCGCAAGTTTCTGCCTCTCCTGTTGAACAGCGACTCTGGGAGTTCTTGATTCTCTAATATTGTCACTGGAGTCAAAGAGACTCCCAGAAAATTTGGATATAGGCTCCTGTTTCGTTTAGAAAAGCAAGCAAACAAACAAGCAGAAAGAATAACAGTTAAAGGCAGCTGACTAATACACCTGAATTGGGAGCAAAGCACTCCAAAGAAAACAGGGGAGAGGAAATCTCATCCCACATGAACCATTCCTGAAAAATAACAATGGTGCCTTTTTTTTTTCTCCCACCATCCCCCAAAATTACAGGTGGGTAATTTTAAAAAACACATTGCATTTCTATATAGGGTGGCCACTTAGACATCATCAAAAAAAACTGGAAATGCATTGCAGAAGAGAAGAGAAGAGAAGAGAAAGGGAGACACAGATGTTTGTATTTGCCTAATATATGCATTTCTATTTGCATAATGTATGTGTTTAGACACAACTACTAACCATTACTGTAATTTCAATTGAAATACAGTACCTCTCATCATAGCTCAATGAGCAGCTGAAAAAGCGACCAGGGGACCTACATTTTGCATGTCTGCTCTGTCTATTCCGCAGATGCTCACTGCTGAGGGGCAACTGGAAGTCTAACATTTCTGATGTTCCTGTCTCTTTAAATTGGGCTTGTCCTGGACAAGTCTTCAAATAGAGGACAGTCCTCTGTAAAGTAGGACACAGCAGCACCCTATTGCTACGAGTTTCTCTACATGAGGTGTTTTTTGTTGTACCCCTGAACCATCTCTCTCAGAGAAACTTTACAGAGTGCTGTCATCCTCCAGGGCCTCTTCCAAGTTTTACAGCTGTTTTCGTGGTTTTTTATAGAGTGAGGAAAATGCAGTGTTTTCCTGGGTGTCACCATGCTTCAATATAGAAGGTTGGTGCGAAGCCCTATAGCATAGCTTTACCATATGCTGTGTAATGGAACATATAGAGGTGGAGGGGAAGGAAAACACCTTTTGTGAAAGACGCTGATTCTCCCACAAAGAAAATGGAAGAATAAGCTTCAGTAAAGCATAAGGTTAAAGCCTCACATAGAGAAGTCCTCTATACACTGGCTGCCTTGACATGCAATGTGGTGCTGGTGGTGGAGGAGGAGGAGGAGATAAAGAGGAAGTAATATAATTTAGCTTCATGGGAAAAAGTCACAGTACAACTCAGGCTTGTGCACTCAAACTGCTTCCTTTGTGGGAAGGAGGCAGACTTTGAAAACCTTCACTTCTATTTTAGAGTAACCACAGCTTGCTGTGACACACAAATCCAGGCAAACTGTAGTTAATTTCAACTGTACTTCTTGTTTTCGCTAACCACACTTAAACTTAGCCAGAATTCAAATGCCACACACTACACTAAAAAGTAGTCAATCTAAAGTAGATGTGTATAGTCAGGATTCAACAAAGAATCCTGAAAAACTCTGAAAGGAGCTACTTCCTTCAGAAACTTAGGTATATCTGCATTACTGTATGGAAGTCACAAGAGCTACAACTACCAATCAACAGTGAGTATTGGCATTTTCCTATTTCTAGGATATATAATGCTGTATGTATATTTGTCTTTAGTTTGTTTTAAGGCTGTTTTCATTCTTGTACACTGTTCTGAGAGCTGGTTGTTAATTGAATTGTTTATAAAAGCTTAACAAATGTTTATAAAAGCAAGACCATCTTTTTTGAAAATACACGTCACAATGGATCATCAACACATTAGAATAAGCTAGTGGATTTTGCAAACTTATTATTACATTTCTACTCCAACTTCTTCCTCTTGCAAAGAACCCATAGCAGCCCTCAAGGTTCTCCTCCTTTCCCTGCTACCCTCACAACAACCCTGTGAGGTAGTCTGGGGCTGGCCCAGAGTTATCCAGTGAGGACTAGCACCCAGAGCACCCCTACACCACTAGGATGCTACATCACGAGTCATGAGTCAAAGCTCAGAAACCGCCCATGAACGCCTTGGAGGCGTGGCGGGTGGGGGACTGTGCTGGTTTCCAGGCTTCCTAGGGCACGGCGGGGGTATCGGCAGCCACCAAAATGCGCAGCAACGCAGTGGTGCCACAGAACCGGCCTTTCAGGCAGCACATAACTGAGACCTGCCAGGGCACTTCAGGAACGCAGATGCCACAGCTGAGAATGTCTGGCGTGCTACCAGCTCAGTTCTGGCTGGTGTGTCTGGTATATTTCCAGGAAATGTGACTTTGCAGGGTGGGGTAAGGAGCAGACATTCTCAGTGGCAGAAAAGCAGTATATAAATCTTCTTGTTGTGGTTATTTTGACTGCTTTGAGCCTGAATATAGCTGCAGGAGGGTACAGAACAGCCTGGACTGGAACTTACATCCTCATCGGGATCCTCCAACTCCTCAGCTTCTTGCTCAGGACTGATTCGTCCTTCCTTCCACTTTTCACTGGCCGAGCTGAATTTGTACAGACTGCAGCCTTGGGCACTCTCCTTCCCTTTCAGAGAAGCCCAGTGGGAGCCCTGGGAGTTCCAGTTATGACTGCCGTGTAACTTCGGAGACTTGGGAAGCCACTTAACTGAGTCCTGCAAGGAGAGGAAAGGAAAAGATCCAATACATAAATGCAGACAGGAGCACAGGGGGCTGCCTTACCCGGTGACAGGCCACTGGTCCATCTAGTCCAGGACTGTCAACACCAACTGGCAGCAGGTCTTCGAGGTTCCAGGCAGGATTCCTGACCTGGAAACACCGGCTGAAATGGGGACCTTCTGCATTCAAGGCAGGCCCCCCACCAGTGACTCTGGTCCTTCCTACCAAGCCGATATAAGCCAGGGTGCATGATGTCCAACTCAGGGTAGCCTGTGGCCCAGCCAGCCAATAACTTTGTCAGACTTTCTGAACAGCCAGCCAATCACCTCTTGTGGCAGGTGAATGAGATCACTGCCTGATGACTAAACGTTTGGCCAAGGGAGCAGACATTGAAAACGTCAAAGCCTGCAGGTAACAAGGACAACAAAATCAGGAAGGACTGGCCCAGGTTTAGTTGTTGGCAATTCCCACTTGGTGGAACAGAGAGAGACCAGGCACAAGCCCACCCAGCTATCCAGCCCACTTAATGCTTGGCTTCTGTCCTTCTGGCCCAGTTCATCTGCCCTTAAGCTCCACCACTGGAACCACTCCTGTAGGTGAGCAGCCGGCTGGCTAGATGCTCTTTGTGGTTTCTCTGCCCCAATCTGAATTTTGAAGGAGAAGGCTTGTGGTTGCACAGCACGGATGAAGTGGCTGGAACATGCTGGACTTGCCGTTACTTCCTCCCAGGGACAACCTGCAAATGTTCCTGGCTCAGAGTAGGTTGGTCGTGAGTCCTACTTTACAGAGTCCTCTATTGGAATGCAATAGAGGGTTTTGCCTACTCCAAAACCCAAACTCCCTTTGGGTTTTAAAGAATCATCATCATCCATTTCTAGGCTGTCTAACAGTTGGAACTCTCTGAAAAGTTGACAAAATTACATATCTTCCTACAAAATAATGAAAACATAGCATACACAATTTAAAATCAGTCAAAACTGCTAAAACATTGGTAGCAATATATTGGATGTTATTTTTAAATGACATGAATGCCCCTACCATATGTTGTCAAATGCCTGGGACCGCAGGATCAGGCAGATTTCAGCTCAGAGATTATTCATCACGAGGGTCCACCACTGAGCCCTGCCCTCTCCCTTGCTGTCAACTTCCAAGCCTCCCTTGAAGGAGACACTGAAGCAGGACCTCGGTTATTGATCCTGGGGCTCAGGTGGGATCGTGCCAGGAGAGGCAACAGGTGAGGGACTGCAACCCCAAACCAGTAAGGCTCTTGCTGCTGAGCTTTTCATGGTTGTCAAGGGGTGCATGGCTATATTCTAACTGGAGGTGACCAGAGCACAGACCACCCATGCCGGGTTATCACTGAGAAGCTGGTGGCCATGCCTGGTCAGCACATCCACAGCCTCACCCAACAAATCAGATTCTGGGCAGTCCCACTTCATGGTTGTTTGTCGATGTTAAATGGCATGGAAGACAAAACCCACTCCTGAGGATCCATCTGCTGGAGAATCCAGAGGTCCAAGCAATATTCCTCAAGTGCCAACATTTGGAGCTAAATAAGAATGGAGCTGCTATAATATATTGCCTCCGCAGCGGGCTCAGGCAGTCTCTCCAGAAGGATGCCATGACTGAGGGTATTGGGAAGCAAAGAAGGAGGGTGTTTTGGCAGAGAGGCAGGAGCAAAAGGTTGCTTGGATTGAACACCAACCCAGCAAGGTAGGCTGCCGCACCCCTTACATATGTACAGCTGAGCCTGAGCTAGGGATTTTTCGGGCCTTACAGGACACTCCTAGGGTTTATGAAACAAGGACCCAAGCCAACATCCTCCCCTACATAGCCCTAGGCCTGAAACCTCGAACAGTAGCAATATTTGGACATGATACTAAGGCTTAATTGGAGGGAAGCACAGGCATGAAGTTATGATATAGGGTACATTTATTTACAGAAAGGAGAAAGGGATAACATGCAATAAACAGAGCGATATTTGGAAACAGTACTTACATGGCAAAATAACAGCTAAACCTAGCTAAAACCTGTCCACATGGATCAAAGCAGGGGTCTTCAGCAGGACAGGGTCAAATGGAGGCAACTGAAACCCAAGATGTGGGCAAGACAGTGGGCAGCTGTAATGCCCGGTTAGGTCTTAAGTCTCCCAAATTGAAGGTGCTCCTCATTCACCGATTGCAGGCTGGCTGGGACAGTTTCCTTGCCTCAGGGGCAGTGGGATGAGGGTCCCTGCAGAACACAGCTAAGAATGGCTTGCAAATATGGGCAGGCTCAGCCTTACAAAATGGAATCTTACATGCTATGAGAAAACAGAATAAAAATAGATTCCTTGCCAGTATAGAAACTGCCAAGAATTATGGGAGTATCAATAGCGTCACATACACCCTGTCTCTCTCCTGACATAGGTCATCATACAGGGCAACCAATGTTATTTCGTTTGGCAGAAAAACAACGCTGAATTCCAAGCCCAGCCTGAAACGCAACAGAAACGCTCCATTTGATCAAATGCGTTTAAGAATGTCTGGAGCTGGCTGGCCACCTCCACCTTCAGGACATTAGCCAGGCAAGGAAGATTTGCCACCAGCCTAGAGTCATTAAGGTCTTTTGAGAGGTTTTCTGCAAGGGCCCTTGTAATGCCATCTCTTTCAGATGGCTCAGGATCATTCCTTTCAAAAATGAAATGATTTGTAATGGGAAGAGCTGGAACCTTGAAGTTGCCCATCTGTATTGCGTTGCCCAGTCTCCTGATCTTAGATTTGCCCATGATGAGAGGTACTGTATTTCAGTTTATGTTGCAGTAATTATTTTGAAATTTTCAACTAAACATATAAATTAGTATATGCAAATTGTATGCAAATCAGAGTCCTCTTTTTTTGGTGATGCATTTCCTCTCTTGTGGTGATGTGCAATTGGCCACTCACTCTGAGGAGACAGCAAATCTTAAAACTGATCTCCCAGACTGCACAGTTTTATCTTCCGGGTTTGTTATTACTGGGAATTAATCTGTACAAGAATTTAGTTTGCTAGATTGAAGCAAAGAGTTTTGCAGTTTAGCTCAGTTCCTTTAGGGTCCCCTTCAGCCTATATTAGCCTCATCAAACCAGAACTAGATAAACAGAGAACTGAACTAACTGTTCAGTTTCTTGGCATCTGAAGGGACAGCTGTTCTAGAAAGCACTCAAGGTAACTTGTTCCTCTGATAATAGGAAGATCCAGGAAGAAAATGATTCAGTGAGATCAGGAAAAGGTTCAAAATGGCGTTGCTGGGAGTTATGGGGTAGTTCACAAACAACCATGGCAGATTATTTGTTCAATATCTTCAGATTCGGTATTTAATTTTATAAAGATGGCTCATTTAAGAACTGCTCTAAGTTTGAGATTGTAATTACAAGGAACACTACATCAAAGATACAAAATATTGACTAATCTAGATGTAAGAAGGAGTTCTTACCAGGATAAATAGAGAAATGAAAAAATACTGTTTAGGAAGTCCAACAGTGGACCTAGAATGTCAAAAAAGTACATCATACATAAATATTGACTTTTTAATGAGCTAATTTTTGATGGTATGTTTTTGAATACTGTCCAGACTCAGTAAACAGCCAAAGGAAAGTTATTTGGGTGGCCAGATACCCTAGTCCTCTATTTTGGAGAGATGGAAGAAGACAGTTCTCTATTTGAAAATGTCCTGTATTTTATGGACGAGTTTAGAATCAAAGAATCATAAGAAGGGAGTTGAAGTCGTCCATCAACCCTTAACACCTGGATAGCAGAGTACATAGGTCGCTGGGTCACTTTTCTCATACATGGTGAGAAGTGTCTTATATGTCTGTTTAAATTACAGTTATTATTTCTACACCTACATTTCTGCATGTCATGCAAATTGGGCTTCCTTTGTCTTTGTTTATTATAAATGGTAACAGTGTGGAAGAACAGCTTTAGTAAAATGAATATTTTTCATATCTACAGGCCTTGCCCTAAAATAATGTTTTAGATTTGAGTAGTACATGAACTTGAATTAATTTTGGGCCATGTGCTTCCTAGAGATCCCCTAGCGGCTCATTCTGGATACCTAACGGATATATTTGCTCTAGAGGATAGGATGGCTAATCTCTTAAGAAGGCAATTAGTTTTAGATAGAAAAATATTAATTCACCTTAAATAGACGATTCGTGTTTCAAAGTCTGGGCTACTGCATTTATGGTTCAATTGACTAACATAAGAAGAACTAGCAGAAAGAGATCTGAAGATCTATTTTTAGAAATGGGGCAAAAATGCCTTGGAAGGACTTTTTTCTTGCTGGAGATGACCTAAGACCTGCTTGCTTGGTTAAATACATTGAAATGACACATTATATTTTAAAAACTATTTTAAAAACTTTCCCCTTATAATTATGATAAGTTGTTTACTACATTTAAGCCTGTATAATTTATGTAAAAATAATAAAGAGACAGCTACTCCTTTGTTATCTGAATCCCTTTAAATTACTGTAGTATTGTTGTAAGCCGCCCCGAGGCTTCGGCGAATGGGGCGGCATAAAAAAGTTTAAATAAATAAATAAATAAATAAATAAATAAATGTCAGGCTGTCCTTTTAACCATCCAGGGACACATAATGAAGAAAACAAAAGAAGGAATAGTATATTTTGGGCATATTCAGGGTTCTATCTTTCCCACCCCCACCTATACAAAGTTCTATTTTTGTATTTATTTATTAGTCAAAATTGCAATGGCTTTCCACAAAGGCCTCAAAACTTTGGACACAAAATACATCGACATGAAAGCAACAATAACAATAGCAATAAAAATAGTGCAGTGCAAAATAATCAGCAGTAAAACCCAACACTTTACTGTGTGCCATAAACCAGAGCTGGCTGGGTCACACCTAAGAAAAGTCTGTGTAAAAAAAAGAGTTGTAGGAGGATGCCTGACATTTGGTCCATCCAATGCCCATTGGTGAAGTATTCCGAAGGGTGGGTGCTAAAACAGTAAAACATGCTCCGCTGCACTCCTGAGCCAAAGCACAGCCACTAACCCTCAGAAATGGTCCTTCCTACGACTGTAAAGGACTGGCGGGTCATAAGGGGTGAGGCAGTCCCTAAGAAAACTCGGTTCCAAGTTGCTTAGGTTTTATGGAACAGCAACAGTTTCTGCCTACACCTTTTCATGGCAAGATGAAGTGAGAACAGCCCCTTCACTGAAGGCAAAGTCTGAAGGCACCTGCGGCAGCCACCTTGCTAAAGCAAAGCAGGTCTGGGCCTGGTCCATCCGTGGAGAATATATCACCTGTGAATTGCATGTAGCTCCCTGCATTTCCACAACCCACTGAGTAAAAGGTTTTAGCATGTATGAACATGAATGGAAGATGCAAAGGGTTTATAGCACAATTATAGTTAAGAAATAAGCAATTTAAAATTGCTTCAAGTGCTCAGGCAGTGACAGGTATCTACAGAGGTTTATGAGCAGCTGTTTCACAAGGTGGGACCCTCCTGCTCTTGGTGACTCAAAAGCCACAATCTCTTTCGGAACAGTTACCACCTCGTGGCATCCATCCTTTCTAATGCAGCTTTTAGGAAGTCAAGGATTTCAGTCTTTTAGGCCGTATGCTAACTGAAATTTCAAGTAGGCATTTTACATTTTAATCCACCCATAGCTGTAGCGGACTATAAAATATATGTAGGATATCTGGCAAGTACTTAAAAGTGGGTAATCTGTATAAATAAGATAGACACATTGAGTATTAGCAAACCTCCGGTGGGAGAAAAATGGCAAGTGCACACACGGTATTGTACTGTCTTCTGCAAAGACTAAATCAGATTTAATTTATGCTCAACATCCTTGATTGATATACTTTTTTAACAGAGCAACCAGCATGCCTGACTGTAATGGTGCCATCTAGTGGTTCCTGTTATATAGTGCTTCATCTGTTTCTGAAACTTACCACTTCATCCTAGCTGGTTGCCAACTTCTGGAGTCATCAAATCTGCCGAATCTTACAAGCTATTTATTGTCCCTGCAGGGCAGAAACAGAGGGGCTGTTCTGTTCCCTCTGGCAAGCAGACTGTTGGCCAAAGCATACATTACTCAGTTGCAAGTTTCCTTGCATCTGGAGATGGGGGCTAGATCGCTCAACAAAAGGATTCATAAATATATAAATTAAATAAATTCAGAAGTATCAGCTATGTTTTTTTTTCATTTTTACTTTATATTAGGTGCAGGGGGTGAATCCACATCTTAAAATGAGCTCTGCCTTCGGATCCAAATTTGGACTGGGGAGGTGGGCTCCAAAACAGAGATGGAAGAGAAACACAGACGAAACTGCTGGTGTGGCTGTCAGTTTTAGTCCTGGGAGGCAAGCTAAGTTGCTTCTGACCAACCTGCTTAAGAGGACAAAGATTGTTGATCTGCAATAACTAAAGCTGTAGCAGAAGGTGTTCTTTAAATTTTACACTTCAAATCTGGTTTCTAAAGACCCTGCTAGGCCCCAGTTCTAGGTAAGATATCTGGGGATAGCTGTGGGATAGCTGTTTGGAAACCAGATTTTCATGAAATTAGCAATGAAAGGAAGAAAGAACTCTTGGCACCAGTGGGATCTTTGTTCTTGTTGCCAAGAGAGAGTGGAGGGGACCTGATCAGGTTCCAGTAGTCAACAAAGGATAAACTGTTAATTCCTCCTACGCCCACCAAGATCCCAGGCCTGATTGAAACCACATACTTGCAATTTACATTCAAAGCAAAACAAAAAATATCACTAATTGTATAAATGATGTAACATCTAGTTTGGCTCTGACAGTCTTCCCATGATGATGATCTATAGATAGGACAAACAAGAGCAAAAGTATTTGGATAGGAACTCGAAAAATCTTCACCATCTTTGGACATCAGATTGTGTCACAGTATGTATCAAGGTGCAAAGTCCAGTGAAGAAATAAATCCCCTTTACATGCAAAGGTCGGGGACACACATGCTGCTTTAGGGCTGGATGAAATAACCCAACACTGAAGGTCTGAAAGGGCTTGACCTAGAAGGCCAAAGGCAGAGATCACCGAACTGCACACTTTTCAGCCAGAGCAAGCTGGAATGACACAGGAGGACAGAATTCCTGACAAGACAAACAGAACATCGGGATTACTGAGCACCTTTGCTGGAGACATCCTGAAAACATAATCAATGCATCAGGCAATAGTTCCAGTGTGACTAAAGTTTTCATCACTTGAGTTACGTATCACACAGCTTATCTGACTTTTTGGAAAGAATGCAAATTTACCTTACCAGCCTTAAGTTGATAGCCATACAAGTGAGGACTTACATACAGGCATCGTGAATTGAATGTTCAGATTCACAGGTCGGTAACCCATCCCCTCCCTATGTTTTGGACTTCAGCTCCCATAATCATTGAATTTTGCTGGTTGGGGTAGGTGGGACTTGTAATCCAAAACATCTGAAGAGTAATGCCTTCCATGGAGCTTGTTTGCAGGTTTAGCTGAAACATTAAGCCTGAATGACTGACACAGATGTACTGACAGCAAGAGCTGGTAATTTTGGTGTTCTGGCCCCATGTTTATATTCCAGCTGAACCCACCCTGACAACTGCTTCGAATTTCATCCATCAGGCTGAAACCTTCAGTGCCTCTGTAGCTGCTATTACTTCCTCCAACCCAATCACATGCACTGCTAACTCAGCACAACAATCCGTATATACCTCTGGGACATTGTACAGCTTCAGGAAGAAATGTGGCACAAATATAATCTGTGTTAAGATAATTTTGGAACATCTAATTTCAGCCTAAGATGGACTGCACAGGGAAATTAGCCTGGTACCTCCTATGTAGGAGAACGTTGATACAGCTGTTCAGGAGGGCAAAAAGCCTACCAGGTGCTTACTTTTTACTCCCTAATGCATCTGGTTTTTGAGATAATTTTAAAAAATATTTAATAAGCCTGTAAGGATTAATGCATGGTACAAAAGTTCTTGGGAGGCCAACTTTTAATGTACGTTGCTCCAAAGCATTCATTTCCAGAGTAACAGATTGGTAGCTGACACCGGGCTAGGTTTGTTAAATTAATGTATGTCCTATGTTATGGAAACATATTTAACAGCTGCATATGGAGCATGTCAGTCCTTAACAGCATGCTTTTCAGTTGACTTTGTACTTAACATCTGCACTTCTTATTGCTTAATAATTTACAAGCAATAAAGAAGCTATAGCAGATAAGTTAGTGCCTTAGTCTGAAAATTACTGTTGTAATTTAAGTTCAGAAAATGGACTGCTTCACACATGCGAATGGACTGCATGTACATCCTTCAGAATTGTCCACAGATGCCAACTCTATAGTTCCAGGATTTAGCAGCATATTTTTGTAGAAAGTGTAGAGGGCTTGTTCAACACAGTGCTCTTCAAACAATGCTTCTGCTGAGATATCAGAATGAAATTTAGCGTAACACAACTTTCCATTTAATAGTCCAGCACCTGATTGACCCTCATGCCTGTTTTCGAGGAAGAAAATTTGCATGCAGATGAAGCAAGGGTCCTATACATTGTGGATTCTGTCAGAATCTGGAGTGCAAACCTGTGTTAACTGTATAATTCATGCAGTGAATGCAAGGGATTTTAAAAAAATATGTTTTCTTTTAAAAAAGTAAATTTATTAGTGTTCTGAAAAATAAAACCAAAAATTAATTAAAATTGAAAAACAAAACAAGAACACATTGTTAACTAGTCAATAATGTACAAATGATTAGATTATGTCACTATGATTATAAACTTTAATTCTAAGTAAGCTTGGACAAGATTAACACATACCCCTTCCTTTCTCTCCACAACCCACAGTAAAATTGCTCCATGGGTTTCAAAGGACACAATAGCCTGTTGTGGGCTAAACAACCCCTAAAACTCTCTGGGCTCTCAGGGTACCTTGTTTCTAAAAACAATAAACATGACACAACAACTTGTCGTGGCTGGTTACCCACTGGCTTGTTTCGTGCAAATCCAGTCAATTTGCTTCTTTGGATTGCTTGCACACACTACCGCATTTCTGTGGAAGCTGGTAGAAGCTCCACCACATACCAGCATCAGATTTTCATTCTACCACCCAATCTGCATGTCAAGGCAAAATTGAACCCAAGAGTTGCAGGAATTAATGGAGTGCACTAGCCATGTTCAAACCATTAATCAATAACCTAGGAACATCCCATTCCTGTCTTGTTCTGTAACGTGTAAATCCTGTGACTCTGGGTTGTTTTCAGCTTCAAACAGTTGCAACCACCCCAAGGCTTTTCTCCTCTACACATAATGAAGCGACCGAGGAGCAAGGACATCACTGGGTTATTAACTGAAAATGGAAATGTCTTGTTCGTAGTTCACATACTCCACCTGTCCCTGGCAGGAATTTAACCACCCAGAAATTGGTGTTGGGATGCATGAACCAAGACTACATGTTACGAATATGATGAGCTGATACAAAAGCACACTGCATCACTATGTTGTATTTCCCCCTTTTTTCTCTACGATGCTTATCCATATTCTGAGGGCAGGGGAGACAATGAGCCATGACTGAGGCTTCTTTCCTTACTCCTACTGCAGCATTCTGTGGTGGAATAAAAATGTGTTTGACTCAAAAGATAATCCCAATGACAAGATAAGGCAGCTTAGAGAGGAGAGTTACAGATTCACATATTACAAGAGAACCAGGGAAGGAGAAATGTAATCAACTCAGGTTGATGCTTCACTGTTTTAGGTAACATAAACCAACTTAGGTGCAAATACAGCCCAACATATTGGCGGGAACTGAAATTTGGTGGAAGAGATGTCATGCTCTTGATCTATAGCATGGATTCTAAATGGTAAAATCACAAGAGCATGAGCATTTACAAGGGAGTTAAAAATCAGTTTGCAATCTTCTGGTAGAAATACTATATTGCTTAGATCCCAAGATTGCCTGTGCTGAATTAGCTTTGGACCATCTAATGGATCACCACATTTGAAGGGTAGAAACTATATTTGAAAGCAAGGAACCATGGAACTTTGAAAACAGAAACCAAAGTTTATGTCAGAGCAATGTACATTATAAGCAAAGATTAACCAAACAAATTATAAACAACACCTGGAGAGACAAAGAATTTAATGTATGTTTTGCCCACACACTGCAGGATTGAACCACTAAACAACCATGTTCACCAGGTACAAAAATGACCCTTTTCTTGGCAGGGACGGCTCACACAAACATGATCATTTCTTAATTTTGCAGGGATCAAAATGCAAGCTACCTGGATCTCTTCAAGTCTAATGTCCATACTCCATCAAACACAATGGCTTGACTTAAGATATGTTAACCTAAGGAAGTTTAGAAGCTTTCCACCCCTTCCTCCACTCTGCAGCTAGCTGCATTCCCTGCCCCAAGTCTCTCTGAAGGATCAAGTCCCCCCCACCCCACCCCGAACAATGGCTGCTGGAAGGAAAGGATGGAGAACTTTCTGTTCTGTGAACTACCACAATTTATCTTAACCAAACAAGTACTTATGTAGTCAATGCACCACTTCGGCTGCTATTCTTCAAGTGTTGAGGAACCAAGTGGTAACACAAGGAATATACATGCATCATAAAATCACCCCTTAACACAGTTATTACAGACCAGCTGAAAACTTTGAGTGAGACTCCCCTAGTGTTCCGACTCCAACTCAGGTGTGGAAAAGGCGTTTTTCTAAAATTTGCACAATGCTGTATCACTTTCTTCATCTACTTTCATCTACTTTATAAACTGTTTCTTTCTGAACTCTCTGGAGAGGCTCCCTGCAAGGCCCACTTAAAATAAAACCCTTACACACAACAAAAGTTGGCAAAGCTCCAGATCTAGCCTATGGTGCAGTCATGAGTTTTACTGTAAATGTAATGAGGAAAAGCTGAAGAAGGAGCTAAGTGTTTCTGGGGGGCATCCTTCACAGCCATAATAGTCCAAAGCTGCTTTTCCTGAAGAACACACGGTGCATTAAGAACAAGCAGATCTTTTCACAGATGCTTTTGTAACAATAATCCACCTACACAGTCTTTTCCTTAATATATTTACATGCATGTCAAAACAGATGCTTTACAGACAAAAACATCCATAGAAAAATGTGAAGTTTGGGTTCCCCCTGGTAACCTCCCTTCTTCTATTGCTTCTGAGGTGATGACGGGACAGGGAAAAACACAATGATAATCCATATTAAGAAACTAAGAGTTTTCTGTTTCCACCCCAAATTGCAATTACACTCTGTTACAGCACACACTCAGACAGATGCACTCCAACCCCCTCCCCCCACAGCCCTTATGATCTCATAGTATGTAAATAAGAGTTCCAGAGGGGGACAGCATGCTCAGAAACATACAGTTAATTCACAAAAGTAATTTGGTTGGTTTCAGGCTCGTAAAATGCTGTATTATATGCTTTGAAGATTTCCCATCTGCCTGTGCAATCCATTAAGCAACCATGGGTATGTTTTCATTTGGCACAACGAGGACACAAAGTGAGTTTTTCTGAAATAATTCACATTTGTCTGGATGCTGAACTGTCTCCTTATCCATTCTTTGGCCAGCCTGCAGCAACTAACAAAGCTACCTTGTAAAGCAACATCTGTTTTATTTGAGTCTATTTATCCAGCAAATAAACAGTGGGTATCAGCCTCAGGAATTTACAGTATATTTCAAAATAAATCTGAGCAATCGTTTTAGGGGTCAGCACTGAACAGTGGATAGTATGACATATAACTCAAATTAATACACATCCTTTTTAGTAGTAGTTTTAGTACTAGAATAAAAAGGTTACTGAATCACTAAGACTTTTTAGTGTTTTATTAGGTTTTATAGAGATATAAAACCTTCCAAGTAGATCTGAAAATATCATGCCTGTATAGTATATAACATTCATTTTCACAACTTATGAACCTGCTGTTGTGCATTTTGTTCCGTTTTAAAATGGTTTACAAATGGCACATTTAAAAGTGGGCACCTGAAATTTAGTAACTACAAATGTTTCAGCAGCCAACATGATTTCTTTATGAACATTTTTTTAAAAAAGTGTGTCAGTGCACATCATAAGGCAGTGGCTATTTAAACTCTAGCATCATCATGATGATAGAATGAAGGTAATTTAAAAATAGGTTTGCAAAGGGAAATTAAATGCTAATTGTTTGCAAAACAGCATATCTAAAGAGATACCTTATTTAAACTAATCTCACTGTTCCTTATTTTTTGTTTAATCTGATATGGGTTGCATTAAGGCACATGTAAGATACAACAAACATGAATATCCATGGAATTCCTCTTGCACAAATAGTAAAATGTACCATTTAAATTTCTTTAAAAAATGAAATACAACGTTTGCTAAGAAATTCCTATACAAAGTTATAAAATTTACACCATCTGAGCTGCCAAAGAGGTAAAAACTTATCAGTTCTCGATAAACTATTTTTAATTGTACGTCAAAGCGGGCAATATAAATACCCCAGCCCTTTAAAAGGCCAAAAAAAAGAGGACAAAAATAAAACCCCACCCAACAGAAAAATCCCGTGTTATGAGACGCATGATTCCAAAATAGTGTGTTTTCCTTGTTCCAAAAAGAAAAAAGAAAGAAAAGAAACAGAAAGCTTAAAATCTATTAAAATGACAACACTGGAAATTATGGGAATAATTCACCAGCCAACAAACAGGAGCTGTGCAAGCAAAGCACAAGACCGTGGGAGGCATTTCTCAGTGCACTGCGCCCTCTGCGTTCAAATGCTTGGACTGAAATAAGGCACTTTTCTTCCAATGAGAAGCACCCTCCAAAGAAATGACACAAGGACGAGATGAGTCAGATCGGATTTCTGGTTAAACACATGAAAGTTGATTGAATGATATCCCAGGATGCAACAGTAACGATTCAACAGCAGGGGGAAGACACAGGAGGCAAAAATCTGGAGGACGCGAGTCTCTACACAGAAGTGGTCACTCTGTCATTGGCATTATTGACCTCATTTTTGTTTGAATCCAGTCCTTTAGCAGCATTCATATCATTCCGTAAATTTTCCACTGTCTTTTTCATGTTCTTTAATTCCCCAGGGTGAGGAGTGGCTCGCCTTAGAAGTGTCCTCTAAAAACAAACAGTGGAGTAAATGATTTTTCTTGTGCCTCTCTTTTAAAAAGTTTATATATATATATATGTTAATTGTTTTACAGATTTAGTGACCAATTATTAGGTTTACCATGGAATGTAAATATCGGTTGTCAGCTTTTAAAAAATTGCTTAGTCTGATAACAAATGTAGCAGGGGATATATATAACAGCTCAAGAGATGCCAGTTGTGATACAGAGAAGCAATATGCATGAAGGGGAGAACCACAAGCACAACAGGTATGTTGGTTCAGACACAAAACAAAGCTCATGCTTCTTCTACCACATGCATCCCCTCTGTGGGTAGCAGCACTGGGCTGGATCCATACTAAGCTAGTTGCGCCTAGTTGAAAGCAACTGCATCAAAGACATGGCTAATCTGCCCCACTGTTTTCATTAGGAACCAAGCAAAACTTAGTCTGGATTCAACATTTTGACCTGGTCCGCATGACCACCACAACAATTATGAGTTGTTTAAGCCATGCTGGGCAGAATTTGCATATTTGATGTCCAACTGAGGCTTGTCATGTCACACAAACCCAAAGACTGTGGGAAACATGAGGCAGTGTGGCACAGTGGTTAAAGTGCTGCAATGGTCTGGGACAGAGGATCTGGGTTTTAGTCTCCACTTAGTCATGATGCTCACTGGGTGACTTTGGGCTAGTCACTGACTTTCAGCCTCACCCCGCTCACAGGGTTGTTGTGAGGATAATATGGGGAGGAAGAGGAGGAGTATGTAAACTTGTGGTCCTTGTAGGAAAAAAGGTAAAATAGAAATATAACAAATAAGTAAAATAACTATCATAACTAAATAAATAAATAACCATCAGATAACCCAACAACAGGCCATGGGTTATGCAAGGGTGGTGGAGCCCTAACAGAACCCATGTTTCTTGGGTTTACACAACATGGGAAGCTGTGACTGGGCTCTGCATATTCAGTGGAGCTGCTCAACCACAGACCACCGTGACTTGATTAAGTTGGCTGGTCAGTCATGCAGACTGGCTCACTAGGATGAAAATCCACAAGAACTGTTCCCAGCTCCAGTCTCCCATGACATTATTTCTGGCTAGTTATTTCAGTCAGTGGCTTTCATATAGCTATTCTTTTACCTCAGAGAGACTGTGCTGCTCAAGACATTATCATTCTTATTGCATGAGAAATGAATAAAAGAATGTTCCCAAGGAATTATCTAGACATCTTACTTCTCCTAAATAGCAGACCCCAGCACAATGGCCCATGATGAACTGCTTTTAAAATAGAGGACTTTCGAAACATATTTATGTGAAAGCAGTTGCTGTTCTGGATGTGTGACAGGGCGTAGATTTCTGTTGGCTATGCCTGTTAAAATATATTGCCCTACAGTGTCAAATTTCATGATGAATCACTGCCCATCACAAAAATGAGGGCTATTTTTACAAAATTCCCGGGCTTTTAGAAGAAGTTGAACTCTCTATTTTATCATTATGGATTTCATGTGATATTTGGGCTACTTCACACTTTGAAGACAATGTTTCAACATGCTTCTGGTTTCAAAACTCTGTAAGAATCTACTTTGGAAATGTGGTGCTCATATATCTATTGAACTGCCTGCTAACATTCAAGAGACTCGAATACATGCAAGGATCATTTTGCATATGCAGATATAAAATGTGACAATCTTAGAAAAGTGAATGTACCAGCTATGTGAAAAAGCATCTACCAGCATATGCATTCTGACTCACAGTAGCCCCCATTAGTTTTACACAATGGGATTTTATCTGCCTTTAATTTGCGTTGGTTCTTAAGAATAAAACTAGGTGAAGGGAGCAGCTGATTTTGTGTCAAACAGTGTAATATTATACTAGCATTAGTATCCCTGTGAGGTAGGTTAAGCTGAGAGTGAGTGGAGTGGCTCCAGGTGTTCCAGAGAGCTTCATGGCCGAGTGGGCATATCTATTTGAAGGGACTGCTGTTAAGAAGTTAGGCAGAAAAGGCAGAACAGACATTTCAGGCAGATTCCTCTTGACCCTGAGTGTTGTTCTTTTTCTGAACAAGTAAATACTTCACATGATTTAACAAGAAACAGAGAATATCAAGAGCTAAGACGAACTAGCAAACCTTGCATTAGTTGCAATTGGCAAGACTATCTTGGACAACTGAAATGTGTGTTCTGCAATGCCTACCAAATACGAACTCTGATGGCGACTGAGTACTACCTCAGCCTCAGCCTTTTCGGGCCAACATGGAGGACTAAAGCCTATGCTCATTTTAATGGCATATCTACCACCCCTGCTTAGTGCACTTTTGTTCCTTCCTTTAGCCACTTCATCTACAAATAATGTCATTAAGTTAGCTGTTTGTTAAATCTGACATTATAAGTTAAATAATAAAATGCATAATTAAATTGGAAGTACCTCAGACAAATAACGTGGTCCCAAATTTCAGCAGCAAATCAGCTCTTTAGCAAGGGCCAACAACATTGCACTCGTGGGGGTTTACCCAAGTGCAACACTTGAGCACTAGAGCTGCGGTACCACTGGCTACCACAAGGGGATGGGGGAAGGTAGAACCAATCTCTGCCTTTTGTGGTGCAGTACACTAATTGTAAGAAAACATCTATTTTGTACTTGTCACACGGAGATGGATAGAGACCTGTTCTCCCCTGCAGAGGAAGGCAGGATGCGCTCCAACAGAGCAAAGTTCAGGGAACAAAGGTTCCATTTAGATGCCAGGAAGTACTTCCTGACAGTTAAGACCCCGAGGGTGTGGAATGGGCTTCCACGAGAGGTCGCTGAGGCCCCATTGGTGAGGGTGTTCAAGGATAGGCTAGACATGCACATGGTGGGCATGTCATGAGCGGAGCCGGCTGGAGCCGGGGGTCAGACTAGATGGCTCAGGAGACCCCTTCTGACTTGCTCAATTTCTACATACTTTGAAAAAAAGGTGGCAGTCACTTTTCAAAGTAGGACCATTTCTATAGCATACATGAAATGCATTTTAGGTTTAGACTCAGGACCACTGTACATATTACTTACATCTTTAGCTCGTGGCCTTCCAGAAGTTTTGGCTCAAATAAGTCCTAGCCAGCATAACAAATGATCAGGGATGATGGGAATTGTAGGTTGAAACATCTGGAGGACCACATGTTGCCAACCCCAATTTAGGTGCATGCCGAAAACCATCTTCAGTGTGAATGTACTATACAGTTACACTGACCTGGGAGCCCTCGCTGGCTGCAGTTTGGTATCTTTTATGACTCAAAAGTTTAATGATGTATGTGGGACCTAATTTCACAGAGCATTTGGACGGAGTGGGTGTATATTTTAGTGGAGGTCTAATAAGTACAGTGACAGATGCTCCCACTAGACCCTCCTTCATTTGAGCAGAACACGAGGCTTTTTCTGCCAGATCACAGGTATTACAGTCAACTTGCAATGCAAATGGTTATGAAATGAAGGAGGGACAATGGAAGTGACTGTGGGGAAGATGACAGACAGTGTGATGGGGTAGGAGACAATCCAATGGAAAAAAAATCCCATAGGGGTTGCTGCCTACAAAAACACAGGGTCCACAGCTTGTACCTTCCACAGAAATCCCTACCTCTATTTTGCTTTTAGCAAACTGAAGGGAACCACCTTAAAGAAGCAAAAAGGAAAGAAAACTAGTCACAAAACACCAAGTAGATCTAGATTTAAATATTTATTTGTTTCTCGAAGCAGAAAGGGCTTTGGCCCACCCCACCCCCACAAGAAGTCTCTGATCAGAAACATCCAGCAAAATCAGCACGTAGGACTGTTTGCTGGTACCACATCAGTTAACTCTGGGACAATCAGTTGTCCGATAAACCATGCTTACCACCCGCTTTTGCATTTGTTTTCTGACAAAACATACCATTTCATTATCCTCTTCATCTTTTTCATCTTCTAAAAAGCGGATTGCACTGACTCTGTTTACTGCCCGTTCATTCCATGTTTCATCTGACATTTCATTTACCAAGCTCTCCAGTGCACCACAACGGGGCAGGTTCTCTATTACGACAGCAGATAGCAAGCGGAGAGAGCAAGTTTGCATGTTAGAGGTGAATGCTGTTGTGCATTCAGTAGTCAAGACTTTGCATGGAAAACAATGATGGCAACAACATACAATACTCACTTGAGAGGTTAGCTGCAAAGATGCTGCTTACATTTAGTTAAGTAGTCGCACCGTTTTTTCAAAAAAGCCCAATGGTGCAACTTCACTCAGCGTTTCTGTCGCTATCAGAACACTCAGATCGGACTTTAGAACTACTTCTGGCTGATTTCCCCATGATTTACATTTCCCAAATGGTAATGTCTGTTATGTTTCTAGTGCAAATGAATACTCTCATGTGTAAGATTGTTAGCTACAAAGACTCTACTTGCTTGTGGTAAGACTTAGGAACATCTAGCTTATTGAAAAAACTGTTCCAGGATTAAACACAAGATCTGCATTTATTCAGCAACATTTTAGAAGTAAAATTAGGGGGGAGGGTAGTCAGTAAGCCATCCTTCTAATCATCTGGTAGAAACTATGCAATAACAACCTTAAAATTAGCATTTCTAAAAAACCAAGTATCCTTAATAGCTTATACATTTAAAATATTTTGTACAATCCTACTATGCAGGCAATTTGTTTTTAGTTTGTTTTTCTCATTACCCTGTCTGAAACCATCTTGTTTCACGTGAAAATGATCTCCAAATATATTTACCTTGGCAACCAGGCTCAGAAGGCATTTGAGGAAGTAAAACACATGTTAAAATCTTTTCTCCTATTTCGGGATCTGTGTCTGTCTGGAATGTCAGCAGAGGCTGGGACTGGTTATCAGACAGCCACAGTGCTTTCAGCTTCAAGCTAGTGAGTGACATGGGAAGATGTAGCAACCTAGAAGAGAAAACAAGGAAAAGTTCTAGAAATTTTTAAAAAGCTCTATAGAAGAAAGGAAAGAAACAAAATTTTTCAACAGGAATCTTTGTTGCAGATTAACATGAATACCTGTCCAGAAAAAGAATAAAGCGTTTCAGTGTAAAAATCCTACTCTTTCTCCTTTCTGCAGATGCCTTAGGTAATGATCTCTCTTGTAGCCTCACTGAAATTTTGAACTTCTTACATATTTTACAGCATTTTACATAAATTCCCATTTAGCTTTATGGATCATTCATTCTATGAAGGCAGATATATAAGAAACTTTTATGTGCCCTGCCTGGAATTTATGCAAGTCCAATGCTTACTGCTGAAAGCTGTACTTGTCTGCAGAAGTGCTAATGAAGAAGGGCTTATTTTTCCCTTTTAAGTGAGACCCACTTCATATGGCATACAATATTGTTATTGTGGTGAGAACTGGTATTAAAGTAGGCTAGAGAGAAATGTGTTTTATGTCTCAATCTTAAGTTGGATTTAAGTGAATGAGAATGTAGAAAGTGACTGAGCCTGAAAGGGACCTTGGGGCGGTGGTGGACGGCTCAATGAAAATGTCAGCTCAGCATGCAGCCACTGTGAAAAAGGCAAACTCCACATTAGGCATACACTGTATCCCCGAAAATAAGACCTAACTGAAAAATAAGCCCAAGCATGATTTTTCAGGATGCTTGTAATATAAGCCCTACCCCAAAAATAAGCCCCAGTTAAGACTATCAGCCAGACAGACGCATTTAGTATGTCTGTTGCAACACAATTCTGGGTTTGGAGAGTTATGACAATATCCAGAAGAAGATGGAATTACTGTATTTGAATAAATGTAGATCGTTGTACATGAAAAAATAAGACATCACCTGAAAATGAGCCCTAGTGTGTCTTTTGGAGCAAAAATTAATATAAGACCCAGCCTTATTTTTGGGGAAACACGGTAATTAGAATGGAACAGAAAATAAAATTATTAGAGATCTTACTTCTCTTATACAAATCCTTGGTGCGACCACACTTAGAATATTGTGTACAATTCTGGTAGCCTTACCTGAAAAAGGAGGCTCACAGTGCCTTTACCAGAGGTGGCAGGCCTTCACACCCCAGCTGCTGAGGAGCCTGGCTACAAGACTCTGCCTGACCGTCTTGCTTGAGATACCACCATATGTACAGAATGCTGGACTAGATGAACCACTGGTGTGAGCCAGCAAAGGTTTTCTTATGCCCTTATACAAACCAATGTATTGATAATCCAAATAACTCCACCCAACACTATGAAGACTCATATCACAACAGCTGCTTTATATTAATGCAACACCCAAGGTAAAGAGATTTTAAGTATTATTGATATTACTTTTTTCATAAAGGGAGTCTGAACTTAAATGACATTGACAGGACAATCTGAGAGGAGGAAGAAGCAGAGGTAGAAGACACATCAAATCTCCTCATGGCAGCAAAGCAGAAGGTGGGAGGGTGGCCTTTTCCCATTTGTTTTCTTTTCTGGCAGCTTTTTTATTTTTCAAGAGTTCCACTCACACTAGTAGCAATGGGGAGAAAATGAAGTATGCCTAATTCAGGGCTGCCATAATTCCTCTTAGCACCACATCTAAGAGGAGGACTTTGGATCCTGAGGTTCCCCTATACCTGCTCCCCTTTTGCTGCTATCACTGGTAGTGCATGAATGTTGCATGGACTGCAGCGATTTCCTTGTTTTCAAAGGGGATACTTGCAATAACAAATGTCCTTCTCTGCCAGCAGGAAGGAAGAGCTGCTGTTATCACAAATAGACAGTCTAGGACACTGCAGGTGTTTCAGAATCCCTGCCCTCTGGCCATGCAGACTAAGGCTGATGGGGTGGTAGGCTGAAACACCCAGAAAGCACCAGGTTGCCTATGGCATCCTTCCCAGGCAGGACTGTAGCCTATGATGCCTGGGTTCTTTGCTGTTAAAGCATCAACTTCATTACAGATTGGGTACTACTATTCTGCAGGGCTTTGGCAAATCTTAGAATAAATAAGCTTGGATTGCTTTGCTAGCATTAACCTTAACACCATCTCAAAGTCTTCTCACTGTCACTACCAAATGTAAGAAGGTTAATGAAGCTGCAAAATTCCACAAAGAGGCATCACAAAACTCTTTTGGATGTATGATAAAAATGAATACTTGCCTGTTTCCAGCTACATCTAGGACGTGAAGTTCTGTGGCTTGGGATAATTCAGGAGGAATCCTAGATAACCGGTTGTCTCGTACTGAAAAAACATTTAGATTGCAACATCCACCAATCTGTTTTATGGAGGGAAAAAAGGAGATTGCCTTATTGGTGTTGATACAGTTTTACTATGTATGTAAAACATACAATGTGAGAGACTAATAGTATTCACTTACCAAACCCCAAGAAGTTATTAGGCCTTAGCAGTCAGTTTGTGCAACAACTCATTCTGCTAAGGGGTAGTCCAGGGAATTGTATTCTAATGTCTTCTCAGTGTCAAAGCTATACAAATGTCAGGCTTTTCTCCCTATGAAAATGCAGCTGCTGAAGGCAGATACAAACTGGGACCACAGTGGGGGGAAAAGGGTTAATGTCTGCCTACCCCCTCATGCTAAGGTCCTAATTCAGATCAGCTTCCCCTTGGTTGCTTCTGAGTAAGAAAGATGGACATAAGTGCTTCCTAATAAGATATATTAAAGGTAATGTGAATTTGACCTTCTAATTTAAGTTACTAGAGACAGCTAGAAGTAATTAGCATGGCAAACCATAACCCTTAAATAAATAAATGGACAAGCATAGGATTGCACTGTAGATGACTTTACTGCTGTTTTGACTGTGTTGTTATTGCTTTTAACGGTCCCAAGACCATTTGATAGTGGATAAGATACAAATCAAATCAAATCAAATCAAATAAATAAATAAATAAATAAATAAATAAATGTTACTTTTCTTGATTTCTTCAAAGCTGAGTAAGAATGGGCAAACTGACTTACCCAAGGCAAGATGCAATGTTGAAAGCACTGATTGCCAGCTTACTTGCATGTCAGTGGCTTGTACCAGACAAGCACCTGAGAGTTTGCTACACGGCAAGTACTGAATTTATTGTAAGCCGCCTTGAGACTACGGTAGTCTCAAAGTATATATAAACAAACAAACAAACAAACAAACAATCTCCTATCCATACAAATGACATAAACTGAGTTCAATTTGTGTTATTTGAGCAAGAGTGCACTGTCAGACACCTCTTACTCCAAAAATCAACAATTTACATGATCTCCAAAGTGTAACTCAACTGCTCAACTGTAAGCAATGGATTCCCTTTTTCTACAGAAAGGAAAGGAAAGGAAAGGAAAGGAAAGGAAAGGAAAGGAAAGGAAAGGACTCTATTGTGTGCTTCCTAAGTTGTCTAGATTCATAACCACTATTTCTAAGTAATCAATCCTAGACATATTTATTCTAACATAGAAATAAATTGAGTAAGAATAATGGAAATGCATAAGGTCTTTTTTCCCCCAGTGAATATCTCTGGGATTGGTGAACAAATCTTATCAATTTAACATATCAAGTTTCCCATTTCCTCTTATCCACTGCTGCAATTTCACCTGAAATTAATGTAGCTAACACCATCACCTTGAACTCAAGGATCAAACACTCAGGTTTAGTTCAAATCAAAAATTCATTCCAAGACCTTCTATGATAACGGACTTCAATAATGCATGCCTCTCTATATTCATAGAAAATCTGTTCCACTATCTGGATGATGTTTCTTTTTTCAGAAGTTCAAAAAGGCTAGACAGTTGCTACCACAAATACCAACTGCTGGCATAAAAGGAACGGTCCTGCTGGATGACGAGTACAATGCTTGTATCAACAAGCTGCTTGAAAGCCCCTCCTCAGCCTTGGTTGAAAGTCTAAAAATACAGTTTCGAATGACTCATTAAGTACTAGCCTAGCTACTGGAGTGTGCTCAATTTTGGTTGAAGCTAATTTTCATATTCTTTTCCCTTTTATAACTGCAACCCTTTTCACTCCCCTCCCCCCAAACTATCCTTTTCATTCCACTTTGCTCTGTAAAATTTCTGCCAACATAAATATTTTCACCATATTCCCTTCCATAAGTAACAGGCACACTTTCCTATTTTCATGCAAGGAACTGGTAGTGAAAGCATGAGCAAGATGATTATATACTGTATTTTTAAGCTTCAGGCCCTTCCAAGGAGTGAGAAACCATGCAGTAAAAACTTTGTAAGTGCTCTGACAATTTCACAGGGTATGAGGTGCTTTAACAAAAGTATCCATTGTCTGCCTAATTGGTGCATCTCTCAAATGAAAAACTGAGAACAATTATTCTGGTTAGTGAATGCTAGATGAGCTGGCAAATGATGCCCTGTGGTACACAAGGAATATTTGCATTGAACAATTCTGTTTCAAGAACATAAGCAAGAATGAGTGTTGGCCATGCAGCCTTCCTGAGAGCATCCCACCCCTTACGCTGGAAAATCCCAGACTTTGGGGGTAATGAAAGTGCAGTGGTGTAGCCAGCCAGGTTGAATCATCATGCATTGAAAGCAGTCGGATGAAAGGCACTGGTGCGACTTTGGACTGAACAATACTTACAAGGTTACAAGAGTTTACCTGACTCAATTTTCCAAGCAGCTAACAATTAAGAAAAACACAAGAGACAGTTGTTTGGTTGTAACGCACACTATTATTTATGCAGACTGGACAGTGCCATTCACACACGCGCGCACACATCCCAAGAGACCATTTTCCCCCCACCAGAGAGCTCAACATTTCCACTAAACTTATGTTTACTTAGGCAAAGCTGGTCACTAGCTAGCCCAACATGGATCAGCAGCCTTGAGCAATTTGATATTGGATATTTGCCTGGGAAACGGACCACTATGGCCACATTGGGGCCACCTGTAAATTCACTGCAGGAAATCACATGGAAAACCAAGTGTCGTATGTGTTAAAATTGCCATTTCTCTGCACCCAATGGAAAATGTGGGGTAATATAGCCATGATAAAATATGTTCCCCTACTATAGGGTCAGGTAAGGCAACCAACTCCCCATGTGGTTAGATGCATCTTGCAGTGAGTTTACCAAGTACTACTATGTTTGCCACCCAGTCTGAGCGGATCCGATCGATGCCACATGAGTGAGCATTCCCTTGCATAAAAGAATTCCCTGTCCTCTCTTGTGTTTGTAGTCCCCACCCCAGCCACATGCCCCAAATCTGCTCTGGAGGGTCCCCCTACCCTCTGGAGTAAATATGGGATGTGTGCAAAGGGCTTCTACTAATCATCTACTAGTTTCTGCTAGCAATGGACCAGTATTGAATCCAACCCAATTTGATCACAGGAAGGATTCGATCAGGTAACATGTGGGCACATTGCAATTAGTTTTTATATGCAAGATGGTTATCCAAGAACCAGAAAAGGCCAGATAAGGCAAAAGGTGCACTCTGAATGTATGTCATATTTACATTTAAAATGTAAATGTAATGGTCATGCAGCTATGACCAAGTTATTAAGTGAAGATGCAGGCTCCAATCAAAACAAATAAGTCATCAACTCTGAACTGACAGCATTACACATTCCTTCAATCCTTTTTAAAAATAAGTATGTCTGTTCTGAAAAATAGAGTTCCTCGAGGATGAACAAAACACAAGTGTAACAAAATTTTGACTCTGCTATGCATAAACTTTGCCTGTAAGTGTTAGGTGCATCCCTGGGCATTTTAAGGGGTGAGGGCTCGGAGCTTCTTTTAAAGTCGAATTATACCTTGAGCCCACATGTTCTTGAAACATGTTCTTTGACTATCTTAAGATAAACCACAATAAATCAAAATGTTTTCTAGTAAGGATTCACCTTGCTGCCAGAATATTTTGAAGTTTGTGAAGGGGAAAACAGCCATGAACAAGGGTTAAGATAGTTTGCAAAAGCATATATCTACATAAAACAATTAACGAACACAATGATAATCGGCAAAATTATTTCGGAGTGCAATCCTATGCATGCTTGGCAGAAGAAAGTCCCACAATTTCCAGGTGGCACAGTCAGCATGGCTGACTGGAAGAATGCTGGGATTTGTAAGAATTTTTTTCTGTCTAAACATGCATTGGTTGTTCCCTGGATCTCAAAGTGATGCAGGGAGTCTTTTTTATCCTGAAAATCCTGTAAAATAAGGTCTAAAAGGACTAAGTGACAAAAGACAGGGGGGAGTGGGAGTGGTTACAAATACTAAAGAGCATGCATGTTTTGAAAATCTGCAATATCTGTGCCATAATACAAACCCAGAATACTTCTCTCAGCTTTTCTGTGGGATAACTGGCAGCCAGCCACCCATTTTATATTGTATTGATGAAACTTCCATTAGTCATAGAAACTGTATATTTGGAAACAAACATTTTTAGTTTCATTAAATAAATAGATTAGATAGAGATCGCATACAATGAGGGAAAAACAATGAAAGGCAGGGGAAGAAAAGTCAAGAGAACCAGACATTTGAATCTGAATGCTACTGTGGTATATATGGACTTTAAAAATGTCCCTGTTCTACCCAGATGCTTTACCTGACTGAGGAACACTGTGTTCATTTGCGCATTTTATGTTGCATTTCAGGTGCTCAAGTTCCGAGCTTATGCTCTTCAGTGTCTCAGGAAAACTCTGTCTTGCCATTTGTGGACAATGCTCGCTACTACGCCATGTGTTTGTTGTGTGTGCACATGTGTGAGTGTTTAATTCTTAAAATTCTACAAGCTATGCGAGTGAAATATCTTATGCAAATACATTTTAACAGATGCCAAAGTTAGGAGACCTAAGAATCGGCATTCATTCATTGTGTTCTGCATTGTTCCAAATTTTAGGAAGGAAGTCATTTGCTTTATTTTATGGTTGAGAAGCTTAGCATGTGGCTTTCTCCTGCCACCACAGAAACTAGCCTTTTCATTTTAATCCCTGCCTTGCCCCTATCCTAAACCAGGTATTACAGACTTAGTGCACTTTTAATTCTGCAGCACAACTGCCTGATCTTTTTTAACACAGAAGGAGATATGCTAGACCATTTTTTGGCCTTGATAGTGTTATCTGTTAATAGAAGAAGGAACAAGAAAACAATGTGATAATAGAGCAGCATAGTGTCATATTTACATTTACATAGGTACACATTTCCCCTCTTACTAACAGCAACACAAAGTGATGACTTGGATATGATAAATCAGCCTCTACAGATCAAGTGCTACAACTTTTTAATCAGTGCACATCACCTCAGAAATACCCATAGGAAAAGAGGCTGCCTCACGCAAAATGCTGAACAGAGTGATGAAATAAAGAACTGTACATTTGTTTGTGAATCAGTTCTTACTTCCTAAAGAGAACTCAAATAGGTAAGAATCAGAGCACCTGACCATTACTGCATCAAACCAACCTGCCTGCATGAGGCTGCCTGTTGAAATCCACCCACTCATTCCCCCATCTCAAACCCTTTTGCAATTAAGGCAGCCTAAACCCACTGCCTTTGCTCTCACCTGTCAGAATTTTGTCAGGGTTCTGTCCCAACACTTACAATGGAGGTTCTCCTTATTACATTTGGCAGCTCACTTTGTCATATTTCTGTAGGTGGTACTGATGGCTATGATTAGCTGCAGAACAGCCTGAATAGCTAGTTTATGTAACACCAGACACACCGTTCACCACTAGCAGATGGGATTTCAAGCTCTGAACAGCCACTTATGACATAATGAATAATACTTAAGATGGAAGAGAGACATCACTGTGTGTGTGTGAATATCTAAGGTTGAAATTGAATGGAAGGATTTACAGAAGGAGTTCAGAACACGAGCGACCCATCTGTAGCACATGTGGCACACAAAGAAAGCAGGGTCAGGTGTTTGCGAAATTTCTGGACAGAAGCAGGTAGGTTCCTGGCCTGGGCTGTGACATTCAGGGTGCAATCCTATGTACATCTGGACTGAAAACACCTTCTGCACCTCCCAGCATTCCCCAGCCACCATGCATCAGATTGCACTCCAAGTGATGCTTCTGCTGTACTTCACTGCTACATCCTCTACAGCCCAATAAACTGGAAAACTACCCTCAAGTAATAAGGAAAACTAGACATGCTTCATGCACACTAATGTAGCACTCACCGATTTGAATTTTGGCCTTGGATGAAAAGGGTAGGAAGAAGGGAGTTACAAGTTCTAGGTTTTTGCTATGTTGAATAATATTTTTAAATCTTTTTAACATCCGTTTCATAGATGGATGTTCAAGTTTTACACAGCGTTATCTAGGAATATTTCCTCTCAACAACACAATTATGTCTGCACTATAACACAATAGCCAATGTCATGTACCAGCTAGTTCTGAAGATTCTAGAATGTACATTTGATGTTTCGCTTTCACATGAAAATAACAGGGAGGATCTATATAATCATAGTCTGAATTCACTGCAGGGAGGGAAGTCCCTTATAAATGCATAAAATGCAAACAGGCACAAAGAGAGGTTAAATCTCACCAGGAGAAAAAACATTTTGATATCAGACCATGGCAAACATGTGATGCACAGTATGTTAGTGAAAACATTCTTTCACTTCAGCATCCATAGTTTAATTTTATTTCCAGTTTTAGACATTGCTTTCAATAAAACAAGAGTTACCACAATCATCACACATATCTAATGCCAAACCGAACCAAACCAAAAATGTAGTCTTCTGCAGCATAACTGATGGGTCACTATGGATGCAACTGCCACTGAATTGATATACTCCAGTGTTTACTACTTCAGAATGTCACCCTATCATTTCACCCCATCTTCAGACTCTACACCATCATTTCCCCCCATTACTATTACTGAAGGCATTTGTTATTCCTGCAAAATGTTCTTGGAAGCTTTATAACAGTCAGAGGAATAAAATTCTTGAATAAACTCATTATCCACTTATTCAGCAGATCATTTGCCTTGCTTTCAGTAACTGTTCTCCTCCACTACTTCATTACCAACATATTTGCAAGAGATAGAATTGCACCATATTGGCCAGATACTCAAAGTTGCCCAACATCTTTGAAATAAGCACACTTGATTAAAATCACAGGAAGTGGAATGTACTTGAGGAAGGGCTGCAGCACAGTAGCAAAGCACATGTTTTGGAGGCAATCGCTTCCAGATTCAATCCCTGGACATTCCAGGTACAGAATGGCCCCATCTGAAATCCTGAACAGCCTCTGGCAGTCAGTGCTGACAATGCCAATCTAGACAGATCAATTATGGAGAAGCAAAAGCTTCAGTGAAAAGCATGAGAGCTCTTATCTAGGGTTACTTGTTTGAACTCAGCAGGGGTCCCTTTACCTTTTCAATAATTCTGTATGCAGAAAAAATTAGGGCTGGTGCTCTTCCTAGTTCAGGGACTGCTCTGTTCAGAAAGCTCATAGGAGTTTGTGCTTAATTAAAGCAACAAGTCTCCTTCACCCTGAGAAGCAAGGAGAGGCTAATAAGACAGGGGGGGGGGAGAATGTTTACAACAATACAGCATTTATTCAGTTAAACAATGAAGACCGAGATGAAGACTACGGGCAATGAGGACAAAGAAAACTGACTTCCAGTGCCACCACGGTTCAGCCTGCCAAATGTATATCCACACCTCCCTTCTCTCATCCTTGCACTTTCTTTTCGTCTCTGAGCACACTAAACTGGCTTTCTTTTTGTCGTTTGACTTTCACACCATGTGTGGCTTTTTTATTTATAGGCCATGTGCATATTTTGCTTAAAGCAAATGTTAGCAATCAAACAGCTACATTGGCAGAAAAATAAATCACCACCAGAAGCCTGTGTGCTAACAGCTTTTCCACCAACTGCTTCAAGTCAGCATTAAAGCAGAATGAAAGAGAACTAAGGAGACTGAATCTGCCTGGCAGAGCTTCTCCACAGACCGTAGAATGAGACATATTTAGGAGCATGTCCAGGTGTTAGTTAGAGACTAATTCTTGCCATTTCTTTCTTCACCCTGGAGCTATTGGGTCTATCCTCCCATGCTGTTCTGTGAAGTCCATTGCCCTTTTGAAGCAGCTTGCACGGGTGGGATAGGGGAAAGAGGGCATCTCCAGAAAATCAGCTCCCCCACCCTTCCTAGAGCAAGAATCTCCATCAACAGAAGGAACACTTCCATTTGTGGAAATGCATGACTGCATCAACCTACTGAGTCTATTATAACAAGCAGCAGCAGCAGCAGCAGCAGCAACAGCAGCAGCAGCTTTTTAACATGAATTATACCAGGTTAGCAGTCTCTGTAACCGACTAACACGGTTTCTAGTCTGGAACTGTGACCTATGGAAGTTATGTTCTAATACATTTGTTAGCTTAGGCATACATAAGCAATTCAGATGACAGACGCTAAAACGAAAGGTATTTCCCAGAGCTGCAACTTTGAGACTATAGAAGACAGGCATGCAGCAAGGATATTCAAGTTACACCAAGCTTTCAGGTGCTGGTGTTGTTACACTAGCAACAGTAAAGAACAGGATTGCATTCCCAGGCAGGTAACTGCAATGAATATCCATCGATCACAGGACTCTGGGGCTTGGGTTCGACCTGAGAAGAAACACACATGCACTCTGCAGCCTGCCCCAGTAACACTGAATGCCAGAGTAACACCTGCAGTACTGCACTCTGACGAAGTTGTATTCTCACTGGGGTAGCAAGCAACTGAAGATGTTCCTTTACAGACTGAGCAAATGGACATCTGCAATCCATTGGTTGCAAACTTTCATTGCTATTTTAGAACTTGTGCGCCTGAGGTGAACTTTTGCATAGTAATTTTAGACATATACAACTGAATATCTCACCAGTAATACTCATAATTACCTGAATTTTGAAGGATATTCTGAGAGAGTACCACGCATTTATCTGCAGTTAGCATTCCAGAAGATTGCCCTGGTAAAGGAACTAGCCTTCAACTTTTTTTGAAACTTAGAAAATATTTCAATATTTCATTTGCAGAGTGAGAACTTTATATAAATAAAAGCTATCATCTTTTAATATCTGCAATGCCCAAGGATGGAAGGTGAAGTCTAATTATTTGGGCTTAACTTCTCAACAAATGTTAGCTGCAATGCATTTGACGGTAAAGCTAGAGTTCCAGTTTCAGCCATACACTTTTGTAATTCGTGCTACTCACATCTGTAGCTTTACTTTCCTCCACTAGCTGAGGTCCACTGATTTCAGGTTTAGCAACCATTCCATCCTATTTGAATGAAAACTAAACACCTCACATACCACTCAGTTTAACCAGCATATATAAAGGGCAAAGGGATACTGCTTACCTCTTTGGGTAAAGATACTAGTTTGTTCCTGTCAACATTCAGTATATTCAGCTTCTTTAGCCTTCCAATGGTCTTCGGCAAAGTCTATATTGGATTCAAACAAAGCAACACAAATGAATGAAACAAAGCAAACCAATGAATATTATCAGCATTTCAAAAGAAGTTTACTCTTTACAAAGTGAGAAATCTGAAAATTACAAATGTGCTAACTGAAAGATGTTGCCATTTTCTAAGAGGGGCATCCTGGGATAAAGGCAGCCCTGTGGAGAACTACATCCCAACTCTATATTAAAAAGTGTTATGACGATATAACTAAGTTGTCCAGAGTTTTGACACTCAAAGGCTTAGAAAGGATTCACAAAAGAAAAGCCCTCCTGTCTGGATAAAGGCAGGTTGCTTACCTGTAACTGATGTTCTTCGAGTGGCCATCTGTGCAATCACACATATGGGTGCTGCGCCTGCGCAGTGCCTAGGCCGGAAGATTAGAAAGCTAACGGTTTTTGGTGGGAAAACTCCGTTCCGCTCCCCCTTCGTGGTATAAATAGAGCAGAGTGTCCGCCATTTTGTTCAGTCTTGAAGACCGAACGTTCGCCCTCTACAGGTTAAGAATAAAATTAATGACAAACAGCACTGTACCCCAATGGTACCGATACAAATTATAGTATGGTACCGTGAACAATATCCACTCACCAGCATATACTATCAGTACCGATGCAAATTACACTATGGTACTGAAAAGCAGTATCTACTCATGGACACCGAGTGGGGCCGGTGGGTGGGTTGTGTGACTGCACAGATGGCCACTCGAAGAACATCAGTTACAGGTAAGCAACCTGCCTTTCTTCGTCGTGGCCTCTGTGCATCACACATATGGGTGATTAGCAAGGTTACCCAACTCGGAGGAGGGAGGTGTCGTCAGCGAAGAACAGACGAAAGAACAACCCTGCCAAAAGAGCAGTCCTGCCTGGCATGCACATCAAGCCGATAGTGCTTGGCCAAAGTGCATGGCCCTGCCCACATTGCAGCTTTACAGATATCTTGGAGCAGGACCCCTGCGGCAAAGGCGGACAAAGTCGCAACAGCTCGTGTGGAGTGACCCCTGGGGGTAACAGGTAAGTCTATTTTTGATAGTTGATAGGCCAAGACAATAGTCTGGGTGATCCAGTGCGACAGCCGTTGAGGTGTGACTGGGAGTCCTTTGTCATGTTTGGAGTACTTAACAAAGAGTCTGTTCATGCGATGGAAGGATTCCATACGGGAGCGATAGAAAGCCAAGCAGCGGCGAACATCAAGTGTGTGCAGAGCCCGCTCTATTGGATTCGCCGGCGCTGGAAAGAAGGCTGGCAGAACGATATCTTGACTCAAGTGGAATGGTGTAGCCACTTTAGGAAGAAAGGAAGAATCCATACGAAGAACGACCTTTTCCTTATGAAAATTAAGATATGGAGGGTCTATATGGAGAGCAGAAAGGTTGCTTGCTCTCCGAGCTGATGTCACCGCTATGAGGAAAGCTGTTTTCCAGGACACCAGGCGTAGGTCGCCAGTCGCCAGTGGCTCAAACGGAGGTTTGGTAAGTGCTTGGAGTACGACCGAAAGGCTCCAGGTTGGCATAGGCGGGCGAGTAGAAGGGTGTAGGTTCTGTAACCCCCGAAGAAAACATCAAAGCAGAGGTTGAGAGAAAACTGATACCCCTTGAAGCGCACCACAATAGTGTGAAATGGCGGCTACATAAACTTTAATGGATGACGATTTCAGTCCCAAGTGATAGAGTTCCAGGAGAAATTGCAAAATATTGTCAACTGAGGCCATTCCAGGAGAAAAAGAATGGCGTTCTGCAAAGGAGGAGAATCTCTTCCATTTGGCCGCATAAGAGCGACGAGTGGACGGTCTTAAAGCAGATGTAAGAATCGCTTGAATTTCTTGGTCAACAGTTGTCGGTAGCGAAGCGGTTGCCGTCGAAACCGACGTAGGGGCCGTCGGTACAGTGGAGTGAATACAGTCTGCTAGAGATTGGGATGTCGTCGGTACTGACGCAGTGGAATGACTCAAGTGATCCGCCATGCTGTCAACCTCAAGGCAGTCAGATCTGGATGTCGGACCACTCCGTTTTGCTGCGTTAATAGCTGAGGAATAGACAGGAGGTGAAGAAACGTTCCTTTGGATAGACGAAGAAGGGTGGCGAGCCACGGTTGTCTTGGCCACCATGGAGTTATTATTATTCCCGTGGCATTCTCTTGAGATATTTTCGCTACCACTTTCGTTGGAGGAAATGCATAAAAGGCTATGTTGTACCAGGGGATCATAAGGGCATCTCCCATCAATCCCGATCCTATGCCCGCCCTTGAACAATATAGGGCACGCACTCTGTTGTCGCAAGTGGCGAACAAGTCCAAGTCCGGATAGCCCCACAAACGGAAGAGGTCCTGGCATATTTGTCTGTCCATCTCCCATTCGTGCGTTGTTGACATATGTCTGCTCAACATGTCTGCTTCAGTGTTGTCGGTCCCTGCGAGGTGGACTGCTAGAAGCATAATGTCCCTCGGTATGCACCAGTCCCAAATGGCCATCGACAGACGTGCTAAAGGTGGCGATTTTGTGCCGCCCTGTTTGTTGATGTAGAAGACAGCTGGTATGTTGTCTGACGCAATCTGGACGACTTGTCGGCATAGCACAGTCTCGAAAGCCTTGAGGGCGTTGAAGATCGCCTGAAGTTCGAGGAAGTTGATGTGCTTCCTTGCTTCCCGTCGGTTCCAAGTCCCCTGGACCCGAAGATCCGACCATGTTGCGCCCCATCTGAGTAGCGATGCGTCTGTATACAGGGTCTTCGTTGGATGAGGTGTTCAAAACGGGACACCGACAGACAGATTGCTCGGAATGGTCCACCAAGCTAGAGTGTCGAGTATCACAGATGGAATTTGGATCAGTTTGTTGGGAGAACCTTGCTGTGGGCAAAATGAAGTGTTGAAAAACAGCTGCATGGCCCGCATACATAGTCTGGCATACGGGACAATGGCAACTGCAGCAGCCATGTGCCCCAATAGTCTCTGAATGGATATAGCCGGAACCGTTCCGAGTGTTCGGATTCGATGGATGTGGGCACATAAGGTAGCTCAACGGTCTGGAGGGAGGAAAGCTCTTTCCCATGTGGAGTCGAGATGTGCCCCGATAAAGTTGATGACCTGTGTGGGAATAAGGGATGATTTTTCGTGGTTAATACATAGTCCAAGATCATTGAGCAAGATGCAGGTCATGTGTATTGCAGACAGAAGACCTTGTTTAGTTTGGGAAACAATTAGCCAGTCGTCTAAATATGGGTATATTTGCACTCCTCGTGTCCATAAGTGTGCACATACTGGTGCCATACACTTTGTAAAAACTTGAGGTGCGGTGGCCAGGCCAAAGGGCAGCACAGCATATTCGAACAAGTCGAGCCCAACAGTAAAACGCAGGAAACGTCTATGCGAAGGATGGATAGCAATATGAAAATAGGCATCCTTCAAATCCAATGAGGCGAACCAATCCTCTCTCTTCAGTAACAGAAAAATATTCTGTAAAGTGGTCATCCGAAACTTTTTTGGTTTGATGTATTTGTTAAGATTTCATAAGTCCAAAATCGGACGAAGACCACCGTCTCTTTTCAGAACCATAAAGTATCTGGAGTAGAATCCGTGCAACCCCTCCGAGCAGGATAGTTGTCGAATCGCACCCTTGCGAAGCAACTGAGAGACTTCTTCGCACAGTACCGATGAAGAAGATGTAAATCGAATCGGACATGGTGGAGGGACGACATCGAATTCTATCCTATATCCGAACTGAATGATAGACAACACCCACCTATCAGATGTAATGGACTCCCAAATGGGGAGTCGGCCCTGAAGCCGGTCCCCAAAAGGGAGAGGGGAAGGTGGTGAGGGAAGAGAGAGAATGGTTCGCCCGGACCGTCAACGTGGACGTTTATCGGCGTCGAAGCGCCGCCGGCCCTGGGAGAAACGTTGCTGCGGCTGTTGTCTCCGCCATTGCTGTCTTTACTGGTAGTGTTGCCGAGGGTGGAATTGTGGACAGTAGGAGGAACGAGGCCATTGCCACTTATGCCTCTGTTGAGGAACCTCCATGCGGTGCGCGGTCATACGCGATTCATGTATCACTTTTAGCTTGCGGTCGGTTTTTTGATGAAACAATCCGGTACCGTCGAATGGCATTTCCTCGATCCTCCGTTTCATCTCGTCGGGGAAATTGCAATTGCGGAGCCACGTGTGTCGGCGCAGTGAGATGGCATTCACGAGAGCCCTCGAATTGGTGTCTACGTGATGTCATGCAGTAGACAACTGTTGCACTGCTACCTTCATTGCTTCTTTGATGAAGACCTTGGCAAGTTCGGCTTGGCGGTCTGGAAGGGAGGAAGCAACATTATCCAGCTTCTGCATAATAAAATACTGGTAACATGCCAGTGTTGCTTCATAATTCGATATGCGCACACCGAGTCCAGAGGCCGCATAGACTCGGCGCGCGAGCATATCGATTTTCCTCCCTTCCTTGTTGCGAGGGGCTGTGTGTGTCTCCTGGATTCCCTGCCCTGGGAGGATTCGAGGATGACAGGGTTCGGTCACGGATGGCGAATCAAGAACGGGATGTCGTCCTCTCGAACTCTGTACATGGCCTCATACCAACGGGAGGTGGCTTGCAGTTGATCCCAGGGTTGGACCATAGCCTGCCGAAGTGCGGTAATTAGCGGCAGGACTATGACCGCGGACTGTTCTCCCCTCACGACATCATAGAACCGATCCATGGATGGGCCAGGCTGTTGACTTGCTTCAATTTCGAGGGAACGGACGAGGCGGGACATGAGCTCCATAAAAGAGACATGTGGCTCATTGGGCGAAGCAGGTCCTTGGGAGGTGACTACTACATCGGGGGATGTAGAGTCAACCTCAGATTCATCCGAATCTGGATAATAATGAGGACGGTTGCTCGAAGACGATGTTTCGGGGGAGGTTGGACGTTGGACGTCCCCTCTCCACATGCCTGGATGTCGAAGGCAAATCTCTCGGGACCGATGGAGACGCACGATCCCGAGGGAAATATGGATAGGATTGATAACCACCCCAGTCTGGGAAGACACCATATCCATGCATCCTCCAATCGTCATCCCGGTGTTCCGACGAGCGGCTGTGGCGCCTAGGTGGCGACAGTGACTCCACAGGTCGCTCAGTCGTGGGCACTGGAGTTCGGGATCGTTCCCTCGGTGGGGAGTCTCTAATCTCGCCATCAGAGATGGACTCCCAAAGCGGCTCCTCCACTTGTTAGGTCGGAATGCTCTCAGGCCGAATGATAAGCCTGGGGGATCCCAGAGGTGTCACCTGCATAGTGAGTTGCAGGGCCGGTCCCGAAGGGGTCGGTACCGTGGCGGCAGATGGTACCGAGAAGCCCAACGAACCCGAGCCCCAGTGTTTGGAGCAATCAGGTTTCTTGGTTTTACGAGCGGGTTCTCCTTCCTCGGTACTTTACGAGCAAAAGGCTTCTCCGAACCCGTGTGCTTGCGCTTCTCCCGTTTCTTAGCTGGGGAAGAAGGCAGCACCTGGGTCTCCGCTGGAGTAGCGCCTTCAGCCAAAGTGCACTGAGGAGGAGCGGTGGAAGCGGATGCTTCGGAGGAGCGCTCACAGTTGAGGCAGAGCACGGAGGAGGTGTGGCTGAAGAGGAACCAGGCCGTAAGAGCAGCTGATCAGATTGCATCAAGGCCTGGTCCCAGAGGAGCTTCCAGAGACGGTTCTCCCTGTTCTTCCGCGCTTGCTTGGTAAATGCCAAGCAATGCCAAGCAATGGCTGCACTTGTCAGTTCTATAACCCCTCGCCGAGGCAGAGAAGGCATAGATCATGCAGATCTGCAGGCAACATTTTGGACCCGCATTCGGTGAATTTGTGGAAGGCCGCTCGCTGCGCCATTGTGGAAAAAGAAGAAAAGATGACAGGATAGAGGGTAAGATAATATTTTTGGTTTGTTTTTTAGAATAGAAGAAAGAGAGAGGGATACACAAACTTGGAATATAAGAGTTTAGAGTTAAAGAAGGGATAAAGGCAAAAAATGGACAGTAAGGACTCAAAGATCTTAGCGAGGGATGTTAATAGGCACGAGGCACAGCGAACAGCGGTCGCAAAGACTGAACAAAATGGTGGACACACCGCTCTATTTATACCACGAAGGGGGAGGGGAGCGGAGTTTTCCCACCAAAAACCGTTAGCTTTTTAATCTTCCGGGCTAGGCATTGCGCAGGCACAGCACCCATATGTGTGATGCACAGAGGCCACGACGAAGAACCACCTGTACTCCCCAGATCACATGGAAAGGTCCTACTGAGTAATATGAGTTATAAGTCAGGGGTCTGCTGGGGGAAAGGAAAAGCACCAAAAGATGCTTCCACTCAATTCTGAGCAATTCCACACTCCTCCTGCAGCCTCATCCCACATTGTGGGGAAAGGGGATCCTCGATTCCCCAGAGAGGTTTTTTCTGGGGCTGTGGTGGTTGCATGGGAATGTTAGCAACTTTCTCTCCAGTTGCTTATTTTAGAATGCAAGCCAGATCCAATGCATACTTTTTCCTTACATGCTTACAAATCGCCATATGTTTATTATGCATTCGTGATTCTTTGCTACATATCAGACTGTGAAAGGCAATAGACATTTTAGGACAATCAGTCTACAGAATCAAAAGAATGCCCAATGGAATTACTAGCTTCCAAGCAGATCATGAACTGGTCTTCCTCTATTTGCTGGCATTCCCATTCCCTTGCTCCTTTTATTTTGTAAGCATTTAATCATGATTGCCTACAGTTCTTCCCTTTCTTCTGTCCAGCATCAGGAGAACAAGAAAAATGGAGGCAATTTAACACAGCAGAAAAAACTCTTGGTTTTCCTACACATTGTGTTAAGCAGTCGAGGAAGTGAAAAGTCTGTGCTACTTCTTTCTTCTCCCAGTGGTTCCATCAAAAATGGCAATCAAGGGAACCAATGATAGTAAAATACAAATTAAAAACCATCTCAATTAAAAAAAAAACCAACAAACAAAACCCCAAAGCCATTAAACACACCATTAAAAGCACACCAATGGAAAGAAAGTGACTGTTCATAGCCAGTTAAAAGCTCCTTCAGCAGCAAAACAGCTTATATGTTATGTTCACATGACTCCAGTTCTCCGTCAGCTTCACTGGCTTCCCATTGAAGTCCGGGCCCAATTCAAGGTGTTGGTGATGACCTATAAAGCCCTAAACGGCTTGGGGCCTGGTTACCTGAAGGAGCGCTTATGTCCATATATGCCCAGCTGCCCCCTGAGATCGGCGGGAGAGGCCCTTCTCCGGGAGCCCTCCGTGGAAGAAATTGGGAGGGTGGCTACTCGGAGGAGGGCTTTCTCAGCGGTGGCGCCTAAGTTATGGAATGCGCTCCCCAGAGAGGTCTGCCTGGCACCGTCGTTATTTGTTTTTCGGCGCCAGGTGAAGACCTTTTTATTTAAGCAGCATTTTAAATGTTAATATTATTGAATTTTATCTGGCCAGGGAGGCTTGTTTTATATTGTATGTTTATATTGTATATTTGTATTTTATTTTAATGCATATATTTTAAAATGTTATTTTAATTTATTGTTGTAAGCCGCCCCGAGGCTTTGGCGAATGGGGCGGCATAAAAATGTTTAAATAAATAAATAAATAAATAAATAAATAAATAAATAAATGCCTTCGACTATAAGAATGTATTTGCTTGCTGGTAGAAGAACAAAGAGGGAGCAAGCTTCTTTGGAAACTCCTTGGTAGGGAATTCCAAAACTTAGGAGCTGCCACTGAGAAGGCCCTTTGGAAGCAAAATCTGCTGATGTGAGGAAGAAAAGACCCTTCACCAAGATCCTAACACCCTGTGGCTCTGTGTCTCTAGATATCTGCCTGTCTTCTGGTAGAACACTAGTCATGTGCACAGTCCTAGGCTGAAGCCACACATAAGATAGGAAGGACTCACTGTGATGTGAGCTTTGCTTCTATCTTAGTCTCTGCCTCTGCCACACCAGGCAATCAAACCTCTGATGGTGCGATTCTTGCCTCCTCACCTGCCTGGCCATTGGTGCTTCTGAGTTCTCCTTCTCCAGCTTGGAAACAAAGCACCCTATAGCCCATCTACCTTTTTCTGAGGTGCCTGCTTGAATGCGGCACAAGCAGTTGCACTGACTGGGCAAGCGACTCATTGCATTCAGGCTACTGACACGACTGAGAGAGCCGTTCACATAAAAAGAGCTGACAATGTAGTCAGATATACATATTTACTGTTTCCAACAGGCTGTACTGAAGGAGATGAGAAGGGGAATTGCAGCCATTCTTTTAGCAGGAATGGTGGACTTTATTTTTTTCTCTTCCCTTTTCCTCTCTTTGCTGTGTTTAGTTTGTGACCCTGTGGGAAGAGACTGTGTTGCTTCACAAATGGTATGTAGGCCAACCTAGGAATCTGTTTTGCCTGAGGATCAAAAATTAAAATATTCTGACTGAATGTATGTATAAATATATGAATCTTTAGCACAAGGTTTTCCAGGAGTGTACATTAGAAATCACGGTCAGCCCATCCCAAACTGCTGGAATAACACATGATCACTTTCTTTTTAGGAAATAGCTTTTTTAAAATATCAGACTCCAGAGTTTTGTTCTGTTTTTTTTTTTTTTAGTTCTAAATTGCTTTTCCCATGCTTCAAATGCCTTTTAAGCACCCAGTAATATTTAAGAGACCCGTAATTTATTAGACGACCTTTCATGTCTAAAGAAATTGGAAGTCTGTGAATGAAAGTCTCCTTCCTTCTGAAATCAGACAGCATACTTTTCGCTAACTGCAGTTATCGCTACCCTCCACTGCATGACATTTGCAACCAGCTATTCTTCTGGGAAACAGTCATTCAAAGCATTTAAAAAATAAGCTAAGTAAATTGACGCTTTCATTATGAAATATTATGCAATTTGGGGACGGTTTGAGAAGGAGACAGCAGTGCAGTACAGACAGCCAACCCTGCCTCACCCTGTGTATGCACATCATATTCTGCCTCTCCTCACCACTACAAGCTCTACCCAAGGACATGGTAAACGGTTCTATTGCCACGGTTTTTCATGTGTGCCATAGGTCTCTGCTAGTCAATTTGTTACAAGCTAGAATCATACTATAACTGCTTAAAACTGAAATGCATGCAATGTTTAAGCTTTTCATTCCCGTATGTGAATATTTTTCCTAGACCATAACAGCCATAGTATACAATACTGTCTTTAAGAATGCATATGGAAGGGTAGTAATTCAGCTGTCTTGTATTTCAGTGCAGTCATCATAAGACAGTAAAATAAAGACGCTGCAGTCAAAATGAGTCAGAACATGGCAAAAGGCTTAATTAATGCCATGCATGTGAAGAGCTAAAGCCATACTTACTAGCAGCTGGTTTTCTGTGAGAACTAATTCAGTAAGGCTTTCACAGTCTCCTACCGCTTCTGTTAACTGAACAAGCCGGTTCTGGTCGACCTTCAAGATGGATAGCTTTTTTAACTTTCCTACAAACAGAAGAGAGCAATTTAGGCTAGCGATCTCAACAGACCAAATTATGCAATGTGAAGTTTCCATATAGACATCACTAGCGAGCATTCCAAAAAATATGTAGGTGTACCCATCAAATTCTATACAATATTTAAAATCTCTTTTCCAATAAGATCTAGTTACTTTTCCAAAGAATGTGCTTTCAGAGATTTTTTTAATAACTGAAAAAATAGAAAACCACTTTTGTCTAAGTGCTATGATCATCCAGCTTTTTAAAGGCAGAGGACAGAAAAGGACAGAAAAAGAGAAGCAACGCTGTTGCACAGTCACCTGGCACTTCAAGGTGCCAGCCCAGTACTGAGACTATAGGCCATAACTTGAGGCACCAGCCGAGTCAGCTTCGCCCCTTCTCCACATGGGGAACGCAAAGGATGAACACAGCTAGCACGGCAGTAGGCTTGGCCTAGCCCAGGCTTCCCCCTGCTGACTACTCTGTATGGGAGCCAGTTGGGAATGCCTAGACGGAAACAAGCAGACTCTCCAAGTGATGAGCCAGGGGAGGAGCCCTGCCCCAATGCTGCAGATAAAGCTGTGCCCCAGGGCCATCCAGCCTGTGTGGGGCCTCAGAGGGAGACAGGCTCCCAGATCCATTATGGCTCTCCACTCCCAATTGCAAATAAATAAAAGTTCTGTCTTTTGTTCAGAACGCTCGAAAGCAGGACACGACTACGGGAGACCCAACAAGGATTAGAGTGCTCTGTTTTGCCCAGTGATGGCCAGTAGTTCTCGGGCCTCCCTGCCCTGCAGGTGGTGCCCTCTCTGGCTTCACCCTCCTTTAAGACTAGCAGAGGAGCGCCTTGTTCTCCCATTCACAGAGCAAGGCAAGATGCTAGAGCAAAGCACTCACACGATCAAATGCTAGATCATTCATGCCAAAATGACAGATCAAGGAAAATCTATAGCACAGTTGGGAGAAATCCTTACAGGACACTGACCAAATGTTTGATCAAAATGGGTACCTAACAGTGCATGGGTGAGAATGACGACTGTTTCAGGCTCACCGGTGAAGCGTTATGCAAATAAGAGCAGAATGAACTCAATGGGAACAACCAGATGAGCAAAGCAGGTGAACATACAAAGAGCCATGGCAGGTCAGGTCAAGGTCCTTCCAGTCCAGCATTCTGTTCCCACAGTGGCTGGCTGGCTGGCTGGCTGGCTGGCTGCCTGCCTTCAGGCACCCTCCCTCCCACGTTCTCCAGTAAGTGATGTACAAGCAAAGAGGACTAGTAGCCATGGACAGTCTTCCGATATCCCTTTAAAGCCATCCAAATTTGTGGCCATCGCTACCTCCTGTGGAAGTGAATGCCACCGTTTTAACTAGGCACTGTATAAAAAAGAAGGTAGTATCAAACATATTGCAATATATTACATAACCACTATGCTCTGTTGTGGTCACTGCCACTCCCTGGCAAAATATTTAACAGTTGGCTATCATATATTTTGCCTCCATGAATTTGGCAGAAGGTGGTGGTGACTACACCAGAGCATAAGGAGGTATAGAGGGTAGAAAAGGTGGTACTCCAGCTGCTACCCTCACTGTGGAGGGCTAAAAAAGGCAAAACTTAGCATGAACGCAAGTTACATTTGTCCTTTTTAATCCTCCATAGTAGTTTTCTGTTGAAAAGTTTTGCTGCTACTACATTCAGCAACGCAGTCTGCTAAGAAACAGGAAGCAGAAACTGCCTGATGTTACCCATAATCAGGGCTTTTTTTGTCAGAGAACGCACCGGAACGGCGTTCCGGCACCTTTTTTTCTAATGGATTTCACGAAGTGATTTTGAATCGCCTGTCGGCGTAGCAGGTCAGCAGCAAACATCATTAACATAGTGCCTGCGGGCTGCTTTTGTGTCTGCGCTGCCCGACTTGGGACACTGCTCGGCTTGGGACTGGTGTGTGTGGTCGCATGCTGAGTGCTTACTGTCGGCGGCAACATGAGTTCCGGCACCTTTTTTTTTTTTTTTTTTTACAAAAAAACACTGCCCATAATTGTACTAAAAGGTGACAATAAGTGGGTAGGGCAAAACTGAAAGGGAATGACTACTGACTATAGTAAACTGCGTGCAGTACTATTGCTTGGAATTTTGTCTGCCTTGGCATCAAAACCAATAAAGATGCACAGGGCACAAATTTTCCATGCATGTGTGTGAAAACCATGCAAGAGTATATGAATGCATACAGATGAAAGACTGTTTTTAGTTACTTTTCATGCACTTCTGCAAATAGAATGTGTGTTTTCTGTTTGAGCAGACAGGTGAGTATTATGGGAAGCTCGCTTATCTCGTAAGAATGAGAGAAATCAAGTCTCAACTGATTTTCCCACAGTGATGTTATAATATAGATTTATCTGATTAGCTTTGCAACATTATGATGCCACTATATATCCTATATCATCAACGTCATCATCATTGGTTGGGATGTTTTGAAGAAATGAAGAGCATGGGCATCATCAGAAAGTGAAATAATTGCCCAGCCACAAATGAAGTAGAATATTTCTGTAATATTTTGACCTACCCAAATTTTCTCCTAAAACATGTACTCATAACAGGTGTTTTTGCAGAGTCATTCTTGGTTATTTTCTATTTTAACTGTTTTCATTTTTTTCTAGTTTTCTGATTATTTATTGCATTTTATTGTCTGTTTTTAAGGAATATTGTAAACCACCCAGACAGCTTTGGCTGTGGGGCAGTACAAGAGGAGGAGGAGGAGGAGGAGGAGGATCATGATGATGATGATGGCTAATATCCTGCAGAACCTTAATTATCAGGTTAAGCTTTTTGGGTTTTTTTGCTCAATGACCTAATGCCCTGCCACTGATGTACTAACATCTACAAAGTACAGAGTGACAGAGTAAGACAATTAGGGCTGGGCAATGACATGCCATAAAAAGAAATTTGCATTATATTGTGGAGATATTGGCATTCATGGCAGGTGAAGCCATTGCTGGTTCCTTGAAGGAAAAAAGGTGGGATATAAATACATATATAATGACAGATCTTGTCTTTGGCACAAAATCAAAGGGGAAAGCCTTGAGCAAGTTGTGCACGTGCCTTGCATGTAAGAAGCAGTTACAACCACACATGATAAGGCCTGGCAGTCTTATCATAATTACACCTAAAACAGGGCTGTGCAATGAATTTAATGGGGGTGAAAACGAAGTAGATTTTCTTGATTTGGTCCCCAGGTTCTGATTTGTTAGCCCTGCACTGGCACCAACTCACTGTGATACAAGTTGAACCAGCTCCTGGATTTCTGTCTCTAAAACAGACTTCAATTTGTTCAGGTTTTTTTTTTTTAATGTGCTAATAAAATTTGCACCAATAAGCCCACCTGGTTCTAGCATGAGTTGTGCAGAATTGGCTAATTCACACTACAGCAAAGTGATTTTAGAGTGTTTATTTGCACAAATTTCATTAACAGATTAAATAAACATAAGAACTGTGCTCTGTCTTAGAGACAGAGGTCTGCAAAAGAAAACCCAAAGTGGATTTCTTCCAATCATCAGACTGGAAGTGGGCAGGAGCTGTCAAGCCGGATTTCCCTGTTTCAGTACATCCCTAATCTAAGCCTGTATCTGTAAACTTTTTTTTTTCCTGGCAGGGGTGGGGGGACGGGGTGAAGCAAAGCAGTGATTCATGTATTAAAAGAGTCTGCTTCTTCTGAGAAGAATTTGAGACATTCACTGTAGAACTACTCTACTGTTTGAAGCATGTCCCCTCGAATCACAAATTTAAAGCATATGCTTAAGCACTTTTAAATGCATGCTTTTTGGGGCAGGTAACTTGAATAAAATACCTTCCAAATATTTAAAATGTGTTCAATTGGTGAGGAGGCAACTCCAGACAAATCTAGCTAAATACAGGCTCGGACTCATTTTTAGTGACAATTGTGGCAGCAACCCATGTCCCACTAACATGTTGTATGCATCCCAACGGACCCATGTACATTCATGACATATTACAGTACAAATAAAGCACATAGAAGTGCTTTTATCTATCATATTTGTATCACACTAGTCCTCTGAGGAGGACATTCACTGGATTAGCTCAAATCATGCTCAACAGCCCTGTGAGGTCTGCTTGCCCAAGAGAAGCTGGCTTCCTAGCATACCATAAGAAAGCAGGGATTTAAATCCAGGTCCAAATCCAACATTCCACTCACTGGTGTTGAAAGACAGTCATTCATGCTGCACTCAGAATGCAGAGTTAGGTGTTTGTTTTCCAATGTTGCGAGTGCTGTATTGGAGAGACTTTTGGAACCATACTCAGAAGCCTCCTGTTGCTGTCTCAATAATGGGCAATAGCTGTGTACCAATTAAAAGATTTAGTTACTGCAACACGCAGTGAATGAAAATAAAACTGCAGACTGACTGCTGTGAACTATATCATCACAAGTAGAAGAAATAAAGGCAGCAGCCAGCATGTTTAGCAAGTGGGAGGAAGATAAGGACAAAGAGGGAGAGGTTTGGGCAGTACCAGACAGGATAAGGCAATCAAAATAATGCTTACGTAAATAGAGGCATTTCAGTTGGAAGAATCACATGTCAGGCATTTCCTTAAGCGTATTTTCTTACCTGAAAACCACTGTATTTTAATTGCTATTATTTATATGACACATTAATGAATCTGGTGTTTTACAGGTAAGCAGAAAGAGACAGGTCCTTACCCTATAAAGTATGGCAACTCAATTTCAACAGTGGGGAAAACAGATGGACTCGTGAAAAAGGTTGGATGCATATTCATAGGTATTACAACTTCTTTAAGTTGGATGTGAAGCCTGGAAGGTTAAAAACAAGAGTAGGCAACCTGGTGCCTCCAGATATTATGGACTGCAACTCTCTCAAGCCCCAGCCAACACAGCCAATGAGCAAGAATGATGGGAGTTAATGTCCAAAACATCTAGAGAGTGCCTGGTTGCCAGCCCCTGGATTAAACTGAAAGATTCAGTGATAAAATAGATCTAAGAAGGAATCTGAAGAATATGGGGGGGAGGGGGGACCAGGTCAGTATTCCACAGAAAGCCTCAGGCATAGATGGGCACAAGAGAGAATGGGCTGAAGCTGGCAGCGTTGGAAGTGCGAAAGTCATCAGTAGAGGCTGAACTTAATACAGGACAGTAAGATAGAGCACGGGTGCACTTGCAGAGAAGGCTAAAGGTCTGTGAGAGATGCAGAAGGATATAAGGTTCTGTGTGGGGTTTTAAGAAGGATACCACATTTTCTAAGTGAGAGGAGAGTGAATGACATTGGAAGTTTTTAATGTATTGAGGCACGGAGGGGAAGAGCCAAAAAGAAGGTTGTGGTCAAGGTGAAAAGAAGCCGATCAAAGTATGAACCAAAGCAGAGGAAATAAAAGCAGTGATCTCACCTGCAATTTAATTTTTATCTTCCCAAACAGGCAAACTATAACACCATAGAACAGTCTCCAAAATTAGCCATTTAATTCTTGTAACACTCTGCCTTACATTCTGTGAAAAGCTGCAACCCATTTTTCTACACCAAATCATGAATAAGGCCATGCCAAAGCATCAGCTTGGGAAGAGGCTCCAAATAACTTTGGGTTAAATTGTAGAAGAACAACAAGGCAGAGGAATAAAGAGCAACGATTTGGGGCAAAATTATGACCTTTCTTATACTACACACACATCTCTAAGGCCTATGCAAGAGGACATTAGATAGTTTACCAGCCAGCTTTTACCCAACAAAGAGAATTCCAAGTGTGGCAAGGATTGTCCACATATCATAAGCAAATTAAAGAAAATGTCAGGCGGGACAAGGAAACACACTCCGAATGTAAACAGAACTATGTACTATAAGAAACACAAGACTGCTGTGTTCCAAGTTCTCCCTCTCCTGTTCTGTAATGTGTAGCATAACACAGTTCATGCCACAACATCAATATTTCTGACCTCTTCCAGCTGATGCAAGGGGAATGCATGAATCTGTGTTAAACCATAGTTAAGTGCTAGAATATGCAACTTGTATGTAGAAACAATCAGAGGCCCAGGGCTCCCATTAGGCCTAGCCAGAACAACCAATGATGAGTGATCATGGGAAGTGCAGGAATAAGCATTTAGACAATCACAATTTATAAACATGTGGTTTAGTGTTACATGGAAATAGATCCAGTGTGTAGCTCTGTTCTTTATCACACTTACACACAGAGAGAATATTTCTGAAAACAAATTTATTGTGAATAAGAAAACATTAAACATTCTGGACATACCTACTTTTAACTTGAACCGGACTTTCCTTTCCTTTATTATTTTTTTTTAACTTTTCACTTACCTACACCATCTGGTAGCACCTCAAGAAGATTCTGAGAGATGAGCAGGTCAGTCAAAGATGTCAGACCACTTATCTCTTCAGGGAGTTTTTCCAGTTTGTTTTCAGAGATATCCAGACATAGCAGGTTTTTCAGGCTTCCTATTTCCTATAGGGAAAAACTCTAAGTCATGTCTCAACAGGCAACAGAGCAATCTGACAAGTGTCCCATTGCAAAATTCTGAGGAGCAAAAAGACAACAATTTGTCCCTGCTAGACAACAACCCACTTCTGACAGTATCACAAGTGAATCACCCATAACTCTCTGTGTGCAATACCTGGCATGTGCTAACAGTCCAAGTTAATTGCTCTCAGACTTATGGGTGCAGTCCAGAGTTGCCAGCTAATCATTCAGTGGAAAGCAACACCCAATTTTAAGTATTCATTCAAGGCCAAATGGTTTAATCATGCAAAAGCTAGGTATACGAATGTTTCTCCTTTCAAGTGACTTCAGCAAATTAGTTCTTGCTGACTCATGCTTCGATAGTACATAAGGACTTTGTACCTTGCATTTCTTGTATCACAAAATACTTATAATGAGGCAATATTTAATCTTATCTCACTGAATTATACACCAAGTACTGCACTATATGATCTAAGGTTTCTGCATGCATTATAATTAGCAGAAGACACAAATGCCTGAAGTCTGACTGTAAAATTAACAGCATTTATTTTTAATACTGTTCACATACAAGTACACCCTCACTATAAATTCACACCTACACACATTCTGTCATGGATAAGCTCTTCGATTATCAAAACACCGAACACTGCTGAATCAACACAGTTGAAAAGAGGGTGGTGGAAAGCAGACACTCCACAACTGCAACTCAGTCCTGCCTATGTAGAACGTCTCCCTCGTTTCCAGCTTCCACACAAAGAATTGCTCACAAAAGGCTGCCTGCATGCAATCACGACCTTCAGTGTTAGGCAAAGTCCTCAGAGCAACACCTGCGGGAACCACTGTACTTGCCAGGCCCATGTATGGTCCCTGACAGTCTATTTCACCCCCACCCTGGCAAATAAATTGAGTGTTTCCTCCTTTCTCTTGTATGGAGTAAGTCATGGGGCAAGATGGTTCCTGCAGAGTTACCTCTGTGCCCCTAGACCAGTGGTGGCGAACCCATGGCGTGCATGCAACAGCGGGCAGGCAGAGCCCTCTCTGTTGGCACGTGAGCCAAGTCGCCCCAGCATCGCCCCAGCAGCCGAGCATCAGATAACAGCCCACATAGGGGCCATGCGCATGCTCGGAAAGGAGTAGCAGCGCTGGGTGATGACGTCACAAGCCGCGACTCATTTGCAGCAACTCTTCCGAGCTTTTGCATAGCTATATGTATGTGTGTTTGCTTGAACTGGCTGTAAGGTATTTTTTCTCATCTAAAACCTCAGTAGTCAGGGTTTATTGCAGAGCTGGCACTTTGTCATAAATAAGTAGGTTAGGGTTGCAGTTTGAGCACTTGGTCTCTAAAAGGTTTGCCATTACTGCCCTAGACAATACTGGGGTAGGGTTGCTTTTCTTTCTCTGTTCAAGTCAATGGACTGGTATGTTCAGTAGCTGAAATAGGGAGGAAAAAAGAGCTCCATTCTGGAAAATGGCTGCAGAAATTCAGCCCCAATACACTAAGGACTCTTGGGGCAAGAAGGCTTTTAGCAAGAGGAAGGGTTTTTCTTACTCCATGCAAATGAATGAAGAAACTGCTCTATTCTCTTGCATGGGGACGGAAAACAAGGAGACAAAAAGAAAGAAGTACTGGAAAAAAGAAAGAGGGGTGGTGCAGTCACAGAAGAGCAGCCAGAGAGGGAGAGAGAGCAGGGAGGGGAGTAAGGGGACGGGGCAGGGACAGAGAGAGAGAGAGAGAAGTCGGAGAAAGTAGAATACACTGAGCATCTAAAACCATGCATGCCTACAAAAATAGGTAGCCAGGATTGCCCCAACATTGCTGTGAGTGGCTACAGCATTCAATTTGTAGTGGTCTCAAGGCAACTTTTCAAAATGCTAAATGGGCCCACAGGCCTGAAAAGGTTGGAAAACCTATTGTTAGACACTGAGGGAAATTAGTTTCTACAAGAGACAGTGCCACCCCCATTTCCAAGTTAAGAAAATACTGAACTTGGCATTCTATTCTTTTTAGCCCTAGTTCTTTATAACCTCTGTTAGTAAATCTTTCCCATGTTATCTTGAAGATGTAGTAGGGTCAGGAAAGCTATCTGGAAGATTTTAACAAGACTGATTTGTGCAAAACAGTTGCTTGAATCCAGCTTCCCAAAAAACATTAACAAGACTCTGTTTCAGTCATATCTGCTGATGTCATTTTGTGGATGTAAATACTTCCTTAATACTTTTCTGTTTTCATCCAATTCTAAAAATCTAATGACAGATTCTCAGCTGATCATAAATAATGTCCTATACCCAGTACATTCAGCTACAAACTCCTGTTCATCAGCTTTCTAAATCTTTCAGTCAGACTGAATATCCTAAAAAGCCTAGGCAAATCTTTACCTGGCACAGAAAAAATAAGAGAAAGTATCAGGCAAGCTTCTCTGGGAAGTGAGTTCAAAAGGCTGGGCCCCACAACAAAAAAGCCCCTCTAGGTCACCCTCATACTCATCCCAGTTAGAGCAGAGAATCAATCAGAAGAGCCTGTGATCAAGATCTTGCTATCCCAGACAGGTCTGTGTGGAAAGAGACCATTATTGTTGTTGTTGTTACACCGCATTGTTGTTACACTGCCTTTTTCCTCTTCTGAGGAACCCAAAGTGACTTGCATATCTCCATTTTATCCTCACATCAACCACCCTGTGAGCTAGGTCAGGCTGCAGGTGAACGATGGCTCAGAGTCGCTCACTGAGCTCCATGGCTGAGTGGCAACTAGAACCCAGGTCCCCCTTCCAACATTCTTAACCACCACACCACACTGTCTGTGTTGACATGCCCAGAGCCTAAACTGTCTGGAGCTTTCCAAATCAAAACCAGTATCTTGAACTGAGTCTGGTAGTAGATTAGGAGAAAATGAAACTGTCCCAGCCAGTTACAGAAGTTGTCGTCAACAACAGCCCCACACATAACACGTTGCAATACTTCAAAAAGGAGTTACCAGAGCTTGACCATCACTTAGGGGCTTTAATAGCATTTAGTGGCAACCAATGCTAACTACCATCCCTCTTGATTTTCATGGCTCCTTTACTTCCTTGTAGTCTCTTCCTTGCTCATCTACTTTAGGATGGATGGGGCCAGATCTACAAATACATTTCCGGCATGTAGCATCATACTGCTTCTTCAACTTCAAAATACAAATGAAGTTCATATAAAGATGAAAAAGGTACTGACAGGTGGGAAGTAAAATTCATAACCTTAAAAAAGACAATCTATGTATTAAGCAGTGGGATATAAATTCTTATATTTTCCCTTAAACCAGTGTGGTATAGTGGTTAGAATGTTGGACTGACATGTGGAAGATTTGGGATTTAGACCCCACTTGGTCATGAAAATCACTGGATCGGTGACTTTGAGTCAGTCACTGACTTTCAGCCCAAGCTACTACACCGGGTTTTTAAGAAAAATTGAGAAAGCACGAATGATTACGTAAGCCATCTTGGATTCCTTGCAGGAAAAAAACAAGACAAATATAATTAATACAAACTAATGAATAAAACGTAAGTGTTTAATTTAAGCAGATTAATTTATTTATGCATTTATGACTAGTGTCTCTTACCTGAGGTAATTCTACGAGCTGGTTTCCATCCAGCCAGAGGTCTTTAAGATTATAAAGTGCACCTATAGTGTCTGGCTGTAACATACAAAAGAAAAAAAATATCATAATTAGCTTTACAAAACAAAACATTATAGCACACTAGAGAAACAAAAGAAGCTTTATTTATTTACTTCAGCCAAGTATCTTAGACAGCAAATTCAGGAATGCAAAAAACCCACAATTATCAATAGGACTGTATTTGCTATACATAGCCCATGTAGCAAAGGAATATCATATTAACAAAGCTATGGACAAAAATAAGCACAAAGGCAGTGTATCCTTTTAGTTCTTTAGCTCAGCATGCCATTCCTTACACAATCCTACAAATCAGTCCAACCTGTTGAAAACTTTGTGGGCAAGGGGAAAAAACAGCAAAGCTCAACTTGTTACTATTTCTTCTCTTCCAGAGTCAACTCTCAATAACCTTATACACCCTGAGACCATCCAATAAAAGTACCAAGGGCCTTCTTTCCATCCACTGAACAGAAACTGTATCCAGACAACAACAACAAACTACAAAAGATCTCCATACAGGTAAAGTATGCAAGAAGCATCTTCTCCAGTCAAGGCAATAGAGCCAGGATTGTGGAATAAGATTCCAGGTTGCTCATTTCATTTTTTTACTCTTAGTTCTAGTTTGTCTGATTTACTGGGTCAAAGGAACAAGCACTGTACATTATATGTTTTACAACTGGCAAATTCTTTTCCAGTATGTGCAATTAACCAAGACCATATAACAGAATATCATACAAATGCATTTGCAGACCAAACAGTTGAAAATATGGTTTTCAAAGTATTATTATTAAGCCCAAACTATCCTGACAACTGAGGAAAGGCACATATTTTTATTTGTTTTACCAGTTTCTGAAAGTGAAAGCGTGTGCATTCTGGCCTGCCTTTCAGGAAAAATGTACTTGGGTCTCCATGTCACTCAATTGAATGGCACATGCCCAGTTCTGCTTCCTGACTGCTAGCTTAGCAGATCAGCTGGTTTAGGGACTCTGGGATACAAACTGCCAAGCCCCCAGGGAGCAAGTGAACAGGGAGAGCAAACAGGAGTTTGGTGGCAGAGTTCAGCAGGGAAGATCAAGGGGGAGGTCCCTAAACTTTTTTTCTTTTCTCTCCTTAGCTCCCCCGTACCCCATTTTTATTATTTGTATCACACCCTGTATTGTTACCATTCAGAGAAGACTGAAGGAAGCACTGCTTGCTACAACAGGCCCAGCAAGCTACAGTTAAAATGGCAGGAGAAAGGATACACTGAGAAGACTCCCAGTGGTGGTGACATGCAATGTCTGTGCAGTGCTTGTTTTCCTGCCTGAGGTCAGCATGGCTTACATGTGCAACAAGTGCCAGCTAGTAACCCTGTTGGAAGAAAAGGTGAGAGCACTAGAGCAGCGAGTGTCCACCCATAAAGGAATTAAAGAAGATGAAGAGTTTTTAGACAGAGTGGTAGAGAAGCTAGAAGAACAGCAGAAAGATGCGGCAGAAAAAAAGACTCCTGAGGGAAGGGAAAATGAGGAGGAAACTCCCTGAAAAGGAATGACAGGTACAGAAAAACTAGAAAACACTCTGCATCAGTGGAAGCAGTGGAAGTATCGAACCACATTCAGTTACTCAAGGATGAGACTGGAGGGCAGCCAGCTGGGGAAGACCTGTGAGTACTCCTGTGCAACACTGAGCAAGAGGCTAAAGGTCAACCAAGTAGTGGCAGTGATACCAAGGCTTACAAAAACAAGGAGAGAAGGGCGTTAGTTGTGGGAGATTCCCTGTTGTGAGGGATGGAAAAACATATATGTCAGGAAGACCCATGGACTCGTCAGGTACGCTATCTCCCTGGAGGGCAAATGAGTGATGCAACTGGGAGACTGTCCAGCCTCATACAGCCCACTGACACATATCCTTTCCTTCTTATACATGTGGGAACAAATGGCACTGCCAAGTGGAGCACTGAAGAAATCACATCAGACTTTGAAGCTATAGGAAAGAAAGTCAGTAACTTTAGGACCCATATAGTTTTCTTCTCGATTCTTCCAGTTCTTGGAGAGACAAGGAAAGAAAACAATTCTGGTGCTGATGTGAGAGATTTTGATTCTGGGACCATGGACCACACTTTCTGGAAGATGGACTGATGGCAAGGGAAGGGTTGCACTTGACAAGGTCAGGAAAGCATGTGTTTGGCCACAGCATGAAAAAGTATGTCAGGAAGAAGTAGTACACTGAATCCTACAGGGGAGTGAGAAGAACACCAGGATGTAACAACAAAGGTTTATCCCCGCAGAGAGAGCAGCTCTAACAGTACCCAATAATAGTCTTCCAAAAAACGTAGGGAACAAGCCAGAGTACAGATCACAGGGCTTTCAATGTCTATATAGTAAAGCCCATAGAATGGGAAACAAATAGCATGAACTTGAACCCTTAATACAGGAAGGAGGCTGAAGATTACCTGATAGGTATCACTGAAACTTGCTGGGATGACTCCAATGACTGGAATTCAACAACTAAAGGATAGAACCAGTTCAAGAAGCACAGAAAGAACAGAAAGAGAGGCAGAGTTGCACTATATGTTAAAGAAACATGTCTCTGCACAGAGATACAGGAGGATCAGCTTAATATCAGCTTAGAACATCTGGATTAATATAAATGGAGCAAGGAATAAAAGAAACACAGTGGTTAGAGTCTATTACTGACCACCCAGAGAAGATGATGATGAAATTTTTGAAAAGTAAATTGCCAGTGTTTCAAGGAGGCATGGTTTTGTTGTTAGAGGGAACTTCCATTTCCCTGGTATCTGTTGGGAGCCAAATTCAGCCAAACAGAGCCCCTCTAAAAGATCCTTAACATGTGTGGCTGACAACTTCCTCCAACAGAAAGTGAAGGAAGGAATAAGAACAGCTATCCTTGACTTGATGCTAACCAAAGGTAAGACCTCGGGGACCAAATGGCAGCTATTAGGCCTCTGGGGGGAAAGTGACTGTGCCATACTTGAATTCTTGCCAAAATGCAGTCAAACATAAACCCTGTGTTTTAGGATAGCCAATTTTAATAAATGCAGAACAATGATAAGTTCCATGGCAATTCTAATGAGAAAAGGAGTCCAATATGGATGCAATTTAAAAAAAAAGAAAATTCAGAACACATAATTGGAAACAATTCCAACAAGGATAACCGAAGAAGCCTATGTGGCTTCAAAAAAGGCTTAGAGATGATCTGAATACAGCAAGGACACGTATCAGAACTGGAAAGAAGGCCAGGTTACAAAGGAAGAATGCAGGCAGGTAGCATGGAATTGCACAGATGACATCAAGAAGGCTAAAGCTAGGAGTGAACTGAGGCTAGCAAAGGATGCTAAAAGCAACAAAAAAGCTTTTTCAGATATGTCCAAAGTAAAAGAGGAAAGAATTAGAGGTCCAGCTACTCAATGCAGGTGGCAAAATGATAACAGACAACAAAAAAGCAGAAAAAGTACTCAATTTCTACTTTGGCTCAGTCTTCTCCCAAAAGATAATCTATGACCTTCCTGATGAAAGGGAAAGAGCAGAATAGCAGCTCAGGATTAACAGGCAAATGATCAAGGATCATCTAAATTGGGCTAAATGAGTTCAAATCTCCAAGGCCCGATGAATTCCATCCTTGGGTTATAAAGGAGCTGGAGGAAGAAGTACTAGTTCCCCTTTACTCAGCACTGGTTAGGCTTCATCTGGAGTACTGTGGCCAGTTCTAGGCAACTTGATTTAAGAAAGATGCAGGCAACGTGTCAATGGTTCAGAGGAGAGCAACAAGGATGGATCCAGGGGTTGGAAATAAGCCCTATGAGGAGAGATTGGAAGAAGTGGGCATTTTTAGCATGGCGAAGAGAACACTGAGGCACTGAGAGAAGCCCTCTTTGAGTATTGGGAAGGCTGTCACAAAGTAGGAGCACAGAATCTCTTCTCAGTCATTCCCAACTGCAGAACACAGAATAACGGGCTCAAATAACAGGAATGCGGATTCCAGCTAGTTATCAGGAAAAAAAATTCTTCATGGCTACAACAGAGCAACCAATTACCTAGGGAGGTTGAGAGCTCTTACACAGTAAAGGCATTCAGGCTGTAACTGGACAGCCATCTGAGAAGGATGGTTTGACTTGGAATCTAAGCAAGTGGTTGGACCCAATGGCCCCTCCAACTCTACTATTGTAAGATTCCCTTACAAATTATAAAAGTTCCATGTGTAAGCATGCATGAGGCCTCTTGCTTTTAGAAATGATCCACAGATTTCACAGCAGCTGTAACTCATTCTTTTCTCCACAGTGTATTGGCCACTGTACTTCTGTTGGGAATTTATAAAATGAGGACGAGGACAAGGAACAAGAAAGACACCTCCAGAACAAGGATTGCATATATAGCACATTGTTAACAGAAGGATGTTCAGGTTTCTCTCAATATATGTTTCCGCTTTAACTAAACTCGAAGCTAATTGTACATATTTTTGTTAGTCTGGCCCCAAATCTGCAAGTCCTATGAGTTGAAGTGTAACATGCTCAGAACCTCTAATTCTTTTCTTGGATTTTCTGAAAATACTGGCTTGGATACAGCAATCCTGTTGCATGAATAGAAGGGCAACTCCCCTTGTATGCACTGAATCACATAGGGTAGGAGGGAGGAACTCCTTTAAGTAGGAGTGACAAACAGCCCCACCAGGCCATCATCAGGCTGCATGATGTCAGCGAGCATGGCCACACTCTGCAATAGCACAACATATCCTCCATTTTGCCTTTCCCCATTCTAAGAGTCAAGGGATTCTGTGCTTCGCTCAGCACAGAGAAAAGGTCTTCACCAGCTCTGGAAGGAGCTCCTTCTCCCAGCGCCAGCCATCTCTGACTTCTGTGCTGCTATCCTGATAGGCATGATGAATAACATGCAAACAGACTCATCTGGTGCTGAGAGGAGCAGTTCCTCCTAGCTGCTGGGTGAGTCATTGACTCCCCATTTACCCAACCCCTTCTTTATCACTGGTAGGAGATAATGGAGAAATTCCTTTACGTACCACTTGCACTCCCTATTGGGAATGCAAGAGGTATGTCAGGAAATATCCTGTTGTCCTGGTATTTCTCTGTATCTAACTGGAGAGAACAGCAGGGATTTCTCCAGGAGGCATCTGCAGGAACGGAGAGGGGGGAAATTCTGGTTCCATCTGTCAAGAGCCACCAACTGCAATTTAAGCCAACAAAACCAGCAGAAGAACTGGCTGGCTCAAATTGCATGTAAGTGCCCACAAAGTGCACTGCTTGGTTTGAGACTTGAAAAACTGATATTTTTCCAGTAATTTTTCAATTTGCTTTTTTCCTTTGTGTGTCTTAACTTTTGAGTTTGTAAACCTGAATGAAGGGCTTCTTTTGTTCTTGTTGTTATAAGAATATTTGGAAGATGTTTGTCTGAGAAATGGATAAAAGTGCAGTAGTCAGGGTCAATCAGTGTAGACCAGTCATCTACAACCTCCAGATGTTTTGGACTTCAGGAATGGTGGGTGTTGCAGTCAAAAACTTCTGGGGGATGGACAGACCACATTGGATGGCAGATGTAGAAGACACTGAGCTTGATGGACCATGATTTGATTTGATGGATCATGACATATCCGTTTTCCAACAGGCTTTTAAGACAAACCATTACGCTAGCTGGACCACCATGATCAGGTTTTGCCCAACTTTTCATCAGTACTTGATATAAAAGGCATGGCAAACATCATTTCTTTTTTAAATAAAAGATTAGACAACCTGGTTAAGGAGCAAAATTGCAAGACAAATGTAAAAACCTAGCAGTAAATCTATAACGTCACCATCTGGCAATACAACCACATCCCCACTTCCTTTTTCATTTCTTCTTTAGTGTGCTTTCAAGACCACAGTATAACATGAACTACCATTATTAGGAATTTAACCTCAGAATATTTTTAGCTGCTTCAGTCTGCCCTCTATATACAATTTGTGGTTATGAATGACAGCCAGTGCTGTTTTTCATTCTTTCAGATGCTGCCTTCCAGTGGTAGAGCATCAGCGGGATGCATGCTTCAATTTTAATCCTGCCTAGATTTGGGAGGATTTTATTTTGATAGTATATATATTTTAATAGACTCTTTTTTTTGTAAATGTCCAACTGTAGGTCGTATTGGTTTAAATTCCCTGAAATATGTGTTGTTGATACTGTTTACATACTACCTGCATGATAAAAAGATTCTACCGAATTTCACCAGGTTATATATCTCTTGCTAAGGACAGTGAGGAATTATGCATAGAAGAATTTCAAGAGGTTTGCCTTAGAAAGACATTTTTACATAAAAAGTTACCCTCCACCCCTAGCCCTGTGTTTCTAATCCACAGTGCCATGAAGGGGGATAACAAAGAGATTTGATTTTTCAAGCTCTCTGAAGTGCCTTTCAAGAGCTCCAGTCCACATTTTACCATTATCCTACTGAAATGCAAGAATAGAAAGAGGAGATGTAACAGCTTTCTTCTTAGATTTTGAGAAGGTAGCCCAGTGACAGACAGCTGCTCCCACCAGGGACTGGTTGCTGTCCTGCTCCAGAGGGAAAAGCAAATCACTGCCTTCCTCTTCAAGACTGCTTCTTCTTTGAATGGGACACAATTAGGAATCCCTGCTGCAAAGCCTCATCGTTCAGTCAAAGCTTCTGACATATGGCCCAAGTAAATTAGGTCTTTCATCCAGCTGAAGCGTTGCCGACACGTGCTGCATCCATGCAGGCTCCTGCCTATGTTCTCCGCCATCAGTTGCAGACAGGCATGCTTGCCTCTGATACTGGATGTAGCATCCAGCCATCAGCACTAGTGACCACCAGTAGGCTTCAGCTCCATGAATTTGTCCAATTCACATTAACAGCTTTCTGAAGGGGCACCCATCACGACATCTTGCGGTAGCGAGCTCACTATGTGCTGTGGGATTTCCTTTTATTTGTCCGGAATCTTTTGAAGAGCTGCATATGCCCACAAAGGGAGCTGCATGCTGTATCTTTAACACATGGTGGATAGGGGAGGTGTGGCCCACAGGCTGAATGGGACACTCTCTGCCCACCATGGAGCTGCCGCCACACCCCACTACCCTCCAAAGATCGCTCTTTAAGGTATTTTATTTTGTGTTGAAAAAATGGCATCCAGCCCATTACAGATGGCCTGGATGCCATTTTTTCTTTATTTGAAACTTATTTTCAGGTTGCCTGGTGGACTGCAAATTGCAGTGGAGTTGGGGGTCCAGGGGGAGAAAATGGTCCTCAGACCATCCAAAATTTCCTACTCCTATTTTAGCATAAAAATGTAGTTTGACATTCAGTTATCTAATAAGTACACTGTGTCAAAGGCTGATAGGAAACTATCTTAACGTAAGCAGGAGGAGTAAGACCCACCTTTTTCAAATGTCAGTCTTGACCATTTGGGGATTTGCATTGTAATTATTAACACATGTGATGCTATAGTACAAACCAAGGAATAGTAGGGAAATCTTACCAAATTATAAAGTTCATTGTTCCCTAGGTCCAACTCTTCTAGTCTCTGCAGCTGGGCAACTGACCTAATAAAAGAAGAATGGTATGTTTTGTACACACAAGCATAAAAGCAACCTATTAGCATTAGGCTCAGATATTCTTACCTTAATTATCTAATCATAACATTTAAGCAAATGAAGTTTAAAAGCTGCAAATTAAAAAAATATCTTTCTAGTGACATCCATCTTGTATTGAACTGCTCATTTAAAAGCACTGAAGGAGCAAGAAAAGAGAAAGATTGCAATTAACACTGATGAAACAAAACACACACACACAAAACTTACTCAGGTAAATATGTCAGTAGATTCTCTCTTAATTCCAGCGATGCCAGGTTATATAGACTAGGAAGATAAAAAGAATCTTATTAAAACTGATTTTAAAAACAAGAGTGATACAAAAGATGTAAAGAGTATACATTGCAATTTTCAAGATGCACCACATTAACCAGAACCAGCATCCACTCTAGGAAGTGATTTTCTTTGGGGCTGGGCAACTTTTTACAATCCTGAACCCTCACAGGTGCCAAATAAAATAAAATAAAATAAAATAAAATAAAATAAAATAAAATAAAATAAAATGGCATCCAGAGATACTGCATGGTACTTACCTATGCTTGCAAAGAAACTATTACCCCATTAGAAGGTTCTACAGCAGCTCTAGATGAGTTCTTCTTCCCCTTCCCCTAAGAAGTTGGGTGCCTCCAAATGTTGGGGGATACCGAGGCTGCATGTTGCCAACTTTTTATGGTTATAACTCCATTATCCCTTATCCTCCTGCTATTGAGATACACTGCTTCATACATGCAAAAACACTGATGCTTTGTTGTTTAGTTGCAAAGTCGTGCCCAACCCATCACGACCCCATGGACAACATTCCTCCAGCCTCTCCTGTCCTCCACCATTCCTCAGAGTCCACCCAAGCTCACACCCACTGCCCCAGTGACTAATAATCCCCAAGAAGTAGCACCAAATGTCAAGCCGCTCCATGAATCTTAGTTGTTCTTAATAAAACAAATCCTTGCCAAATGGATTGGCGTCCATTTGTCCTCCATTTGGGGACAAATGGAGAACTATTTTTAACAGGACTACTGGCCAGTAAAAATACAATACACAAATAGATGGGGAGGAAAGACTGAGAATTGAAAGTGGGATAAAAACAGAGGTTCCTTGATTATATTATGAAGTGGACTATGGCAATGTACTTTCCCCCTCCAATAGCATTAAAAATAAAATATATCCCTAGTTTCTAATTTGAATATAATTTTATTTACTGGTTTTATAATTATGATTAAGGGGTTAGAAAAGTCACAGAATGCTCATTTAAGCACACAGGCAGCTAGCCATGATTTCTCACTTATGAACTGTTCATCATCGTATGTGACGTTACACGACTAAGCTTTTCACTTACACCCCATTATGGTAAAAGCCTATCATCACCATAGTAACATTCATCCTTCCCCCACTCCACCCAGGTTGTATTTAGGACTAAATGGAACATAAGAAATCAGACATTATCCCAATGCTTTAATCTGCTTTAATCCTCTAACTTCCTAGGACAACACAAAAAGAGAAATATGCCCATACTTTCTACCTCATAGCAACCTCTGCTTTGCATAGCTATCCATTCCAGAGAGGAAGCCGTGCTTATCACTTGTAGGAGCAGACAAAGAGTTCCAAAGTGTCTTAAAGACCAAGCATCTTCCTTGCATCATCAATTTTCATGGTCTGCAGCCCAGTTTGCTAGATGCAGAAAGCAATAGTTGGCAGATATGCACAGGTACAGAGGAAACAGCTGCCGTTATTGCAGCTCAAAAGCTGTTAAATGAAAGTGTACCAGTTCATCTGTCACATGCAGAGCCCAAGTGTATACAAAAGAAGAATCAACCCATTCACAAGAATATTACTTTTCTTGCTATGCTATTGCAAGTCTCAAAGAAAAACAATTATTTTTTATATCAGGAAATATGCCCCATAGTCTGAACAGGACATAATCCAATTTGATTATTACATTTGGTTCAGCAATTCTGCACCAGAGGCTTGCTTTAAAGTCTGTGGTCATAATAGTACAGAGTGGAGGTGCAAAAAAGGGCAGCCTGTGGACAGTGCCCAAGCCCTCCAGCATCTGCAGCAATGACCCAAAAGAAATCAGGCCAATTGCAAAGCTTTGTTTCCCAATATCTTTTTGTAAGCTGTCCTGAGGCTTGGGCAAAGGACGGGTTAGAAATGCCTTAAATAAAATAAATAAAAATTAAATAAAATATCTTCTAACTACCAGAAATGCTCTAGGAATGGGCCATCTATGGCAGGAGCCAAGTGTCTCCCAGATTGTTTTCTAGAGCATTATCAAGTACACACAGACTTGGTACTTATTGCTGCTGCTTTTATTTCCTTAGCAAACCTAAAAATGGATGAGCAGGAATGGGCTGAAATGAAATTTACTTTATTTCAAACAAAAAGAATGGGGGAAATATATTAAAAGGGGATTAAAATAAGCATATAAAGGAAGAACAGATAGGATATGATGAGATGTATGGGAGGGAGTGTGTGTGTCACATGCACGTATATCTGTGGGGAGGAGTAATTGTGTATGTGACTGTGTGTTCAGGAAAGAGATTGTGCATGTTTGCATGGCTCATACAGCCCTTGGGAGCAAAAAGGTTATTATGCATCCTTTTTAGAGTGAGAAATACATTGAGAACATGCCTCATTTACCCCAGCCATGCCTGTGATAGCAGGTCTACCGTGACTGCTCACTAACCTTGGACGCAGGACTACCCTATCCTGGTTGACTCCAGGGTGGCCAAGGAAACTTCAGGATGGCACTGGATACCCCTACAACCCCACCCTCCTCTATCCATTTCAGGGCCACTTAGCCGCTGGGAAGGCTGACATCATCTCTAGTGATGCCATCTGTAGAAGACATATGGGTGTTAATTCAGGCAGCTCTCCTGGCAGGACTCCTTAGGTCCATCTGCAGCACTGGCAGAAGCAACAGCACTACCAACACTAACACCAGATCTGCCTTATTAGCTACATGAGCGTCCATCCATAGGGGTGGTGTGAAATTCCTTTTCACCACAGAACAGCCTTCCCTGGACGTGACCTCCAGATGTGCTGAGCCACAACTTCCAACATCCCCGTCAGCTAGACAGAGCTATGGATTCAGAAGGCTGAAACATTCCCAGTGCAATCCTTTTTTTTCCAGAAGTGCAAAGTTACCTCAAAAATAAATGTTATGGCATGTACACATCTTGAATACTGTAAGGGAAAAATGGAATCATCTTCTAGCTGCACTTTAAAAACTATGCTTTAGAAGAATTTACAAATTCCATGCAAGGAGGTCGCCAGACCAAAGCAGGGGAGGAAAGCAGTTTCTTAGGTAATTACAATTGTTGCTTTTCTTCCCTCGACATTCCAGATTTCTCTTCTACTTGAAGTATGGGACCAATTAGATGCCTGAGGGGATTACATTCCAAAACATGCCCTTTCAGTAGAACCTACTTGCTGGCTCAGTTTCAAATGAGAACTGTGCTTAAATATGGCCATTTCTCTTTAAAGTGTGAATGTGTTGAGAGTAACAAAGGCTACAGGTTAATACAGCTGAACAGAAACTAGAATTCAGGGTGCACCAATGTTATATATGCAGAGAAAATGCACAAGACGAACAAGTGCAATATAGTCCTATTTCTGGCAACTCTTTTTCAGTTTCTCAGCATCTCAGAAGTGGACCATGTTGTACAGACCCAAGACTGCCTTCAGATCTTGAATTATATTTTCCATTAACAGAAGGAACAGACATATTGAAAAGTGCATGCACACGGAAACTAACCCAATTAAGATATCTTTTTGTGAGTACAGGCTTTCTGAACTGATGGAAACAGACAGGACAATACATTAAAAGAATTCAGGAGCCTGATTAAAGGATTGGCCTTCCTCAGCTTTCTTCATGTGGAAGCTTGCGTATACACCATTACTTTTTATAATACATTCTGGAGCTTCTTGATTTCCCATAGGAAGGAGACTTCCAGTTATTTGTGACAGCAAAGTTTTCTTCAGCGTAATTGTATCATGAACCTTAAATTTCAGTTCATTACTGCAATCATTTTTTAGTGAGGCCAGTCCTCTAAGCCATTAACACAAAGGCTCAGGCATAATATGATTGAATGAAGCACTACATAGTGGTGTTTCAAGGAGGAAATAGGCTTCTTCCAGTGATTCCAGAGGCAGGGAAATTGGTGGGCAGCTGTCCAAGTGAAAAGCAAAGCAACAACATCTTTTCAAAACAGGGTAGCAGCTACATCACCCTCTTTGCAGCAAGATACTCTGCTTTTTGTAGGCCACCCAACTAGAATCCTTTGCATGGATCATATTTTGCTCATGCCAGTTACAATCAGAATGCTAACAGTATGAAACGGAAGAGCAGCACCAGGCTATTAGCATGCTGGTTCTCAATGGTTTGAGAGATCATGCTTGCAGAAGTTAGCACACCACAGCAGGCTCTTCTAGGGACATGGGAAAGCAGGGTTTATTTCTGGTGAAAATGCATGTGTGGCCAATATAGGAAACTAATAGTATGCGTAGCATCTGAAACTCAGGAAAGCTGTCATGCTTGTATGCCGGAATAGGCACTCCTTGAGGGCCTGGAGAGAAACCACAACTGGTTTTAAAACTCAGCTCACTGTGAATTATGTCAACTTTAACATATTAATTGTACTATGAATTTCATTTATTGTAAAATTTTCATTTAAAATATTTGATAAATGTTTAGAGGTGTATGCTAGAACAAGCCGCCACACAACAAAAGCTGATCAAAACTAATAAACTGTCATGTCCAACATCTAGCAACCTGATCATACAAGAAGTTTCAGCATATCAAATATGGTGAGGTCAAGAGGCCATCCCATATAATTTCAGCCCGTATCCAATTTCCTCCACAAACAAAGAACAAGGTATAACTCATATAAGAAACCTAATATGCTTTGAGCTCATAACCACAAAATTACTCTCTTTTGCCTAGCACAGTTTCCTGCCTTCTTTTCCCTTTCACTGCTCAATACTAAAATGCTCATCTGCAGGTACAACTTATGTTTATCGCTACATACACATATGTAATTACTCATGCTGAGATTCTAGTCCACCATAACCTCTCTCTCTCACACACACTGACTCATGCTCATTGCATAACTGATACCCACTAGACCTTAACTACTTCCTGAAGATTCGAGGGTTGCGTTATTTATTTTTACAAAGCTTAGATTCAGGCCCCCTCAGTTTATATGTGACCATAACAGCATCTGTGCTATAGAAAAGGAAATATTCACAAAGGAGGAAAGCAAATAGACTCAAGAGGGTGTTTTTTTAGATGCATCATGTTCTTTCTCCTCCACCTATGGAGAAAGACTAATTATATAGCAGCACATTCTATTCAATAATCTCTAAACTCAACAATTGCATTAGGGAGTTGAAAAGTCCTCTGATTTTTCAAAAGGTAGAATTTTAATTTGGGGGGTTAAAATGCTGGCTAGCTGTTTTTATAGCTTTTTTCTACATATAGGAAGACTGCTAGGTCCAGGCTTCTATGTAGGCCTGGGTAGGCAACCTGGAGCCCGCAATAGATTTTGGAGTTGTTGTTGTTAGTTGCAAAGTCATGCCCGACCCATCGCGACCCCATGGACAACATTCCTCCAGGCCTTCCTGACCTCTACCATCCCTAGGAGTCTACCCAAGCTCACACCCACTGCCGCAGTGACTCCATCCATCCACCTCATCCTCAGCCGTCCCCTTCTTCTTTTGCCATCTACTGTTCCCAGCATTAGGCTCTTCTCCAGGGAGTCCTTCCTTCTCATTAGGTGGCCAAAGTATTTGAGTTTCATCTTCAGTGTCTGGCCTTCTAAAGAGGAGATTTTGGCGTATAACTTCCAAAATCCCTCATTTTGGCTGGATTACGGGAATTGTCATCTAAAACATTTGGGAGGCACCAAGTTGCTTAGATTGGATGCAGTTTAATGTCAAACAAAGAAAAGTATTTCTTATACGAAGATGTTCAGAAAAACTCACCCTACTGGAGCCTCCCAAAGCTAGAACTTTCTAATTGTTTTCAATGACAACTTGCAGGATTCTTGATCACACTGGCTAGTGCTGGAAGCTGAAAACTAAAATCCCTGGTGGCACCAACTTGGGGAAGGCATATTATTGCATGTTACATATTTTAAAACCTCTCAAAATTGCCCCTCCATAAGCATCATCAACAACACCTTTTTATGGTAACTTCCTTTTTGTATGCCAATTAATCATCCTTGAAATAAGTAAACAGAAAACTGCATCACAGTATTCAGCATGAACACCTCTAAAGCTTCAAGCCAAATATAATTCTTCAAGTGTACAGAATTAATTTTTCCACAGAACCATTTTAGATGGCATTTGCCTTGATATGTTTGACATCTTCACTGGGGGTGAAAAGAGTTACTGTCCAACACATCTGGAGAACACCAGGTTGGAGATGGCTGTTTTAGAGTAGACTTTTATGCACGTTTTTATGTACAAAGCATAAATCTTAACTTTAACCATTCCCCAAACATTCAAGTACTGTATCTGCATGCATTTCATTCTAGTAAATGGTTATTTGGTTTCATAACAAAGGACGGCACATATCTATTGATGTCCTATTCAAGTTTACATCAGCATTTTATAGAAGTGAAACAAATCATTTTAGCTAGAGCACGCCTCCCTTGCCTTTCAGAATAGCAGCTAAGGGTCCTAGAATCCCTCTTATCCCACTTGAATTTAAGCACTGTCTTTCAAGGCATAGAATATCATACTTTCAAGATTGCAGTGCCTAAATAAAAAGGCGGATAAGCATTACTCCCTCTTAAATACAGTTAAATAAAATTAAAACCTTACATACACATTAATGGCGGTCCTCTAGCTCATGAAATTTTTCCACTGAGGTTTACAGTACTGAAAACCAGGCCCACCCATTTTCCTCTGTGTGATGCATCTCAGAAATAATGAAACAGCCACTCAGGAATACCACAAACACTGGTCTGCTTGAAAAACCCACAGATGCACATTCCACAGCAGAGCACACATCATCATTCCCATGCAATGCCTCAAGAGTTGTTGCCGAACACATCACTATACAAAACCCAAAGTTCCATCTGTATGGAAATATTTTCTTAAAATCATTTTTGCCAAAAGGAATGACATATTTATAGAGGCAAATTGAGAAGTTAAAGAACAGTCTAGTGACATGTTTTATGAGCTCTAACCAACTGCAAAGCTCTCAAGTATACATGTGGATCACCACCATTAGATGCAGACTAGGTTCACACAACACAGTAAGCTACCTGAGCTTAAAAGCCCAGTTGTTAAAAGTTGTGCAAACCCAGGAGCCAGAAGCCCTTCACAGACTGTGACTTGGTATAAGATTTATAAGCTACCCCTGGGCTCACTGTGTTGTCCAAACCCAGACACCACAGCCATCTTAACGGTGCCTAAAAGCACTATGGAAACACTCAAAAAGAGTGGCAGCACCAGTTCGTCCCACCCTCATCTGGTGTCACTGCCAAGTTCTACACAAGTCGGAGTGAGAGTGATCAGCAATCCCTGCTCTCGGCTCCCCCGCACTGTGGTGTCCCCTGGGATACCTATAGGAGATCTGAGGGGGAAGCGGGCAGAGGAAATTCCTCAGGACAGTCACTGTGTCCAATTGCTCGTTGGACCCATCAGGGGCCCCAGACTAAATAGCCAGCCAGTGTGGTTTATAAACAAGCTTGGGCTTAAAGTGTCCCCTGAACCTGGCCACGCAGTTTTGTTTTGGACAGGACTTTCCATTGTCCTTGTTAAGACAGCTGGGAATTTATCTATATAACACTTACGATGAACCTAAAGTCATTCTTGTCCAAACTGGTGTTACCCAGATGTTTGGAACAGCAGGTCCCATCATGTCTGATCAGTAGCAATGCATGCTGGAGCTGATAGGTTCTGGAGTTCAAAACATCTAGAAGGCACCAGGTGGCGAAGTCTGGACTGCAGGGTTGCAGAGAAAGTGATGAAACTTAACATCAAGGAAGAGATTGTATCAAGTGCTCACCTAGCAGCTGCAGTTCCAGCTGCAAACATTTGCCAGTCCCAGCAGTAGTGCTATGCCTGTGGGAAAGGGTCATTCAATCTTCCCACTCACCCCTATATTCTTGTGTGTCACTGACAAATAAAGAAAACTCTGGAAGGAACAAATACACCCATATCTATGTGATCAATAGAGGTACATCTCTCTCTCTCTCTCTCTCTCTCTCTCTCTCTCTCTCTCTCTCTCTCACACACACACACACACACACACACACACACACACACAGCTTCACTTTCCCCCAAACTTCCTATTTGCTGATAGTATCCAACAACGCATCTTCTGCCCACTGGTATCCCACTGCAAAGACTGAGTCCTGATGATTTCAGTACACAAGCGAGACCCACCATTCATGCAAGAGGTTCAGTGCTTTCCAAACGAAGCCCCAAGAGAAGCCAAAATACTTGCTTCTGGATTGGGACACATCAGAACTCGCTCATATGAACTGCTCACATTCCGGAAATTAACGTTTTGGATTATTCTAAGTTGCTGCCAGAAGCTGCTTATGAAATTGAATTGCTGAGGCAGCAGGAAATAAAAAACGGCATAGGTGTCCCACTTCATACTGCTCCTTAAGCCCAGTTCAAATGTTATAAAAATTATGGTTTATTGTAGGAAGACAAACAAAAGCCTTGGACCACATATTTCCAATGCTCACCTTTGCATGTTAGGAGAAAGAGGAAGTTTAAATTCTTCCATTGTGGCTTTCAATAGGCCAGTTCCCTATTATATGTAAATACAGGATACTGTGGTTCGTTCCACAGTTGGTTAGAAAACCAGGACCTGAATCAAAGTTTGATCCAAGTTTCCAAATCAGGTATGGCTGCCACACCCTGGTTCCTGGACTAAATACAGGATATATACATCGTATTCAGTGTATTTGAACAGTGTGTATTAAAAAATAACAGGCACTACAATCTATGCAAAACTACAGTATAGTAAGCTTTAAATTTCTTCCTCCTCCGTATGAGAGGGGTGGGTATGCATATCTTCATAATGCTGAATCATGCTTCAGTCTTTCATGTGAACTGGGGCAGTCTACATGAGATTAAAAGGCAAATGCATATATTCTGTCCTGTGAATACAGTTATGCTTCATGCATGATATCTCTCTCTCTCTCTCTCTCTCTCTCTCTCTCTCTCTCTCTCTCTCTCACTCACTCACTCACTCACTCACAAATCACCACCACCAGCACGATATATCAAAACATTAATATATAAAAACAGCTCTCATAGAAGATAATTCTACACTGACACAATGACCAAAAGTGGAGACTGGACAAGTTGCATTCAGTAACTGTTTTGTCAGTGCTTCCAGACAGTTTCAAGATGACTTCAGATACTTGCAACAACCCAAAAGTGCTTTCTATCCACCCTTCACAAGTGCTTATATTTATACAAATGTAATAATTAAAACATCAATTATCTTCTTAAAAAACTATCTTACTTTCCAATATTTTCAGGCAATGCTTGCAGAGAGACATCATTCACGGATAGACATGTTAGATTCTGCAGTTCAGGAAAGCTTTCAGGCAATCTACAGAGAGAAACTTCAGAATCAGTCAGGGACAGAAAAAGACCGAGCATGGTGCATGTTTTGCTACAGGCTTAGCTTTTCTCTCCTATTCTTTAATTAAAAAATATTTTATACTATCTTTCAAGGTAATCTGCAAAGCAGAAAACATAAAATATAAATATATAAAAAACAAAAGCAGCATAAAATTTATTATTAAATGATTTTAAGATTTAACAGATAACACAAAATATTACTAACAGTTAAAACTACTGCTTTTAAAAAGTCAACCAGCATCCATATTTGTTCTTCAAATACAATTCTTAACACCTGGACCCTTCCACATACACACTACTGAAGAAAGTAAAGGCTTGAGTTAGTACAAGATGCTGTGGACAAATGGTTCAATATTATTCATTGCATGATTTTAAGAAATATTTTCTTCTCAAGTTTGACACTTCTTTTGTTGGGTGAGTTTTCCAAGGACAAAGAGAAAGAAAAAGAGAAAGCAAGAGAAAGATACAGAGAAAGAAAGAGAGAGGAAGGGAGGGAGAGACACAGATCCCCTCTCTTACTCGTACAACCAGGCCACTGGCTTGTAATGCTCCATTACATGCAGTTCAGAAAAGCAAATCAATACTTCATTGAAGTGGAGCAGAGTTGCAACACTGAATTCAACCAGAATAACAAAACCAGCTAACATCAATCAGCTTCAGGGTCTTGTCTTCTTGGCCCTGCATGTAAGGAAATGGCCATCATCCATGAGAGCTCATTTGAAAACAAGAATCTGTTACAAACAGATCTGTTATCATCATTTAGGCTCTTGCAAAATCCCCAAGGGTAGCTGCATTTAAAGCAAAGATTTAACACAGGGGTCCTCAAACTTTCTGAATAGGGGGCCAGATGAAAGGCTGCAGTGACTGTTGTGGGCCGGTAAGGTGGGGGTACCTGGGGCGCAGGCCAGTGAGGTGCCGTTGGGCGCGCGCAAGGCGGCATCGAGCGCACAGGGTGGTGGCTCGTTCATTTGGAGATCTCCCAGCAAGTCCAAAACCATCTCCGAGTGAGCGAGCCACTACCTCCCCCTCCCCCCGCTGTGCCGCGAGGCAGTGGCGAGTGCGCACACGCGTGTACGGGAGGTAGGCAGCGGTGGCGGCTTGCTCACTCGGAAACCATCTCCATTGAGCGAGCCACCACCTCCCCACCCGCGCAGCAAGCGGGCCATAGTCTGAGGATCCATGATTTAACATACCATTTTCTACACAGACATTTTGTCTCTAAGAGGATGATTAAACAGACTGTTCTTGACTAAATATATGTGGGATTTAAAATAGGAAGAAAGTTGTTGATAGGTTCAATATTCTGAACAGGACTTAGAATTTGCTGAAGCAACACTTTCCCCTATTCACAGGAGTGCACTGAGTTGCTACAAAAGCAGTTAGATGCCTTATTAAACACCAGCGGGACAGAATCACCTCTCACTTGAGAATTTGTGCTCCGAGAGTCATTCCTCATGTCTGTTCTCAGCAGCCCAAGCACATTTAAATTGCTGTTTTTCCTGGTAAAATACATGGAAGAAGCAAATAATTGAATGCCCCACCCTCATATATGCCTGCTTTCTACAAAGAGGAGCATGCATATATCTTCCGCAACTGTCACACAAGGGTGTATTTCTTCTGTGTTCCAGAATCTTTGATTAAGTACTGTGTCAAGCATGAAGCACCTCAGAAGTATCTGAGAAATCCCATCAGCTTTCCTTCTGTCTTTTGATATTCTGTAACCATTTTTCTGGATCACACAGAATCATTACATTTCAGCCGGCTAATGAAGAAAAAAATAATAGCTTCTTTAATGTGAGTCTGCATGTTTGAGCAGCCTCTCCAATCAGGAGCAGCTCTTCAGTTGCTCCCCACCTTACTTTACTCTACCCCAGTCTTTGTCTGTATAAGCAGATTTAATTCAGGTTTCAGCATGATTGTGAGAATTTAGGCCTTCAGCACTTATATCAAACACAGCTTTCACAAGGGAAGCTCTGTCTTAGCACAAGCAAAATGCAAGGATGCTCCTCCAAGTAGGGCAAAGCATGAGAACAACCGGGCCCCTTGGGTACATTTCTGAAGCTTCCTGAAATGCAGAGGGTTTCCTTCCAAAGCCACCAGAAAAGAAGATGGGCCAGAGCAAGGCATCATCATCATCATCATCACCACCACCACCACCACCACCATCGTCATTATTATAGCCATTAGACTTATATGTCACTCCTTTGCCATGAGGTTCTCGGGGTGGCTCACACATATTTCAGATGTGTTTGGAGATAGAGAAAAAACTGTGACCTCCCTGAATAGCATATGTTGGCTTTCTTTCTCTAAAACTCTGTTGACAAGACAGAGGGGAGGAAGGAAGGGAGTACAGTTAAGAGACTAGCAGGTTCTCCTTTTAATCTGAGGAAATGTTTTACTAGGCGCTCCAATCACTCCACATATAATTGGATTGTGCACCAAGGGCCAATTTCAACTGCAAGTAATCATTATTAAGTAGCACAGAAATGTCACTTTTTAAATTGTTTTTTTCCTGAAGGATTAATGACTTTCCTATCACTTTCAGTTACGTATTCAAAGCAGTGGAAACAGACAAATCTCATATTAAAAACACTGACACAGAAGTCAAAAACAAGAGCCTCTTTATGTTCATATTTGAAAGACGTCAACTATTTTTGGAGTTCCACAAGAATTTGTTCCATTTTATGAAAGTTACCTGGTGAGGGGATTACCACTGAAGTCTGCTACCTGTAATGATTTGCAAAAAGAGATACTTTCAGGTATTTCAGGAATATCTGCAAGAGAAAAAAACAGCATAGTCAGAAATGCCAACTTAGAATTTACCATACAATCTTTATTTTAAGCTTCACTGCTTTTTAAAAGCCCACAGAGCAAGACTATTTTGGAAGATACAGTCTAACAATGATCTTTCTAGGAGTAATGACAAAAGTTGGCTTGCATTTATATGCAGACCCATCATTTAGGGATTTCTGTGGAATCAGCATAATTCTATGTGCATTCCATTTAACATATCCCTATTTATTCCCTCTTGCTCATGCCTCTCTTCCCTCATGTAACATCCTCGGCTTTTTGCAGCACTAAACACATAGTTAAGGTATCATACAATTCTAGCCTTTTTTTTTTTTTTTCAAGGAAATATATAACTTTTTCGTAGTCCAAAGGAGTACTATTCATTACTTCAGTCATTTTGGAGGAGGAAGATAGCAGGTCAGTTTGTGAAAGAGACCTCAAAAGTAAAGTCAACACCAAGTCTATCCCAGGAGACAGTAAGAGTGAAGGGGAAATGCAATGAGATCTTCAGAAAAGTTTAAAGGCCAGACGTTGAATATAGTCAAGATTGCTCTTAAAATGGTTGAACTCCGACAAAACAAAAACAGTTATCAAACAAAATATAACCTCATCTGTAGTAGGAAAATCTCTATTCTCCCCACTCGCGGCATTGTGCATTCTTATACCAAGCACATAGGCAATTCAGTTCACAGTTCACATGATCAAGTAAGCCACTGTTCTGGCAGCTGCTATACTATGAATGTTCAAGCCACATCTTGTCACATCAGCTGAACCCACAATCAGGAGAGGTTGTGCAAAGGTTAAATAAGCAACTTTTACATAACCCATGGCCTGTTCTAGGATTTTATGCTGGTTGTTTAATCCTTCACCTTCCCCGTTGCCCAGGTTTGCACAAAAGAGCAAGTCATGGCTACAGCCTGAATATTCAAAAAGTGTCTAGTCCAAGCCAGAGTGGATCACCATACAAAGTGGGTCAGAATGATTTCTTCAGGCAGGATCACAATGAGTAAACATTGAGGAGGGGGTAGAGAGTCTGCCTTCCCTAAATAGCACTCCTGTATTTCTATATCTGTATATTGTAGATACACTGGTATACTTATGCTCAAGAAAAAGAATCCCCTTATGGTAAGGTACTAATCAAATTCAAGGTGCCTAAGTAATTTGACAGCAGGGAATTTTACAACCTTGGTTATCCATGAACTCCCCAGCCAATTTGCTGCTTATCACTATTTTACAAGATGTGGGGTGGAAGAACATGAATACCCACAAGAAAATGCATGGAGTGATATAATAACTGCTGATATCACTGCACTAAAAACCAGAAATGCTCCTGCACATCCTAGGTTTGCGCACACAAGGCTTTTAACTGCCTTCCTTAAATCTTTTAAACTATCACTAGAAGATGCAGTATTTGTTAATGCCTTTCTGAAGTTCCACGCTGGGAAAAAATCCTACATAGACAGATTTTCTATTGAACTTAATTCAATCCATTCAGCCATGCCAGAAAATTAGTAGCAAAAGACCTCATCTGAACACTAGAATTTAGTGTTTGGAAGAAAGGGTGAAATGAGTCAGATATGTAGGGAAGAGGAAAATGTTTCAAACAGACATGGGGAACCTCTGGCCTCCAAGCCAAATATGGGCCGTGGGGGCTCCCCAGCCAGCTTTTTCCCAGGGCCCCCCCCCCCCCCAAGCAGGAAAGCTCTCTTGCTCAGAACAGATCAGTTGCCTCTGATCAGCTGCTGACTAGAGGTCAAGCTTTTCCCTACTAGAGAAAGAGGGCCAGGGGAGAAAACTGATGAGTGATTCAGTCCTGCTTGCTTCTAAGGTTTCCCCTGCTTAATTCTAAGTAATCATGCTCACTTCTGAGTAGATGTCTCCTCTCTCCCTCTGAGTAAGTTTAAAAACTGTTAAAAGCCCACAAGTGCCTTAAGATCTTTCCAAGTTTGGAATCTGGTGCTTGGATTGAGGAAAGTGCCCTACCCCTGTTTTGAACAGCTGAAGAGATGCCATTTTAGTCTCTTCTTACTGATTTGTCATTATTATCTGCAGGTTGGATACATCTGTAAATAGAATGCTGTGCATCTGTCACAGGGAATATAGTCAGCTTCCTCACTTCGAATTAGTCATAGTTACTGCTCTAAGTTTTTCCCTGTAAGTGGTACTAGGAACCAAGTACAGCATGTATACAGATCAAGATATTCTAAGACTTTCACACGTTAGACACCTTGGCAATCCTTTCAGCTATCGTATATACTAGTGCACATATTTTAATAATGGGAGCGGCACTGCAGCAAAGATAAACTGTGTGCAAATGTGCATAGTGCCTTCAAGGTTATGAACATGAAAAACACGTGGGAAAAATAAAAGACAGCTTAAGGTGAAAGACTTTACAGTCCACACAGAAATTCCTGTCTTTTGCCCCCTGCTATACACTTTTTCTCCCAATCTATCTGAATCCCTTCCAACTCAGCACAGTTCCAGTCCTCTCCAAAATGACTGAAATTTTGACAAGGTTTGGCAAGGTTTCTATAAATGAGGAAATGTTCAAAAATTAGCACACATTTAAAGAGGAAAACAATTTAAACAGTTTCATTTGCATAACAGTGGATGTCAGGACAATAAACAAATAAGTGAATGCTGAATGTTTGTCATGCTTATTTGTAGTAATAAATACTTGAATGTCCTTATTCCATTTAATTAATGGCAATTTTAAAAACTGCAATACTTCAAGATTGACATATGGGCAAGTTCTTCCATATATTTGGAAGCTGGAAGGCACACTAAAACAATGAACAAAATCCCTTATTAACTGTGCAGAAGAAAGATGTATGCTTGATTATGAAGTCCTGCGGTTGATTTATACGGACATTTGTGCCTGTACAATCATTAACTAGGCAGGATAATTTTGAATGTTTCTTCTTAACTGAGTCAATCCTCTTGAATGTCGAAGAACTTTCTGACACAGCATACCAATGAATGTTCAATACTACAGTCAATAAATACACGTGATGTCCAGATACTCTAGCAGGCAACTTTACACAGGCATTGCTATACTATAAAGCTATCAAGTATAAACTCCTGTGACGTGGAACAATGCAAGCAGGCACACAGTCAAGTGAAAGTTGGGCCAGCTGCAGCAAAGAAAACCAAGGTATCTGTGCTCAAAGAAAGAGGATCTATTTTTCCCTCCCAAGCAGGATAGTTTTCACATTATTTATTGCAAGAGCTTAAATACGAATTGCAACTAGATCTGATAGTCTGACCATACTACAGTGTGCAAGTGTAATTAGGAAGACTGTTTGACAGTAATTCTTCGCACTGCTTCTCTGAAATGCTACCAGATTTCATGCAGCTTTGTTTTATTTGCTACAAGTGAAATGTCAGTCACTATGAGCCAAGGCCACGAGGGAGCAGGTCAATACGGCTGCATGCTCCAGACACAGAGGTGCATTGTGCTTCATACTCTTCCCCAACTCCTCCTATGAGGTTCCTGAACACAGCCCTGAAGGAAGGCAAAAGATCTTCCTTTGCACAGCTTCCCTGCCTTGCTGGAAGTATGAAACTGCTTGTAAATTTTGAGCTAATCTGAAAAGCAAAATTACATAATACCAAGACTTGCTGAATTGTTTACTTTCTTCATCAAGAATGAATGTGAGCAAGGTTCATCATCCTAATAATAATAATAATAATAGTCATAACAATAATAATCGGAAGAATAATAGGGTCTGTTGCCTCTGATGAGCCATCATTAAATTAGGCATTGCTAAGCCTAAACAACTGTATAATAGTTAGGCAGGTAGGCAAATTTCTAATGCAGCTAGTTAAGTAATTAAATCTACTTGGATGTCCAGGAACTTTCTGACATTGCATGCCAATGATGCTTTATATACATATGTGATCCCAGATGCTCTGGCAGATAGACTATACAAAGCCACCACTAAACAATAAAACTATCAAGTATAATCGCTTATGACACAGGGCAAGCAGGCATGCTGTCAAGCGAAAGTTAGGCCAGCTGAAGTCCGTGGAAATAGTTTTGCTGTAAATAAGAGCATGCATTTTCCTCTCTCAGACAGAATTGTTCTCTCATCAGTTGTTGCCAGAGCTTAAATGTGAATTTCAGCCCAAGCTGAGAGCTAGTTAAAAAAAAAATACAGTTAAACAAAAATGTGTGACTAATACCTCCCAGAATGAGGGGTTTTGTACAGAAATAAGAGGCTTGCATTCTCATTCAAACAATTGCAAACTCGTCTCTAACATCAGAAAAAGGAATTAATAATTTGGGTTTGCTGAAAAGATTAAAAAAAACCCCTTAGAGCAGTATATAAAGCTTTAGGAGCTAATGAACCCAGCAGTTAACCTATAGTTTGTTTGGGGTTAACTGAAGGGCTATTTAGCCCCTAAACAACCCAGCAGTCTGGGTTTGGACTCAGTAGGAGCTGATCATGGGTTGCTCAGCCAGAGTGGCTGAAGCAGGTGCTTCTTCCTGACAACCCATCAGTTGGGTTTGCATCATTACATGCAACCGGTGGCACAGCAAGCCAAAACAGATTTGTGCTCAGTGATGTCTGCCCACGCAGTCCCCAGTCAACTCTTTGCAACTAATCTGCAGGCAGCCCTCTGCAAAGAAGAAGCACTTCAACCAGCACACTGATTTACCACTTTAAAGGATTGTGAGGAGTCCTGTCTAGTTCATGCTGGTATCTTAACTGTCTCTGTAACCCCTTGTGTTTTAATTTTTAGCTTTTATAGCAAAAGCAAGGAAAATGTGGCCCTCTAGAAGCTGCTGAATAACAACTCCCATCAGCCAGTGCTGGAGGATGATAAAGAAGAATATTCAACACCACCACCTGAAGGACCACATGTGCCTCATCTCATTTCCCTTCGAGCTGCCACATTCTGGCATAATATGTCTGAGGATATGCCCCTGAGATTAGGAATCTCTTCTGCATTTCCTGATCCCACTTCTGTAGAACCATGG